ATGTGACCTAAAAATATAATCTAAGCCTAAAAAGTGAAAAAGTAATTTTTTTTATAAAAATATTTATTAAAAACCACAAAGCCATGGTGATTTTTCAATATGACACAAGCTCATACATTTCTTTGCTTCTCTATAAATTTCAGTTTATTAATGCTGATGGAGATCAATAACTGAGCAGTTTTTCTAATCTCCCCATAATTTGTATAAATTATTTCTCAATAACATCCTTTGAGCATTGTATATAGAAAATGAAATGCCCTTCTCTGAATATCCCTGTTGCAGAGTCCCCTGAAACTAGTGGAATGTCTTGTGGATGACCCTCCCTAGCTGTATCCTCCCATCAGTCCTGGAATCTGAAGCTGTCACTAACCACTTTCCATAAATTGTTTTGGGAAGTTAACATGAAGTTTTGGTGGAAAGTCTTAGCTTTCCTATTCTGATACTTCACAGTCCCGTACGTCTTCACAATTATTGAAAACTGACCCCCTGATACTTTGTCTAGGAAAAGTGAAAGTAATTTTAAAATATTATTGAAATCAAATTAAAAATGGATAGCAAATTAGCAATATCACTAAGATTCAGGTGACCTAAGAACTATAATTGTAACTCCTTTTACAAAGTATCTTGATAGATTACCTGCAAGTGGTTGACAGTCTAAGGACTCCATCTTGTGCTCTGTAACAGGTAAACCTTCCAGGTATTTCTGGATGTTCTCTAGTCCAGACACTCCATTTCCATTCCATACCATTGTTGCAGTATCCAGATAAAGCTTATTTAGCATCTATAATTGTCAACAAAATTGATTGTCAAAGTTACCATATGGTGTAGAAAGTTTTTAAAAAAATATATGTACCATCATTCTTTAACAATACGAGGGGTGATCAAAAAGTTCGCGAGCTATCTCTATATTTACAAAACTATAATTCAGATCAGAATGAAATTTGGCACACATACAGTCATACACTTGTTCTATAAATAGCAGTTGTTATGTTTTGCTCAATGTTTGTGATGTCACAATGTAAAAATGATGTCAATATGTAGATGACTTGTGACAAAAAAAGGTATACTCAGTCGTACTCAAGCAACAAACAACTGTAAAGTTTATCATATATCTTGGAAATTCCTTTGTAGTAACATATAATAATATGTACAAGGTTTATGAAGAAGAAAGGCTTGCCAAAACTTTAATCATAAATTGGATTGATTGTTTTAGTGAAGGAGGGGAGATGGTTAAAAATGGTGTTTGTTCTGATGTCCAGTGAAAGCAAGCTGGGGAAGACTTGTGTCATTAGTTGAGCAATTTGTTATGAAAGATCATTAAGATACAGTTAGAAAAATAGTTGAATATCTTAACAATAATATAATTATTAATTCCCTAAAAAATCATTAACTTCGGACTTTAAACATATCAGATATGATAAAAAGAAGGTGCCCATACTTTTTCCACACTGGATAAATGACGCTTCCAAGACAGAGGACTTGAGTTAAGATGGTCACCATGCTCATTCTGGAAAAGGATATCCTTATCCACCCATCCCATTGCCGAGATTTGGCCATTTCTGACAAATGGACTGTTCTTGTTACAAAAAATAACTTGCATGGTAAGAAACATAAGACTTGGAATAATCTTTTAGCTTCTGTGAACAGAACGATACGGAGCATGTCACATGACCGCCTGGATCACATGATTCGCACATGAGCAGAATGGTGGCAGATGTGCATTAGAATCATGCAGAGAGGACTACTCTAAAATATAATGAACACTGAAACCTAATTATATTTTTTTATGGGAGTAATTCAATTAGTTCGCAAACTTTTTGATCACCCCTCGTATTTACAATCAATTCATAAAATGCTATTTGATCAAAGTGGTCAAACATTTTAATCAGACCACATCTAATATCATTTGTTGCATTAGTGCAAAAGGCAAATTGTTGATTACTATGTCTCCCCATACTGGGAGAAGACATAGACATATTTATATCAATATATATTATTAATATGTCCGTCCTTCTCTCCCCTCAGTTTTTTGACAAAAACAAAATAATGTTATACCATCCTCACTATTTCACTTTGAATTTTCAGATTTGATATTGTATCAGGGTCATGACAAGTTCATACTCAAATCAGAATTTATGCAACTGGGTTATAAAGTTATGGATTACAATCTCATTGTCGTGTGACCTTGACCTTTGTTATATGACCTTGAGTTAAGATCATGATATATCAACAGTACACTGTAGTTTGAATCCATTCTGTTTAAGGATTTTGAGAGTTAAAGCCCAGATATTATTGCAACATCTCATTACCAGTGACCTTGACCTTTGAGATATTTCCTTTAGTCAAGATCATGATACATTTTTAGTAATGCAAAACAATAAACAAAGTCTGGACCCATTTTAATCACAGATGAGATATAAATAGCCTGGACATGATTTTGTTTCAGACAGACAGACAGCCATACCAAAACAAGTACATGTATGTCTGTTCCTGTTAAGAAAGAGTTAATAATATTTATGTAAGTAGTGTTGAGTATGACTTCCAATTTCATGATTGATCATCACTAATTAATCATGTAATAAGCATTTCATTCGGAATGTTTTTCATATACTTAAATTATCAATGGAATTGTTGTTTAATAATGAAGGCATTTATTTCATAACTAAAAAGGTGCCTATATATGTCAATCAAATGTCTCATCAGTTTTGATGTCTGTCATTATTGAAATAAATGGTTACTACCAGTATATGACAATTTTATTCTATTGGGAAGTCTAGCTGCAGAACTGTATCTCTCTGCTTGAGAAAATTCGGACAGACAAAGCAGAAATGATAAATTTTTGCCCTCTTTGATGTATGTATGCTATTTCATAGACAAATTATTCAACCTTTGTGAGATTGTTGTGATTTGTGGAGATTTTACATATTAAAAGTAAACATTCATGTTAAATGAAATATGAAAAAATTGTCATATTTGATATTTAATTTTTCACTTTCTTGATTGTCACACAATGGGCATTAATCTGCTTGTCTTGTTCACCATCTTCTTACTGTTTATGTAATCCTCAATAATAACAAAAGAAAACATTCAATAAGCAAACAAATCCAAATGTAATGTATTTATTAATAATTTCAAGATAGATCACTGGACTTCCTAATTGATTTCAGGGCAAATGATGTGCAAGGTCAACAAAACAAATACAATACAATAGTGCTGGTTTCCTTAAGTTTCCAACTGTAAGAATTTTGATGTTCATCTTCTGATAAACTATCACTAATGATGATATTGATACATTGTACCTTCATGATTTTTTCAAAATGAAAGACATTTCTTAATCAGCTGTTTCCAAAAAAAAAAAAAAAAAAAAAAAAAAAAAAAAAATATATATATATATATATATATATATATATATATATATATATATATATATATATATATATATATATATATATATATATATATATATATATCACTCTTCAATAAGCACAGTGTATGCTTTTAATAACGTATATTTTTAAAAAGCATCTTTCTTTTCTATACAGAAACATTACTTCATTTGATCGTCATCTGTCATAATCATAAGATTTACCCTAGTATTACACCCCAGACAGTTCAGTGATGTTTATCTTAAATACACAGTTAAAATAAAATCATTTAATAATTCTATTAACTATGATGAAAACATTCTTGATACTCCAAAATCATTATATATGATTTCATAATAACTGCAGAATATTTTCTAATCAAAACTACCAGTACTCTTTTATCAACAGACTACAGTATATATATATTATATATATATATATATATATTAATAACAGAAATGAAAATTTACCGGAATAAGTATATCACACAAATGTACAACAAATCAACAATGATATCACAGATTAATCAACTTTAAATATATCCTTCTCATTACATATATATTAAATGGAGAAAAATTTAAACAATGTTATTTAAATTTCCATTCTAATCAGGACAATCTTGATTAAATAAAGCAGGAACAAGTCATATATACTAAGTCCTGGGATAAAATGTCAATGTTTTCATGTGCATTGTGAACCTGCAAAAACATGCCTATAGATAGTTTTCAATAGGCCTGAATTCAGCAAGAGTTATTTCCTGTTGGCTGCCATATTGGAGGTCCGACGAGTGAATTTTCCTCTTTGAGCAACCAACGATGATTTGAACAAACTTGAATCTACACTACTTGAGGATGCTTCTATATTATTATGACCAATCATGGCTTTGCTGTTCTTGAGAAGAAGATTTTTAAAGATTTTTCCTATGTATTTTAATATGTATAACTTTGATCACCCATTGTGGCCCCATCCAACCCCCCGGGGTCATGATTTGGACAAAATTTATTCTACACAACTGAGGATGCTTCCATATAAATATGACCAATCATGGCTTTGCTGTTCTTGAGAAGAAGATTTTTAAAGATTTTTCCTATGTATTCCTATGTAAAAATTTGATTGCTCATTACGACCCCACCCTACTGCCGGGGGTCATGATTTGAACAAACCTGAATCTACACTAATTGAGGATGTTTCCTTATCAATATGTCTAATTATGGCTTTGCTGTTCTTGAGAAGATGTTTTGTGAAGATTTTTTCCTTTATATTCCTATGTAAAAATTTGATCCCCCCCTTTGTGGCCCCATCCTACCCCCTGGAGGGGTAGGTGGGGTTGAACAACCTTGAATCTACACTACGTAAGAAAGATTTTATATAAGTTTCAACTTTTTGGCCCAGTAGTTCTTGAGAAAAAGATTTTTAAAAGATGCCACCAAATTTTCATTAATTCTTAATTATCTCCCCTTGAAAGAGGGTGTGGGCCTTCATTTGAACAAACTTGAATTCCCTTTACCCAAGAATGCTTTGTGGCAAGTTTGGTTGAAATTGCCCCAGTGGTTCTGGAGAAGAAGTCGAAAATGTGAAGTTTACAGACGGACGCCGGACAAAATGTGATCAGAAAAGCTCACTTGAGCTTTCATCTCAGGTGAGCTAATAAAAATATATAATCAAAATAACAACTCTACAGTTCTTGTATCAGTAATAATAAATCAGCATGTGCTCGAGCAATGTGCCCCTCCTCAAGTAACATCTGTAGCTTCTTATGAATGTCCAACCCCAACAGTCTCCTTAAATGTTTGCAACAAATATCTCGAAGTGGAGATGCATTATAGAACAGCTCTTCTGCCTTCTTTTTGTGAATATCACTGTGAATAATTGAGTCATCCAGTTTGGATAAGCATTCTTCAAAGTCATATATGTCAGGATAAACTGCCCACTTTAGGAGTAATAGGAAAATGTCAGCAGATTTGGAACTTAGGTGGTTAACAGGAAACATCAGTGGCAGAGACTGAGGTGGATAGTTCAGTCTAAGAAACAGCTTGACTAACTCCATGTTTTCTTTCCGGACAGCCATGGTTAATAAATTCCTCCCTCTCAGACTGTTCTTCAAAATATCACTTCCAGTTTGAAGTAGGAGCTTACACATACGTGTATTTTCATTTGACACTGCAATACCTAAAATGCTTTGCCTTTCCCCAAGTGAACTTTCCAAAATATTGTTTTGTTCATTTGGTATATAGTTCACATCAGCCCCATACGACAGTAAATGTGATACAATCTTGGTATTATTTTCATGGACTGCAATGACAAGGGGAGTTAATCCTGCATTGTCAGCTACATTTGGATTAGCTCCCCCTTTCAACAGATGAACAACACTCATATCATCATTTTTGGAGACTGTGATGTGTAATGGATTCCTTCCATTTGCATTGACATCATTAGAATCAGCACCAGCTTTTACAAGAACTTTCACAACCTCTGAATTTATCCTCATTCGAGATACAGCTGTAAAAAGTGGTGTACATTTTTTAGAGTCTTTAGCATTCACATGAGCTCCTGCACTTATCAGAAGCTCACATAAAACAGGATTCCATTTTTCTGCAGCCATGTGGAGGGGAGTTGTTTTGGAATGCTCAGGAGAAAGATTTACATCACATCCATATTCAATCAATGACTTAACAATCATCAAGTAGTTGCCCTTGAAGGCAGTCTCAAATCGGAAAATTGCTCGCATAAGAGGAGTAATGCCATGGTTGTTTTGGAGATTTTTGGAAAAGTGATTATTATTTAAGAAGCTGAGAACAGCTTGACTGTTTCCATGTTTACAGGCAATATGCATGGCAGAATCACCAGACTTATTTTCAAGACAAAGATTAGCTCCTAACATAAGCATTCCCTCTATTATATCAGTGTGTCCCTTTTCAGCAACTATGTGTAATGCTGTACCTGCAGTATGGTGTGAAGGTATGTAAGATTCAGTGAATATGTAATTGACATCCAAACCGTGGACTAGGACACAATCTTCTATTATAGACAGGTCTCTGTGAACTGCTGCCATGTAAAATTTCCTTATGATTTCCGGAGATTCTACCATCATTGCCATCACGCTGTGTTTTTTTTTTATAATTACAGATGAATTGGTAACAGGAATCTAGCTTTTGGCCATTAATTCCTGCCAAAAATTAAAGATATTTAGACAGTGAACAGCGTGTAGGACACTTTCATTATGTTTGATTGGGATATCGACATCTGGGCCTTATCTCTGAAGAGTCAATTTCTAATTTTTTTCTTCTTTTTACAATACAAGTACATGTACTATCATTTAGATAATTCCAAAATTATTTGAAAAGTCCTGATATTAGTCCAAGGTTTGTATTTCAACTAAATGGAATAGTTCTGATCTTAAGGTCAAGATCTAGTGAATCAAAGGTGCCTATGGATTTCTCAAATTTGACAAAGGAATTCCTGAAATAATGCTGTATAACTACAGCTTGGTCAAATAAAGTGTCCAGACAAAATTTTTTGGCATATCCAATGAAAAAATGTACATTAAATTGTCGTTTTCAATGAAAAATGAAGACAACCAGATATATTTTTCCAGATCAGATAAAAGAACTGTATCCAGATTGCCTAAAGTCTTTCAGAAAATGGTAATTTATATGTTTTTGATTGCTTCTTTAAAAAATATTTAATTCAATATTGGTATCCAGGCTAATTTTGACATGATTTCAAGTTGAATTCCATGAAAATGCTTCATTTCTACATACCTACTTATCTAAGTAGTAATCATATTTCAGCACCCTTTATGCTGCCTCTTGTCCGCTAATTCAAGTACACACCAATAAATGATTGAGACAAATGCATATAGAGGCTAGGCTCCAAATACGCTAATTTATGATGACACTTATCATTTGATGAGGGAAACTGCGTTAAATTTTGAGTGTGCTTATTTATGTATATTTACAGCAATTCAATTATAGCTGTAAAATACGGGAAAAATTAAGTTTACATTAAATTATTTTGACATACAGGATTTAGCAGAAAAAAACTCATTTACTAGATTTTGACCTAAACTGTGCATGTTATACCAAAAATTAATTCAATTATTATTAAAAAGAGCACCTTTTAAACACTTAAAATAGCTGAGAATCATTTACTCACATGTCTTTTTTTATCATAGGTCTCATAATAAAGCTTGGCAAATTGTTCTCCTGCCTCCGCTGCCTGGTCTATTTTAGCAGCTTGATCCTGTCAAATTCAAAAAAAAAAAAAAATATATCAAGAAATTTAGGGAAACAATGTAGCTAAAGGTGCAAAGTTTACATCTTCTTTATAGTAATTAGGTTCTGCACACCCCATGGCCAAAAGGTGTGATCTTTTTCTTTAAGCTTTTAAATCATAACTGAACAATATTAATTTAGTCCAACAATAAGAAAACATGCTTCAACTTAAAAAGAAAGAGATCCAGACTTCAACCAAAGCTCAGCAATTGATCATTAACAATGTTAACTTTATTACAGTTGACCATCGGTATCTCGAACACTGATATCTCGAATACCATGGATATGTTGAAGTGATTTGGAAGTCCCAACCCCTTATTCTTTAAGTATTTTACCCTGGATATCTCGAATCCCCGAATATATCTTGAAGTTTTTTTCTGGGTCCCATTGAGTTCGAGATAAAGAGGTTTCCCTGTATATAATTCAGGGACCAGAGTTTTTATCTGAAAATTTCAATTTGATTGATAAAGTATTAACGCAAAAAATTAAAAAATCTTGAAAAATCTGGTTTTTCAGTTTGCCCTGGCCCGAATTTGCCTACCTATATTACCAACACTCATAATAAATTACCCTTAACTGTAGCACCGTCAACAAATTAAACCTTCCCCATAATACACAGTTCGCAAATAAACAAGCATTTGTTATTGAATTGTTAAAATAAATTGCCCAAATCCACTTGTGCTATTATTTGACACCTAACTAATGTAAAAAGGGGAATCAACAGAGGTATTATTGGGACGAAACCACTCAGAGCGAACAAGAAATCAGGGCGAACCCACCCGTTATCAGTTTAGGAGAGAAATGTGGTATTTAAAGACATGATTCTAACCAATATGTTAATTTCGTGCCCTTTTCTTAAGAAATGGTTTTTTTGAATTTTCTTTTCAACACCCCCGTGTTTTCTCAAGTTAATTACATGAGAAAAATACCTCAGTTGGTGGCATATTCTACAACAAATTGAGACTATCTCAACCGGAAATTCACTCTTCTATCCTGAAGTCTAGAAACGTATTATGAATATTTAGTTAAGTCGGTCATTAACTGCGACGAAGTGGTTCGATGCACAGATTTTCTTGACCCTGACTGTGGTTTTTCCGTGAAGTCATCAGATTTAGTAGATCTCATTAATTTTAAGGTAAAGAAAAATAATTTAATTTTTAAAGTGATTTTCCCAGAAAAGCAATAGTTAACAGGACTTCTGAAAAAAAGCGTTACTGTGCAGTGTTACAGGCAAGTATCAAACTGAAAGAAAGTAGTTTACAATGAATATTTCAATGTTTATTAATAATATCTTGTCTGGTTTTGCCTGTAAATTTCATCATTTTGTCTGTGGTAAGTGGATTCATTTGCAGGTTTATTATACCCCTACCAACAAATAATTCTATTGTAATTAATGGGTAAAAGACTGAAAGAGTATGACTTCTATTGCTCTAAAGTAGAATTTAATTTCTGTGATTAAAAATTGACATTGGATTTGAGGTGTTCATACCTGTTCTGATGAAGAGCTCAACACAGAATGCTTTAATAAGGTCATGGTTTGAAAGAGCAAGGCTTCACTTCTTTTGGTATAATTGAAATTCCTGATCAGTGAGTTAAGAATTGTTCAGGATGTTATGTTCAAATATGCACCTTAATTGAATGTTTTTGGCTGAGTTTACTTTAGGTTCCTAGGGTCAAGAATATAGTTATCTGTTCTATAAATAACTTTCATAAAAAAAAAAACAAAAGCATGAATTCTGCTTTGACCAAAATTTATACACAGATTTATATATATATATATATATTGACTGCACTATAATTTTGTAACAGCTGTAAAAACTTGGAAAAATGAAAAAGAGATTAAAGTTATTGTTTGGCTCACCTGAGCCAAAGGTTCAAGTTCTGATCAAAATTTGGCCATTGTCTGTTGTTGTAGTCTTTGCCATCATCGTTGTAAACTTTTCACATTTCTGACTTCTCCAGAATCACTGAGCCAATTTCAATCAAACTTGCCACAAAGCATCCTTGGATGGTTAAAGGGGATTTAAATTTGTTCAAATGAAGGGCCACCGGACCTCTTTCAAGGGGAGATATTTTAGAATTCATAATTTGTTAGGGTCATTTAAAAGTTTCCTTCTCAAGAAGCTCTGGGCCAGAAAAAATGAAACTTTTATGAAACTTCAAGATTTTATTACATAGTATAGATTTGATCAAATCATGGCCCTAATGCAGTGATAGGGTGTGGCCAAAATAAGAGATCAAAGTTTTACATTGGAATATATAGGGAAAATCTTTATCTTCTCAAGAATAGCAAGGTCTTGATTAGCCATAAGCAAACATCTTCAGGTAGTGCCAATTTGAATTTATTCAAATCATAGCCCCCAGGGGTAGGGTAGATGCGAGGTCAAGGGTCAAAGAGAGAAAAGGTGTGTGAAAATGAGCTCCGCAAAAATTGGTTAAAAAAGTTACAAATAACATCAAGTGTGAGCTAAAGTTGTGATGTTAGATCAAGTAATGTGTAAATATTCATAGGAGTGTAAACCAGCAAGATTTGGTGAGTCTTGAAGTTTATTTTACCAAATTTATTCAGTGACCATAAGACTGTGAACACTATATGAAAACTACTCATGGCGTCTCACGACGTCTTGAACACAAAACTCAATACATAGGGTTTCTACCTTTTGTGTTTTTCCGTATGTGGAGACTTTAAAACATGACAGATACTACTTCAGTAACTACATCAGTAACGGACACTGCGAACTTAGTATCGCAAAGTCACTCAGTTATATATGGAGGAATGGAGGGGGTTCATGAACAGACAAGTGAAATTTCTCTTAGTACTTTACATACCATTCTTCTTAAAATAGATGCACGACTCACAAACATTGAAACAAACAGCTCTTCTTTGGAAAAGAGAATGTGTGATATTGAGAATAAAATGAGTACTATTAATAGATTGGCAGAAGCAGTTGTTTCACTTGAAAATAAGATGCAAAGATTTGAGGGTGAAATAAAAACAATGAAAGAGACCGTGACAGAGGCAGAGGTGAGTGCCAGATCTATAAGTGACATGTTTGACAGTGTGAAACACATTGCTGAGAAAGAATTAGAACAGTTAAGAGATGGTTCAAAGAAAATGGACATGGAACTCAATTCAAGTGTTCAATCTTTAAAAAAGAAAAATGTTGAGCTACAAGAATCTATTACTGATCTTCGAAGCAGATCGATGAGGGACAATTTAGTGTTTTGTGGAATCCCCGAAAAAAGAAACGAAAATTGTGAGACAGTGTTACGTAATTTTTTAAAACACAAGATGAAAATTTATGACTACATCTCTTTTGAGAGAGTGCACAGAATGGGCAAATATGACGAATACAATACAAAACCTCGAAACATAGTTGCAAAATTTTCGTTTTTTCAAGATAGAGAATATATTAGAACACAAGCCCTCAGGAAACTAAAAGGAACGCACGTATGGGTGAATGAACAGTACCCCCCAGAAGTTGAGGAGCGACGAAAAAAGTTGTACCCAGTAATCCGCCAGGCCAGAAAAGAACACAGACGAGTAAAACTAGTCAAAGACACTTTGTACATTGATGGTGATTTGTACGTGCCTGAAGATCTAGAATCCGCTCCATGCACAGAAGAGAAGGGCTCGCTCGATAATGCCGCAGCTATACAAACAGGAGAACAGTCGGATAATCGGGTGCATACACCGTGGTCTCAACGTGGAACCTCGACAGGTTCAAACCGTGCGAACAGTGACAGCGATCCAGATACTCAGTCGCCTGCACACAAAAAATTCCGCTATACTGGACCAGTTTCCTCCACATAGGACAACGCCGGAGGCCAGACAGCAAATTATGAAATAAACCTTTTGTCACTAAACGTATGTGGTGTAAATAGAAGACTTCAATATACCAAATTCACTGATCTCATTTCTTCTTATGATATAATTGGTTTAACCGAAACTAAAACAGATGACACCGATAAGTTGCAAATACCTGGATTTTCCATATTTTTAAAAAACAGATGTAAATTATCTAGAGTAAAGTCAGGTGGCATTGCTCTATTAATAAGAGATTCAATTGTCAAATATATTAAAATAATTAATACAGACTGTAAATATGTATTATGGTTCAAGTGTAACAAATCGCTATTTAATTTTGAAGACGACATCTATTTTGGGGTTGTATACATTCCTCCAGAAAATGGTAAATATTCATCCCCAGATTGTTTTACTGAAATAGAACAAGATCTTATATCGATCACCAAAGACTGTAAATATGTTTGTTTGTTGGGAGATTTTAACTCCAGAGTGGGCAAATTGAATGATTTTATTATAACAGATGAATTCTTAACAAATGTTAAACAATGTAATGCTGTTGCTGAATGTGAAAATAACGATATTGAAACTTATTTTGAGAATGTAAACATTCCTCTTGACAGGATTGTTCAAGATTTTTCAAATAATAACTTTGGTTATAAGATGATAGATTTTTGTATAAATAATAATGTGTATATTGCTAATGGTCGCGTAGGTAGCGATAGACATGTAGGAGCACTCACTTGTAAAAATACTAGTACAGTTGATTATGTTTTATCAAGTATGGAACTGTTCAAACTGTTCAGAAAGTTTGATATCCTAGATTTTTGTGAAATGTATTCCGATGTACATAACCCTGTTTCATTTAGTATTGCCATCGAGCAAAATATATCTACAGTTAGTAACACACCTGTATCTAACCAGTCACGTGTGACGCTTTGGTCGAATGACAAAGCAGACGATTTTCGTGAGAACATTGACCAGTTTTCGTTAAAAAGTATTGAACAGGAACTGTTGAATTTAAGAATTTCAAATAACGTTAATAAAGAAAGTAACAATAATGTTATTTCAAGAATGTGTGATATATTTTTCAATGCTGCTGAGAAATCATTCGGAAGAAAAAATTACCGAACCTGTAACGTAAAGAAGGATAAACCATGGTTTAACAATAGCTGTAGAACAGCAAGGAAAAAATTTCATTTAGCAAAGCGCGCAAATAATGGAAACAAAACGAGTGAAAATAAAGAAATTTTGAAGAAAGCGAGTAAAAATTACAAAAAGATAATGGATAAATCAATAAAACAGTATCGAAAAGATATATCGCAGAAACTAAAGAAATTACGTACAGCAAATACAAAAGAATATTGGGACATTCTTAATAGTACTAAGAGATCAGATAAATGCTCTACGGATATAGACTCGATGTTTAGTTATTTTAGAGACACGAATGAAACTAGTAATATTGAATATAATGAGGTTAACTGGATGGACTATTTACATGTAGATGATAACAATAGTAATGAGCTGCTAGACTACCCAATTACTAGAGAAGAAATCTCCTCGTCTGTTAATGATTTGAAGAACAGTAAGGCCCCGGGCTTCGATAATATTCTAAATGAGCATATAAGAACAACCTTACCAAACCTTTTACCAATTTATGAAAATCTTTTTAATCTTATTTTCGAAACTGGTATTGTACCAGAAAATTGATTAATTGGTATTCTGAAACCAATCTACAAAAATAAGGGTGACCCAACCCATCCTGAGAATTATCGCCCGATTACCCTTTTAAGCTGTCTGGGTAAACTTTTTACGAGAATCTTAAGTAATCGGCTAGAGAATTATGCAGAAGATGTCACACTCATTAAAGAAAGCCAGACTGGGTTCAGAAAAGGTTACTCTACTTTGGACAATATCCTATTATTACAATTCTTATCACAGACATTAATTAACAGCAGAAGAAAATTGTTTTGTGCATTTATAGATTTCAAACAAGCATTTGATACAGTATGGCGAGATGGTCTTTGGTGTAAACTTTTCAGAAGTGGGGTTAACGGTAAATGTTTTACTTTTGTTAGAAATATGTATAATGGTATCAAATCTAAAATACAGATGAATGGTGTGTCATCAGAATTTTTTAACTGTAATGTTGGTGTACGACAGGGGGAAAACTTATCGCCCTTCTTATTCTCATTGTATATTAATGACTTGGAAGATTTTTTGATAGAAAAGAATATTGTCGGTTTGTCTAGCATTAGCAAAGGTATAGAGGATGAGCTGTTTTTGTTTATGAAATTGTTTATCTTATTTTATGCCGACGATACTGTAATACTTGCGGAAACTGCTGACGATCTTCAAAGAGCATTAAATGAATTTTACGTATATTGTGAAAAATGGAAATTGTGTGTGAATATTAAGAAAACAAAGATACTTATTTTCTCAAAGGGTAGACAACCAAAAAATATTTTTACATATAACGGCAGTGTCATAGAAGTAGTCAAAGATTTTAATTATTTGGGGATTGTATTTTCTCGTACAGGCTCATTATATAAAGCAAGAAAACACCTATGTGAACAAGCACAAAAGGCAATGTATGGTGTGATACGTAAAATTAGACAATTTAATCTACCCTTCGAATGTCAATTGGATCTGTTTGATAAAGTAGTTTTACCAGTATTGTTATATGGCTGTGAAATATGGGGTTATGAAAATATTGATATTATTGAACGAGTACATTTACGTTTTCTGAAACATATATTGAATTTAAAAAGTACCACTCCAAGTAATATGATTTATGGAGAAACTGGACGGTTTCCATTATATATAAATATTTACTCAAGAATGGTAAAATATTGGGCAAAACTTGTGTATGGGAAAGAAAACAAATTGTGCAGAATTGTATATATGTATTTATGTAAACAATATGATAAAGGAGAAATGATAAACTCCTGGATTTCATTTGTACAAAATATTTTTGACAGATGTGGTTTATCAAATATATGGTATGAGCAATATTTCTATAATGTAGAATGGATAACTGCTACAGTCAAACAAAGATTAAAAGATCAATATATTCAAAAGTGGAATAGTGAAGTTCAAGAATCTTCAAAAAGTTTAAATTATAGAATTTTTAAAACCAATTTTGAGTGCGAAAAATATTTAACACTGTTATCATGTAAATTTAGAAAAACTTTAGTTAAATTTAGAACCACAAACCACCACCTTCCAATTGAAACAGGTAGATGGAATGGTACTCAAAGAAGTGAAAGATTCTGTAGCTTATGTGATAGTAATCAGATAGGAGATGAATATCATTATATTTTAGAATGTAGTGCTTTAAACCAAGCGAGGAAAATTTTTTTGAACCCAAAATTTTGTTCTAAGCCAAACATTATGAAGTTTTGTGAAGTTATGTGCCAAAATGATGTTGATTCTTTGAAAAAATTATGTACATTTATAACTAAGATTAATAGTATGGTCTGTACTCCCTAGCTAGCTTAATTAATCTCACCTTTTGCTTGACCCACTGTATTATATGTATATATGTTTTATATGTTTATGTACCTCATGTAACCATTTACATGGTATTTGAGTGAATAAATTGAATTGAATTGAATTGTAGAACCACTGCAAGGAGATCAAATTTTTACATTGGAATTTATAGGAAAAGAACCTTTCAAAATCTTCTTCTCAAGAACAGCTTTGTTATTATCACTCAAGTAAATTAATATGTAAGCATCCTGACAGGTAGTCTGATTCAAGTTTGTTAAAATCATGACCCCCATTGGTTGGATGGGGCCTTAATAGAGGATACACATTTTACAGGGGATTATAGGTATAACAAAAAAGGTTTATAAATCTTCTCAAAAAAGCAGGGCTGTGATTAGTGATTAAATATGCAAGCATTCTCAACAAGTGTGGATTTAAGTTTGCTCAAATCATGGCCTCTTGGGGTAGGATGGGGCCACAAGAAGGGATCAAAGTTTCACTTAGGAATATATATTAAAAAGTACATGTATTTAAATGACTTCTCAAAACCAGCAGGGCCATGATGAATTACATGTATATTGATATGCATGCATTATTGGATCATGCAGATTGGATTTTGTCAAATCATGGCTCCCAGGGATAGTGTTGGGCCAGAATAAGGGATCAGAGTTTTACGTGGGAATTTATGGGGGGAAAATCTTTAAAATCCTCGTCTTTAAAAGATCAGAGTCATGATTCATAATATTAATATGCAAACATCCTCAGGTAGTGCAGAATCAGATTGTTTAGATCATGGCCTTTGGGACCAAGGCGGGGCCACAATATTTGAAGTTTTAAGATGGAAATATATAGGAAAACTCTTTCAAAGGCCCTTTTCTCAAGAACAGCAGATTCATATTAATATGAAATATCCTCAGGAAGTGCAGATTAAGAAAATAGAATCAGACCCCAAGGGTGCTTTAAGAAGTGTTGGAATACATGTATATAGAAAAAAGTCTGTAAAAGCTTTTTTTTTCCCTCCAGAACTACTGGGGCATGATTAATTATATTAATATGCAAGTATCCTCAGATAATGCAGATTTAAGTTTGTTCAAATCATGGCCCCAATGGGTAGGGTAGAGCCACAATATGGGGTCAAAAATTTTATACAAATATAGAAGAGAAAAACTCTTTTATATATCTTTTTCTCAAGATAAGCAAGGGCCATTCTGAATCAGGTGAGCACTGTGGCCTTTGGACCTCTTGTTTGAAGATGGTACACCTTCTATAGAAAGTTAAACTTTTACTTGATCTAGTAGACTCTTTCAACATACAAAGTCTCTTAATTGATTTAAAATTTTGATGAATGAAGTTGCCATACCAGGAAGCACTAATCAGTTAAATTATTTCAGAGTTTTCATATTGGTAAATGTTTCAGTTAGACAACAGCAGGGTACTTAACTCAATGTATTGATTTTTAATTTCACTTAACAGTCTTGCCATGCATGGTTACCAAAGATAAAATAATCTGTGAAATTCTTTCCAACAATTTGGCCTGATTTCAGCAAACTTTGGTATAGATTGTTTGAACATGTTCGTGATATGTATGTTTTGTATCTTAATTGTTGACCCTTCAATTTTCTTGTTAGTAGCAGCTGATTGATTATGTGTCAAGATAATAAACTGTAGGGCTTAATTGTCCCATTTTGGTACAGGGTCTGTACCCTTTCAATTGGGAATTTCTAACTGAAAAATTTATGACTTATATTATTACATTATTGCATAGTTGTGGGGAAAAGGGGGAGTTTCGATAAGGCCGTTTTTCGGCCCCTCACGAAATTTTATAAAATTTTGATATTTTGTAGAAAAACTCCTTATCTTCCCAAATATATGAAAATAATTTATGTTACGCATTTTCCGGTCACATGATAATTGAAAATTTAAGTATACCCCCTTTCGTATATTTTTGGAGTAAACATTTTCATAGGGGGAAAGTGGATTTTTTAAACCGTCAAAATCGTAAATGAAGTAGGATAAATATGAATAAAGACATAAATTAACCAATTTCAACAATTTTTTTTACGGAAAATGGTATTTATCTTATGCGAATGTTTTTTTTAAGGTGCGATATTTTTCTGGTGTCTCAAATGTTACTTTTCTTTAAAAGAGGATGCATTTAACTTAAAAAACGTAATCATATATAGAAAGTTTTAACATCATGATTAATCGACAGCTTATACATAAACTTTATAATCAATATTTAACATTTTCCCATACGAAAAATGCAAATGAAAAGAATAGGTAAATGTAAAAACGCCATATACAGGTATATGCAATACATTTTCATCAATGAGGTTAAACAACTACATGTTTTATAAAAATATACCTTAATATCATAAAATTGAAATTAAATAAAATGTTTTGAAATAAAAATATTGAAAAATAAATGCTTTATATACATACATGAATAAAAAGTTTATTTAAAAGCATCATATTGCTACGAAAGCCGATACAATGTAGGTACAAGGTAAGAAAAATATTTTATCTGGATTATTCGGCGGTTGCTAGAAAAATATATCTGGCGGCTGCTAGATAGTTTTCCTGCGGCCACCACAAAAATGACTGGGGGCGACCAGAAACTTATCTGGCGGCCGCCACTTAAATAACTAGAATTCGACAAATAAGTTTCATGCAGTTTAGACATGTAATCTAATAAAACATCAATTTTAAGTTAAGAGGTGAAGACCTTCTGAAGTGAATTTTTATATAAAGTGTAGATTTGATCTTTGCTGATAAGGCATGAAACTCTCAGATTTGACTACAAACAGAAGTTGTAGATGTCGTTAAAGGCAGAGATTTTAAGCATCGCCTTCAAAAATACCTAGGCTGTGTACCTCCATCAATCAAGTGCATTAAAGTACATCATTTGGTTCTACAACTTGATTGGCAAAAACACTACAATTTTATCTGGCGGCCATCAGATATTTCAATGGCAGGCGCTAGAAACTTATCTGGCGGCCGCCAGATAATACATTTTTTTTTTACCTTGCACCTACCAGCTTCAGTATATTGCAATGTATTTAATAATATGAATAATATTGATTACAGTCAAAAATATTTTATCATAATACGTAATATGTGAATAGCCAAATGATGGAAAAACCTATAATACATTGAGTGTTTCCTTTTCAATATGAAACTTAGAAGTATTTGCCCACATAGAGCTGCATTATGTTTTCAGCATAACCTAGCCAGGACTAATTTCCTCTCGCTTCCCAACTCTCCATAGACACTTAAGTTGCTTCACCAACTCTAGTCACTTCTCATTTAGAGAGTTTTAGAATTCATTATAAATGATTTGCTAGACCAGAGCGCATTTCGAAATACATGTGTAAATGCCGAAGATATGTGTTTAATCCTTAATCAGGCAGACATATGCGCCTAGACATTCAGACTTAAATTAAAACAATCCACATTCCCTGTATCAACCACATAAGGGCGTTTCTCTAGCATGTTGGAGCGTGGATTTCTATTTACAAGAAAGTCAAAAATATAACTATGCATGATAAATAACGTTAAGGAATGGACTTGCTCTAAAACTTATTTTTGTTAAGTCAGTCGGAAAATGTAAGAAAGATCCAGCATCTGAACCATGTCTGGTAGTGAGCAATCCTAGATGCATCATCAGTGCAAGTTTGGTCACGATAGGGCTTATAGCTACATAAGAATGAGACCCGCTTCAAAATCTTTAACCTGCTCACTCATTAAGTAAATGTAGGTCATATCCAGCATCTGAAGCAATCTAGTAGTGTGCATCCGTAGATGCATCATGAAGCAAGGCTGGTCAACAAGTGCTTACAACTGCTCTGCTCCAAAAACTTAAACCTGCTTTTAAAACATTTACCTGGACATTCTTTGACTGAAAATGCAGCATCTGAAACCTGACTCAGGTGACAAGGAAACATGCTAGATCAGGTGACTTTGATTAATGTAGGGAATAGATATACTTGAAAAAAATCTGCTTCAAAAACTTTTACCTGGAACACCGATGCCGACGGTATGAAGAAAGCTCCCCCAATTTCGAGGAGGTGAGCTAAAATGTGATGTTAACGTTATACGTTGGCGACAAAAAAAGTATCAAAAAGAAGATAGGATACGATAATGTTTTCTACTGTTAATATAATCGAGAATCTTCTTTAATTTAAAAAAATATATGCTACTTTTGGCTTAGTATTTTAACACAGAGTCAGATCAAGAAACCAGGATCTTCTAATATTAGATATGCAAATTTTATGCAATTTTCAATTTTTGGATATGAAGTGCACACGCGACACTCATCATATTTCAAGAAATTAGTGTGCAGAGTATATCTAATTACTGAACAAATTTAGGTGAGTGTCCCTCATGCACTTCATATTCTAAACATCGATTTATAAATGCCACCCATAAGCCTAATGTTAACGGATCTGAGGGTACATCTAAGTATATATCAGCTACGGTGTGAATTCATCTCATATTAACTTTTGAAGTGTAAATAACAAAAGTTAACATATTTATCTTGAATTCTAAACTAGTTTTGAAAAAATAAATTGAAATTTATTTTTATGAAAAAAAGTGGGCTGCTGAGCAGCCTTATCGAAAATCCCCCTTTGAAGAATTTTTCAGTGAAGAAAAATCATATTCCCTGAGGGCTTTGCCTTAAATCTTCTTATTTCCTGAACATTCATGCAATACATTGTCTATTATATGAAACAAGCCAAGCCCTTGAAAATAAACACAAACTTTCAAATTAGCACCACTCTTAATTAAATTCACTTTCAGTTTTATAAAAACCATTGAAAAACTTTACTCAACTCCTTTGGATACTTTACAGACAATTGTCTTCAATGTCTTTTCTTTTTTTCTTTTGTTTTTTTAAATCCTGGATGTTTATAAAACTCAATACTCTCTCATGTATCTGTTTTTAGAAACATCCAGAGAAAAATAATAATAGTCTTTATAAACTAGATGTTTCTAAAAACAGATACTGCAGCTGCTATTCATTACTGTGACATCATAATGCAAATACATAACAATGCCTTATATGAGAAAGTATTGAGTATTAGAAACATGGATTTTTTAAGACATTTCTTAATAACTGATAAAAAAAAAAATTAAACAATTGTAGCCTTTTGATTCAGTACAATCCCTAGATATATAGACCATAGGGAAAGCATATCGACCTCGCACTTCATGCTCGGCCGATATGGTTTCTGTATTAAAGGTCTACATGTATATATCTAGGGATTAATTGTATAATATTAATATTTTCTTTTTTTTTTGTTGTTTCATCTGTGGTATGATATCATTTCATTGTGTGTTATTTAGGTGTGTAAAGAGCTTGTTTTGCTGTAGATACCATTTTTGTAACATTTGTATCATTATAATTAGTTTATTGTATGAAATATAGAAGACCCTGAGGAAGAAAACTCTGTACAATGTTAATTATTCATCAAGTTATCTTAATAAATAGAGCATTATTATATATTGTATACTGTTTGATTATATTTGGAACAATTGTATCCTTATACATATATGATGTATTGTATGAGATTTTAAGGAAGTTCCTGGCAAGATCTTCGTACAGTGTATTAGACTTCATGTATAAACCTTCTCTTGATAATTAAATCATTATAATACTTTTATGTAAATTACTTGAATTTGATTCGTCGAGAAACATTATTTAAAAAACACTTTTATTACCCTCTGAATATTGAAACCGTGATCTCCAGTATTATAGAACTTAACAACAGTCAACATTGTTTGATGATGGGTGATATTCCAAATAATGTTGACTGCGCAGAATCTATGCGCACTCAGTTCAGCTTTATTTTTATAAAATATTTGTAAAAAAAAATTGTGTAAAAAATTGTATAAAACATTTTGTATAATATAATAAATACTGCATGTATTTTTGGGTAACATTGAAAATTTTCACCACTCGAAAACCATTAATTGGTAACCTTTGCTGTGTCTTGGTTGACATTGGTTTTCTTGGGGTGAACATTTTTAATGTAACCCTCAAATACATGCAGTATTTATGTAATATTCAAGGGCAATAAAGAATTTTAGAAAAAAAATTGAATTGAAAAAATATATATCTTATGTGTGTTGCAGAATATACTGTATTTTCAGTAAAATGGAGAGATTTGTACGACATACTTCCCCTTCTCACACAAAAGACATTCAACCAGAACTGTGCTCATTGAAGAGTGAGTCCTTTTATCTTAATCAGGAACTCAAAAAGGTAAAAAAAAATATATATATGATTATCTTTCCCAAACAAAGTTTGGGAACATATTCTTTTTACTATGTTTTGCATTACATATTTGTATTTTCTGATTTTGTCTCCAGTATTTTTTTTTGTTCGCAAGTGTTCTCAGAAACTCCTCTGTCTCACTCAATCAAGACTGAACCTTTAAACAGGCATGTTGTGTAGATGTGATCACTGAAGGTCATTGCATGTATGTGCATGAGCATGCAATGTGTAAAATGACTGGTATAATTAGAATAGCTTTCACTTTTCTGTTTTTTTGATGAAATGGTTTGAAACTCTGTATATATATATATGCATATATTTGTGGTGTAGACAGGATGATTTGGTCAAATTGGCATAAAAACACATACTTGCAGGTGCTTTTTGGCTCTGAATGGATGATACAAAAATATCTATTACTTTTATGTTTTTTTTTTCAAAATGCTTTGAATTTTAAATATAGGTACATGTATATAGTATGAGGTGTTTGGACATGATTTATACAAAAATTCTTGAAAATATGCACATGCATGCACTGCAATTTGATTGGCTGAACTTCTGAATAGCTATGGGTATATTTCATTTATACTTTTAAGTTTTTAATGAATATTTCCAAAATTTACACTATAACTTTATATTATTAAATTATATAAGGTGATTATATATATAAGAATTCTTGAAACATGTGATTGCATATGCACTGAAATCTGATTGGCTAACTCCTCATATGGCTTTATCTGCAGTGTTATCCAAAAAAAAAATTAAGTATAAAAAGTATTGCATAATATAATGAAGCTTGTAGGAAATGGGGCAGCAAAATGGAGTAGGGGAATCATTAGGGGAACATCTGTAATGGTTCCTACTTAGTTCTAGTATTACTAGTTACACAGTCAGTTAGGGACCTAATACGGAGTCATAAAGGTTGTGAAATGGAAATCCATACTGGGCGAGGCGAATTGGGAGAGGCTTTGCCATGCGCAATACGGATTTCCATTTCACACCCTGTATAACTCCATATAAGGTTTCTAACTGACCGTGTAACAAATTTATCCCGCTGAATACTTTTTTAAATATTTCGAAAAAAAACTTTGAGAATATTATCAAAATATCAAGATTTATGAGCATATTATCAAAATATCAAGTTTTAATCCAATAACAATCGACATAAAATATCATAACAAGTAACAAACTGTTTCTTAGCCGCCATTTTTATTTATAAAAACGACACTTCGAACAGAATAATGTGCACGATTTTAATATTACCCCTGGACGGAGACGTAATATGGAAAATTTCAGGGTGTCATGTGATTAGGTTTTATCCAATCAGCAATCTACAAATTTGTCTGAAGCGGGATAAATATTTATAAATGTGTTGAAAATCAAAATTTATACAATCATACCACTTATGCATATATATATTTATTTGATTTATTGAGTATGTAATTGTATGAGTGACTTCAGCTTGAGCAAGAAATGATATAAACACAAGTTCAAAATTTTATGACAATTGTTAGCTCACCTTGACAAAATTGAGATGAGTTTATGCAATACAATTGGCAGCAGCATCTGCATTGGCATGGGCATTTTTAGGAGCAAGTCCATTGCAAAGTAACTATAAGCCTAACTTGTACCAACCTTGCATGAATGATGGCAGATGCATCCATGGATGCACACTACCAGACTTGCTTCAAATGCTGGATCTGACCCACATTTACAGTTGAGGTACCAGGTTTAAGCTTCTGGAGCAAATCCATTTTGAAATAATTATAAATTCTTACTACTAGAACATGGTTAGCTCACCTATCACATTGTCATTTGTCCATTAACCTTTCATTTGTTCAACATCTTTACAAAATAAAATGGGCTTCAAATTTCAGACAGAAATTTATAAGAATTATTGGTTTAGTTATAGAGGATTTAAATTTGGTTATGAAAGGACCATGTATCATTCTAGCTAGAAAGTTAAAAAGCTAGAAATAAGTTTTTAATTTTACTGGTCAGAGGTGCAATCAAAATTTTTGACCACTGGTCAGTGTTTCATTGTCCCAGTTTACCAGAGAAGATTGAGCGTACCAAAAATTTACTGGTCCATCAGATTAGTGTATTTATAAAATGTGAATCATACATCAAAATCTATGGACCCTGGCCAATAGGTCACCTATGATTTCTAGTCCTCATGAGTTAAATTTGAGGATTCAGCTATGACAAGTGTACTCTCCATGCAACATGAATGGCATTTGGAGCTATAGATTGTTGTGTGCAAGATGATAGTTGTAATCCTAAGTTAATGCGTAAGATTTTAATTACCACTGAAACACACATTTTTTTCCTTTAAAAACCACTGTTACTGGTATTTGTTACAGAGAGGTATCACCAACACAGAAGTGGCAGATCCTCCTTTAAATTGTGAGATAGCTTACAGAACCCTTCTTACTTCTGATGGTGTTGAATTTTTGTCAGAACTTTGTCAGGAGTTTGATAAAGAAGTGACACAGGTAAACAACATTATGTCTGCTGTATGAAAATTAATACTGGAATGATGTTCAGTTTACTCAGGTCAAACAAATTGTTAAAAAAAATAATAATAAAAAACTGTAAATGTCTTTATTGTCAACATTATATTTTGTAAATGGTTATTATTTTTACATTTGAATAAAGTATTTTTTTCATCTTTATCTAGATGCTACAAGCTCGGGAACAAAGGAAACTGGAATTAAAACAATCAAGTCATCTCCCTGATTTCGATCCTAAAACTGCAAACATACGTGAATCAAATTGGACGGTTTCTCCAGTTCCCAGAAGGCTTCAGTGTCGTCATGTAGACCTTGGTGATGTGTCTCCTAGCAACAGAGCCCATTTTGTTGCTGCACTGAAATCTGCAGCACAAGGAATTCAGGTTTAAACAAATACAGAGTTATATACTTATGTGTTGAATAATGTTTAAAAACTCAGAATCTTGAATTTATTATGAAGGATGTTTAGCTTTGCATAAAAAAGCTGCTATATCCCTTTGGGTGTGCATGGTCCTATTGGTATACTGTATAAAGCTAGAGTTTTGCCATTGATCTGCATTTTCATGGCAGAGTACATTCATGAACAGTAAAATCAACTTGAAAAGAAAAAAAAAACACTCAAGTGAAAGGACAGAAAACCATGAAATTAAAATGTGAAAATACCTGTGATTAAAATCAATTCTGTAGTCAATAACTAACTAGTATTCTGATTTTTTTCTAAGAACACAGTTTAGGAAATGTCTTTCTGTTGTTGGAGAGATAGCAGATGTTACTTTACGATTCAGTATTGGTTGGTAAATGGTTGGTAAATGTACATTATTTGATGAAGTAGGCATACTAGACCATTGAAAATGGAACTTAATCACAACATATAACTAGTAACATCTCCAATGTTTGTATGATAAAAATAAAGTGAATTAGAAAGGAGGAAACAAGCAATATCAGAGGTTAAATTGGCCACCACAGATAAATGACATCCAGGTCTCTGGGACAGGAACCACAATTTGAATGGTGAAAGTAATGCTTATCATGGTGATTCTTCTGATAAGACATCATTTTTACACCAAACTCCTGTGGCAAAGTTAAGTGGCAATGAACACTTACGCAAAGATTTATTTTTTGAGATGTTGTTTTGGAACAGCATGATGGGTATTGTTAGATTGTCATTGGTTGTTTTTGAACAGCATGATGGGTATTGTTAGATTGTCATTGGATTCTTGACACACAATGACCATCTTACAAAACCACAACATATATGTAACATTCCACTATCTAAGCTGCCATGTCACATAAAACACTCCTTACTAAACTCAGTGAATATTGATATAACATATGTATCAGAGTTTCCTATGAAGTATGGTTAATAAATGTTGATTTAAGCTCAGAATTAGGTTAGTCTTTCTAGCTGTAAAATTTTAAATAATAAATCAGACTGAGAATATGTAAGCATGATGAAACAGAACACACACATTTTGTTATTTACATGTATTCAGTACATTAAATACTGGCACAAAACAACATAAAGTACCTGCTTCAGTATAAAATGCATTATTAAGAATTATTCATTTTCTGTTATCACTGCAAAGTGCAGAGCAAATCCTTACTTGAATCTATAAAAATCAAAATATATACAGGTATATATTCTGATATCATGTAAATGTGTTTATTCTTAGCAACTAACAAACTACTGCTTTTTCCCTTTATCAAAGTAGAACGGAATGACAACAAGATACTTAGTAATTAACTCACTCTACCTTCAGAAGTGTAATATTGACAAGTCCTTTTGTTTCCTTCTTCTGTCTCAATTCTGCAGGTAAAATTTTGAGATACAGTCAAACCTTGTTATCTCAACTTTATGGAACTCAAGAAAAAAATTTGAAGATATCCAAGATTTCAAGATATTGAGGTTAAAATACATAAAGAAAAAGTTGTTGAGACTTCCAACACAATTCAACCTATCTATGGTATTCCAGATATTGATGACTGAGATTCCAAAGTTCAACTGTTCATATCTATTTAGTATTCATCATCTGTATTTTCAGCATTGTTTTATAAAATAATTTACATTAACTTTTAGAGGTTGCTAAGTATGGAATTTAGAATTCCAAAGATTTATACACTGGGAAAATATCAAAATTTATGAACTCCAATGTTCAGATTAAGATCATTGGGGTATCATATTAAATAATTTTATTGTTCCTTGAGGAGAATTAGCATTATTTTTTGTGACCAGATATTTACTAAGGTTTCGCCACAGTGACACTTCACTGTCGATTTTTGACATATAAATTACTGTAAACCAACTATTATTTGCGTCAACTTTTATTTACGATTCGTCAGTTTGAAAACAATGCGACGATTAATTTTCACGACTGAGGAAACATTCTCTACAAAAACAAAGCAAAATAAATGGTTCGCAGCGATTAATATTCGCGAGTTAGTTTACAGTAGTTTACAGTTGGTTTACAGTATCTGATCTTTGAACATAAAAATTGAAAATATATATTATAAACACCTAATAAAATTCAAAGATTTTTAAAGAAAAATGTGCAGATATTTCAAATATATAGAAATATTAACAATTTTCTGCTATCCAGGCATACATTGTACCAAATCCTATATTCTTATCAAAATTGCCTTTTGACATTCCATACAGTTAAAATCTTTTATATGAAAATAAGGACCAGGAATAAGTTTAAGACTTCTATTCCAGTATAAAATTGTCTCAATATTGCATGAGATGAATACGTCTAGACAAGATTAAAGTAGTGTTTTACATCTTACATTCTGCACTATGAATTTCTTGTGATCAGTGCCCCCCAAAGAAGTGAAAATTCCGAGAGGGAAAAACATACCTGGAGATGCCTGGGTTCAGATTAAGTTTATTCCTTATGAAGTCAACAATTTATATTCATTTTATTACATAAAAGTTTCCATAGAAACTGTTTTCAATATTTAATTGTAGAGTTCTAATTCTCACCTCATGTATTTGTTGATTGCATACAGGTGTGTTAAATGTCAGTTGTCTATAAGTCTAACAGTTTGTGTGGGCTCCTACTGGGAACAGAGGCCTTAACTTCAGAGTGTCAAAGACCACCGTCCACACCCAATAATAAGACATCTTCAGCATTTCAGCAGAACGTCATCAATTATCAGAGTTAACAAACTTATCATGTTAGGATAACTTAGACAGCAGTTTTTTTTCCACGGGCTACTTCTTGCTGTAAATGTCAATTAAGAGAATGGTAAAATCATTGTTCTCTTGTATGAGTCTGTGCACATTACTTAGAATTATGAAAAAGAGCTGACTTGTTAATTATAAGTATGTAATACCTGACAATTTTCATAAGTTGGATGTAATTTGAAATGCCACCAAGGCAGTATCTACATATAAACTGTGTTGCCTACATATCAGTGATGAGAGCCAGAAGTGTATTGATCCACCTGATGTTACATTTAAATTTTGTGCAACTTTTACTTGGTAGTTGCATTTTGTACATTTTCAAGGGTAATTGTCTTATTCTTAAACTAATTATAAATGAAAGAAAATTAAATTATAAGGAATGAATATAATACCTACCCAATTAATACTGTAAAACCTGGGTTGGAACAGTTTATACTTTTTAAGAAACTGCTTCATAAATAAAATAAATAAATAAATAAAGCATAAACTGCCCCAAACCAGGTTTAAAATATACTGTAAAAATTGGGTAGCTTTTAAATTAATTTCAGAAATAATGAATCTTGAAATTTTTTTTTTAATTTCTATGGATTCAAATAAAAAAAGGGAATTTTCAGAGTATGTTATGGATAAATAAATATATTCAAGTTTTGGATGATGTGTCTTAAAGTAAGAAAGGAAAAAAATGTTAATTTAATACCGTATGTACTCGCCTATAAGTCGGTCCGCCTATAAGTCGGTTGTATTTTTTAAGCTAACATTAAAGGAATTGACATGCTATACTACCAATATTTTTATAACTCGCCTATAAGTCAGACAGGGGTTTTGGACCAAAGTTTCACTCCCAAAAAACCGACTTATAGGCGAGTATATATGGTAACTAGAGTCGAATGTATAAAATAGCAGTCTTATCTGGCTCATAGAAAAAAAAGAAAAACTCAGTATGTGTACAGCAAAACTCGAATATAGCAAACACGGATATAGAGAAATTATCATTATAACCAGATATAACAATGTAATAATAACAACACAACAACAAAGTCCTTACTGAACCATATGAAAAATTATCATTTATAATGAACATGGGTATAACAAGTTAACGGTTATAACAAAGTAATTTTTTACAATCCTAATGACTAATTATCAATATTTTTTTTAATACATATAATACATTTTTTTTCTCATAAATTTCAACAATCAGTATGATAAATAAGTACATACCTGAAATATTTCACTCCTTATTTGAAATTTAAAAATCTTATTTACATTTTACACATTCAAGATCTTTAAATTTCAGTGAAATCAATGTACTAATTAATGACTATTTTTTTGTTTCTGACATTGATAATGATAAATGAACTTCTGTTTTGTGACAAATTCATTCAAAGCTTTGTTATAAATTCACTATATACATATAACAAATTACGATTATAATAAACTTTTTTTATTTGGTCCCTTGAAATCCCATATTACAAATTAAGTTTTGCTGTATTTAATTTACAACATGCAACATTCACCCTTTTCACCCAAATTTTTAATGAATGGATTTTAAACTGGTTTTGAAATGAATAAAGGGTTCACAACTTTAGAGAAGCAAAAGTTTGAAATACATGTAGGTCAATTTTTTTTTCTGCATAATTAAATATTACACAAGGTATCATTAACATTTAATAAAATAATGTCTATTTTGCAGACTGATTTTGATGACGGACACTGTCCCACATGGGCCAATCAGCTTCAGGGTTTATACAATGTATACAGAGCCGTACACAACACTATACCAGGTATATTATATCATCAACCATTACAGAATAGTCCAACTGGACTTGATGTTCCAATAAACACAAAAATATTTTACCAATGAGAATACACAGGTACTTTGTATCTTTGATTCATGTACTGGGTATTAGGCCATTTATTTATGTTATGTAACACAACAAACATTCAACCCATAAAATGTATGTTCCTTGACTTTTTAATTTTATTGAAATGACAGGTGTACCAAACATAGAGGATGCTCCGGTTCTAATGCTGAGGCCCAGAGCCTGGAACATGGTGGAACACAACCTCATTGTAGGTGATCAAAAATTTAGAATGTCAGTGTTTGTTGTTCTAAGAGGTCAAGAGAGAAACAGATTTGTCATTTTTTTATGCCCCGCCATGAATATGGCCGGGGCATATAGTGTTTGCCATGTCCGTCTTCCGTCCTTCTGTCCTTCCGTCACACTTTGCGTTTAGCTCTGTTCAAAGCTTAGTTTCAAAGAAACTATCCAAGATATTTTTATCAAACTTCATATGCTGATAGATATTGATGAGAGCTATGCAACTGCATCAACATTTTTTGACCTTGACCTTTCCTTTGACCTTGTCCTCACTTTTCTTAAATTAGTGTTTAGCTCAGTTTTAAAGATACCATTCAAGATAGTGTAATCAAACTTCATATGTTGATACATACTGATGTAAGCTATTCAACTGCATCAACATTTTTTGACCTTGACCTTTCTTTTGTCCTTGACCTCACTTTTCTTGAATTAGTGTTTAGCTCAGTTTTAATGAAACCATTCAAGATATTTTTAACAAACTTCATATGCTGATGCATACTGATGAGAGCTATGCAACTGCATCAACATTTTTTGACCTTGACCTTTCTTTTGACCTTGACCTCACTTTTCTTAAATTAGTGTTTAGCTCAGTTTTAAAGATACCATTCAAGATAGTGTAATCAAACTTCATATGTTGATACATACTGATGTAAGCTATTCCACTGCATCAACATTTTTTGACCTTGACCTTTCTTTTGACCTTGACCTCACTTTTCTTGAATTAGTGTTTAGCTCAGTTTTAAAGAAACCATTCAAGATATTTTTAACAAACTTCATATGCTGATGCATACTGATGAGAGCTATGCAACTGCATCAACATTTTTTTACCTTGGCCTTTCCTTTAACCTTGACCTCACTTTTCTTAAATTAGTGTTTAGCTCAGTTTTAAAGATACCATTCAAGATAGTGTAATCAAACTTCATATGTTGATACATACTGATGTAAGCTATTCCACTGCATCAACATTTTTTGACCTTGACCTTTCTTTTGACATTGACCTCACTTTTCTTGAATTAGTGTTTAGCTCAGTTTTAAAGAAACCATTCATAATATTTTTATCAAACTTCATATGCTAATACATACTGATGTAACCTTTTCAACTGCATCAACAATTTTTGACCTTGACCCTTGACCTCACTTTTCTTAAATTAGTGTCAAACTTCATATGCTGATACATACTGATGTAAGCTATTCAACTGCATCAATATTTTTTCACCTTGACCTTTCCTTTGACCTTGACTTCACTTTTCTCAATTTGTGTTGAAATGTTGCATTACTAATATACCCTCGGCGGGGCATTCATGTCCTATGGACATATTTCTAGTTTTAATCATTGTTGAATTAGGAGAGAGGAGAGGGAGGAGCATGAATTGATTAGTTAAATCAACATTCAGGAGAGGAACTTATTGATTGATCATCAGTGAATTGAGAGAATTTGTTGCAACTAGAACACAATTGACCATTTCTGTCACTTGAATTTTTTTTTTCATCATTATATTTTGTGGTCATAAGAGAGAGAGAAACAAGTTGATGGTCATTTAACAAAGATTGTGGGATCTTTGATATAATTTCCTTGTTTTATATGAAACATAAGTTCTAACAGACATGCTTTATTTTTATAGGTGAATGGTCAGGAAGTTCTAGGTCCACTATTTGATTTTGGACTTCTTATGTTCCATAATGCTCGTATTCTGTTGGAGAAGGAGTGTGGACCTTATTTCTACCTATCCAAAGTGAGTTTTTATATTCCACTGTGATAATTTAGCATTAAAATATTAATATATGGAGTATTATTGAAATGACTTTTTATTATATTTTTATCAAAATATTTTTAGCATTTTAATTTTGTTTAAGGTAATATAACAATCTGAATTTTGTTTGACAGATATATTTTTTTTTACATCAATTTATTTTTTTTTTCTCACCATTTTGATTTTAGCCATTAAATTTCTTTGTGGTTATATAGTTTGTTTAAAGAGACATAATTAATGAGTCAAAATCATTCTTTTATGATATTGTATCACAAATTGAAAGATTTATATAAAAAAAAAATATTAAGGAAAAAAAACAAACTCAACACTACAGTGAAACAAGCAAAGAGTGCAAAATGTAGTTGCCAGAAAAACAAAGATTCTATTTACTGCATTGTTGTTATCGTCCATTTCAAGGTCACGTAACCTTTATTTATTGTGTAAAACTCGTAAACAACATTGAATTGGAGCATGCAAAGAAAAGGAATATGATCTGATTATCTTTTTTGAAGACTGTATCAAAATCCTCTATCAACATATCACTTCTTGGGATTTGAGACCATGCATGGTAACTTGTTCAACTGTTCTGCGCACATACCATATAGGTTTCAGATGCTGCATTTTCAGCCAATATTTTCATAAAAATTACCAGGTCAATGTTTATGGAGGAGATTTAAGTTTTTGGTTGCTGGATCTGACCTAAATTTTCCAGATTAGTGATCAGATTAAATTTTTTGGAGCAGGTTCATTCTAAAATAACTACTGTGTAAGCCCTATGGTGACCAAAGTTGATGTTTGATGCATCTAAGGGTTGCACACAACCAGGCTTGCTTCTGATACTGGATCCAACCTACATTTTGCAGATGGGTAAATAGGTTAAAGTTTTTGGAGCAGGTCCATTCCCAAGTAAATATAAGCCCTACATAGACCAAACTTGCATGGGTGTTTCACTTAGGAATGACCATATCAGACATGCTTTGGATTCTGAATATGACCTACATTTTCTGGATGAATAACCAGATTGAAGTTTATTCCCAGGTTACTATAAGCTCCTGCTTACCAAACTTCCATGTTTGATTCATCTAGGGATGCACACATAACTAGACTTGCATCAAATGCTGAATCTTACTTATATATTCCTGATGATGAACAGAAAAAGGTTTTGGAGCAAATCCATTCCCAAGTAACTAAAAATCCTACCCAGACTAAACTTGCATGATAAATGTTGCATCTAGGGATACACACTACCAGAACATTTATTTGGTGGGAGACATTGCCTTACTCAAAGATAACATTCCTTGAGTTGAGCTGTGTAATCTTTGATCACCTATGTTTTAGGTTCTGAAACCTGTAATTTTGTCAAACCTAATACTTTCAAGAATTAAACAAAATTTGCATGAGGCATGCAAAAATTCTCTTTTTTCCCCTTAATTTTCCTGTTTTTGCATTAATGTGTCTCTTTAATATATATTTTTAATGATATTGATCACTAAACTGATGTTCAATTTTTTTTCATCAAACTAGTCTTAGCATTTTCAAAATTTAATTATCGTAATTTAACATTCTGAATATAGCTAGTTTTCGATAGGCCTGAATTTAGCAAGAGTTATTTCCCATTGGCTGCCATATTGGAGGTCCAACTAGCGAATTTTCCTCTTTGAGCAACCAAAATTACGTATTAAAGGAAGCTTGTGTTAACATAAATTTGTAAGAAAAATTGTGCTATCTTCACCCATTTGCCCAGTAAGACAAGTTTAAATTGGTTGAATAATGAAGGAATTCGGGTTTGTGTACCTCCAATATGGCGACCAACAGGAAATAACTCTTGTTAAAATCATTTCTATTGAAAACTATCTATTGTTCAATGTTTGTTTTTCATGATATTAAATTAACATGACTTTTTTCTGAATATTTCTTTTAAGGTAATGGACCTATTTTTTTTTAACAATACTTATTATCTTTTGAAGCTTGAAGGCAGTAAGGAGGCTGCAGTATGGGATGCTATTTTTAGTTGGACTGAGAAAAAGGTACGTGTTCAATCAGGGATATTTTAGGGGTCGTAGAGAGCCTATATTCTGTCCCATTCCCAATAGTAAAAAGTATGTGCCTTTATCAATTTTATAAAAGAAAATTCCCAAAAGACAATTGAAACAAATATGGTTAAAAAAAATTCCGGACTCAGTCACATGTATATATCAGTAATGGTGTTCCAAAAAAAAATCTAAAAGGCATGCTTCAAAAACTGATTTACTGAATGTAAAATAAGTCAATAAATACCTTGCAAATGAAAAAAAAAATCTTATTGAGTTTATTTAAAAAAATGATAAATATGATATTTTTTTCCCAATTTCAACCAAATGTCACTATTTTTTCCCAAATGGAAAGGCCCAGGCCCTTGATTTTAAGACTTAAAAAAACCCTGACAATATTAACAAAAGATACTGTTACCACACCTGTATACACCTATTTCATGACAAGGAAGAAAATGTCAAACTTTGCCTGTAGAATTTATAGTAATCCTTACTTAAATAGCTTCAGTGTCAAATTGATGGAAATTAAAACATTCTTATGTAGAGTAGGTTCAAAGTTGTTCACATCTATATACCATTTGGTACTAGATAGAGCTTTGTTAGTGCTCTAGTGATTTAAAAAGAAATAGGAATACAGAGAAGTATTAAATTGATAAAGAACATTCTTATTGACAATGATTGACAGCTGAAGCTGCCACATGGATGTGTAAAAGCCTGTGTGTTGATTGAGAATGTGCTGGCCTCTTTTGAGATGCATGAAATTCTGTATGCCCTGAGGGATCATTCCCTGGGACTTAACTGTGGGATTTGGGATTACTCAGCATCTTTCATCAACAAATTTGGTAAGATTGATATGTCCATCTTGTATGGCTGAAGTACTGCAATAAATTACTAACAGTTTATGAAAATATCTGATTCTATTAAGATTTTTTAGCTCATCTGACACAAAGGCTCAAGTGAGCTTTTTGATCAAAATTTGTCGGTTGTCTGTCATTGTCATCATTGTAAACTTTTCACATTTTCATCTTCTTCTCAAGAGCCACAGGGCCAATTTCAACCAAACTTGCCACAAAGTATCCTTGGGTAAAGGGGATTCAAATTTGTTCAAATGAAGGGCCACGCCTTCTTCCAAGGGGAGATAATTAAGAATTAGTGAAAAATTAATGGCATCATTTAAAAATCTTCTTCTCAAGAACCACTGTGCTAGAAAATATAAAAATCATGTGGAATTATCCTTAGGCAATGTAGATTCAAATCTGTTCAAATCATGACCCCGGGGGTAGGGTGGGGCCACAATGGGTGATCAAATTTCTACATAGGGAAAATCTTTAAAAATCTTCTTCTCAACAACAGCAAAGCCATGATTGGTCATATTTATGTGAAAGCTTTGCGAGGTAGTGTAGATTCAAATTTGTTCAAATCATGACCCCCAGGGGTAGGGTGTCGCCAGAGTTGGCAATCAATGTTTTACATAGGAATACATATGGAAAATCTTTAAAAATCTTCTTCTCAAGAACAGCAAAGCCATGATTGGTCATATTTATATGGAAGCATCCTCAGGTAGTGTAGATTTATATTTGTTCAAAGCATGACCCCCAGGGGTAGGTTGGGGCCACAGTGGGTGATCAAAGTTTTACATAGGAAAACATAGGGAAAATCTTAAAAAATCTTCTCAAGAACAGCAAAGCTGTGATTGGTCATAATAATATAAAAGCATCCTCAGGTAATGTAGATTCAAATTTGTTCAAATAATGACCCCTATAGGAGTATAGAGGGGCTGTAACAGGGGATCATAGTTATACAAAGGAATATAAAGGATATATGAATAAAAAATTCTTCTTAAGAACGTCAAAGCCATTTTTAGTCATATTAAATCAAAAGCATCCTAAGGTGATGTAGATTCAAGTTGGTTCAAATCATAACCCCCAACCCCCTTTTTATATTCAAATATTTCAATACTGAACTGATTTCTGCTTTTTCCTAGTGAAAGTGCTCAGGTGAGCGATGTGGCCCATGGGCCTCTTGTTTTTGTTTGTGGTAGATACTTAAGGAATGAATTTAATAGCTACCCATTTTATACGGTATAAACTGGGTTGGGGCAGTTTATGCTTTATAAACCGAGAAGCAGTTTATAAAAAAGCGTGAACTGTTCCAACCTAGTTTATACCATATAAATTGGGTAGCTATTAAATTCATTCCTTATAATTTAATTTTCATTCATTTTGGTGTAAGTAAAAAAGATGATTGTCCTTAAAAAATGACTTCAATTTGTACAAAACTTGAATGTAACGTCAGGCGGATCGATACGTTTTTGACGCAAGTCATTGTGACATAGGCAACCCATTTATACAATACATGTATTAAGTAAATTTTTTATCCATTCAAATAAAGCGTTACAACCAGAATTAAATTATTATTAGATAAAATAAGATTTTTATTTTTATATGTATGAATTAAAGAATTCTCCAGTAAATGCATCTGAAGTTGAATAGTAACATTAACATATTTCTACACAGGTCACCGTCGGGACTTTTTATTACCAGATAGGAACAAGTATGTGTCTATGGATCGCCATTTTCTGAAGAGCTATATGGATTTAGTGGTGCAAACCTGCCACCAACGGGGTTGCCATGCTACTGGAGGAATGGCAGCATTGTTACTACCTAAAACATCCTCAGAAAATTATGAAAAATATCAAATGATTCAAAACAAAGTTCTAAGGTAAAGTTTAAAATTTCAAAAAGTTAATGCATAAATGCTTATGTCTTTTCTTTACAAGTTTTTTTTTCCTGTTTTAAGCAGATTAATGGTGTATCCTAATTTGAACCATAAAATCACAGTTTTTGAGATAATTAGTTTGAAAGTCACATGACATCATATGTGAGACACCTTTAAAACCTGCTTGAAGGCTCAAGTGAGCTTTTCTGATCGAAACTTGTCTGTTGTATGTCATTGTTGTTTACTTCTCACATTGTCATCTTCTCCAGAACCATGGGGCCAATTTCAACCAAACTTGCCACAGAGTATCTTTGGGGATTATAAAGGGGATTTAAATTTGTTCAAATGAAGGGTGCCACCCTTTTCCTAAAGGAGATAATTAAGAAATAGTGAAAATTGGCTGGGGTAAAAATCTTCTTCTCAAGAACCACTGAGCCAGAAAAGGTGAAGCTTACCTGAAAGCTTTCTGAGGTAGTGTAGATTCAAATTGTTCCATTCAAGACCCCTGGGGTAATGTGGGGCCACTATGTAAAATGAACTTATAAACACTGAGTCTTTCTTACAGAGCTAAACAGACTGAGATTGAGGCAGGTGTTGATGGATTTATGGTCTATGACATACGGTTGGTGGTACCATCTCAACAGGTTAGTTTAAAAATAAAATCTTCAACTGATTCAAAATAACATACCATATTGGTAAAAATAGTTTTATTATTTTGTTATCTTTTATATTTTTGAATGAAAAATTACCCTTGCATTCCTAGATGTGGAAAAGGTTAACCTCATCAGACAATCAGTTTTCCAAGTCAAGGTCAGAGGTCAAGGTCACCAATAAAGACTTATTACTGATGCCATCAGTAAGTAATTAAGTTTGATGATATCAGTGTTATGTTTGATACTGTCAGTTGGTCTAATATTAACATTTTTCACATTTTACAGGGAGGAGTTACAGAGACAGGTTTAAAACATAACATTGCTGTTGGTATCCTCTTTATTGAAGCTTGGCTCAGAGGTTTGTTTCCTATACATGAGAATGTTTTAAATTTTAATATGCAGTTTACAGGATCTATTTAAATTTTAAGCTCACTAGAGCTGAATGGTCAAGAGAGCCTTTCAGATCACATTTTGTCCGGCATTCGTCAGTGAGTCTGTAAACTTTAACATTTTTTGAGCTTCTATAGAACCACTGGGCTTCAATCAAACTTGCTTCAAAGCACCCTTGGATAAAGGGGATTCAAATTTGTTCAAATAAAGAGCCATGCCCTCTTTCAAGGAGAAATAATCAAGAATTAGAGAAAATTTTGTGACATCATTTAAAAATCTTCACAGGAATCACTTGGCCAGAAAAGATAAAAGTTATGTAAAAATTTCCTGACATTGTGTAGATTCAAGTTTTTTTCAAATCATGGGCCCCAGGGTTAGGGTTGGGTCACAATAGGAGATTGAAGTCAAACATGGAAATACGTAATGGAAAATCTTTAAAGCTTCTTCTGCAAAACAGCTGAGCCATGATTAGTCATATTGATATGAAGGCATCCCAAAGTAGTGTAGATTCGAGTTTGTTCAAATCATGGTCCCTGGGGATAAGGTAGGGCCACAATAGGTCAGAATTTAACATGGGAATATATAGGAAAAAATATTTAAAAATCTTCCTCTAAAGAACAACTAAGCCATGATTAGTCATATTCAAATATGGAAGCATCTTCAGGTAGTGCACATTCAAATTTGCTCAAATCATGGCCCCAGGGAGTTGGGCCACAATAGGAGATCAATAGTTTAACATGGGAATATTCAAGAAAAAATCTGATGATGAAGAACAGCAGTACCATGATTAGTCATATCAATAGAAATCTTCCTGACATAGTGTAGATTCAAGTTTGTTCAAATAATTGTCCCAGAGAGTAGGGTGGAACCACAATAGGGGATCCAAGTTTAACATGGGAATATTTAAAAATCTTCAGAGAAGAACAGCTGAGCCATGATTAATCATATTGAATTGGAAGCAGGGGTTATTATGAGATCAAATTTAATGTAATGCATGTGTACTGGGGGAAAATGTTTAAAAATCTTCTCAAGAATAGCTTAACCATGTTAGTCATATGGAAGCATTCCAATACACTTTGTGGAATCAAAATTTTCTTGGGAATAGAGGGGAAAGATCTCTTAAAAATCTGAAGAAAAGCAGGGCCAAGGTGAATCAGGCAACTTGTGGCCCCATGGGTCTTATGCTCTATATGTTTACTTCTGATTTCACAGGTGTGGGTCATTACTATTACAAAGGAGCTGTAGAGGATTCAGCCACCGCTGAGATATCTAGGTCACAGGTAAGAACTAATTACAAAATACAGATTGGCACAGGTACTTGATGTTTTAAATACTTTTATTGATAAAAAAAATTTCCATACTATAATAGTAAAAAGGTTCGTAACAGTCGCATTCTTGAATATTTCAGCTGAACTTCACCTCAATTTTGGCTACAGTGTGTTTAGAATTAAAGTATTCAACTGTTTCTCAAGTATTTACTTTAACTATGTGTCAAATGTTGGACTATTCAACTGAAATCACATAACATCCTCTCCATTTCTTAAATATGGTTTCAAACTCAATCTACTGCTTTTAGACAAAAAATGCAAGATGGCGACCGTGACAAACTTTGTTATCCATTTAATGTACATGTACTAGACATGATTTGGATTCATTTTCCATATGAGTGACCAGGATAAGGTTTTTGGGGCAAGTCCACTCCCAAGAAACTATGAACCCTGTCTGGACCAAACTAGCATCTAGGGATACACATGATGCTTCTAGGGATACACATTACCAGACTTGCTTTGGATGCTGGATCTGACTTACATTTTCTGGATAAGTGACCAGATCAAAGTTTAAGGAGTAGGTCCATTCCCAAGTAATTATAATCTTATCTGGACCAAAGCTGTATGGATGAAATATGTAGGGATGCACACTACCAGACTTGCTTCAGATGCTGGATCTGACCTACTTTTTTGAAACAGTTCTATTCCCCAGTAACTCTAAGCCCTACCTGGACCAATGTTGAATGTAATGTATCTAGGGATGAAAACTACTAAACATTCCTCAGATGCAACATGTGACAAACCTGGATGATCTGACTTATATTTTCAAGATTAAAGATTATTGAAACAGTTAAAAGTTTTTGAAACATTCCCAAGAAATTAAAAATCCTACCCAGAACAAACTTGCATGGTTGTTGCATCTACATAAGCACAATACCAGAACATTCATTTGATGAGAGACATTACTCGACTTATAGATACATCGGTGTAGGTGAGCTTCACAATCTGTGATTACCTATGTTTTTTCTTAAATTGAGAACTTTGCTAAATTACAATTTATTCAAAGGTATAATAAATGTACACTGTCTTTATACAAGCTACAGTGCATCTTATTAATATTTCTACAGATTTGGCAATGGATCAGATTTCAAGCCATTCTAGAAGACAATGGCAAACAAATAACCATGGCGATGGTGAAGAACTTAATCAGAGAGACGACACAGGAGATGTTTTGGTCATCGGAGAATTCTCATTTTGTGACAGAAAAAGACAGACAGAGACTTCTTACAGCTGCTCAAATGTTCCAGGAAATTGTGTCTAAACTAGATTTCCCAGAATTCATCACTACATATTTTAATTTGGATCACACATTTTTAAAGAGCCAGGCTTCGTTTTCATTTGTTAGTATGTCAGCTTTGGAATCTCATTTGTGAAGAAGTTTGATCTGGTGGTAGAACCCGGTGTTCATTGATCTGTGAACATTGTATACTTGTAGTCATTCCATTATGTATGTATGGACTTATTATTTTATCAAAGATGGCATGCTAAAATATATTTACTCAATACAATTTTTGTTCAACCAGAATAGTTTTTGTAGTATTGAAGTGTCCATCTGTCTGTCTGTGAAATGCACTTTCTCCTTCTGTTTTAGCCTGTTTTGGTCTGAATTTAGTAAAACTTTGCACACAAGACTAAATCAAGAGACATAATTTTGTTTATTAGTTTTTATTATAATTTACAGTGTTTGCCATAGTGACTAGACATAGAGTAATCTCTTTCATTATTTGAAATCTGTATACAGGGAAATTTTTGCCCCAATTTTATTTTTGTCCCATTTGCCCTACCTTCATAAATTTAAAGTGGGGCGAATTCAAAGAATACAATATAATTAGTTAAACAGAACTATGACTGGGCAAATTTAAAACAGGGCAAAATTGTTTGCAAGTGTGAAAGGGCAAAAATAACCCTACATACAGTACTACTCTTTCATTTTTTGTCTGATTTCATTATATATTTCATTATTTCAAAATACTACTTCTCATACAGAAGGCATATACATGTAGTTTTGGGTCTGTCCATTTGTCTGTTTGCAAACACCTTAACCTTGGCCATAACTTTTAAGAGGTTGGAGCAAAGGCTGTCATATATCACAGTATATTCCTTGTGACAAGATTTTTTTGGGGTACCAAACATTTCTGACTCCATGTCCTTTACCTTGGCATTTGACCTACTTTTGAAAGACTTAGGCCTTGGTAATTTCTCAACAGTTGGTGCTAGTGCTTTCTTATTTCACATGTGTATTCCTTGTGACAATACCTTTCTTTAACTATTACCAATATTTTTGACCTCATGGCCTTGACCTTGGAGTTCAACCTACTTTTGAAAGACTTTATCCTTGGCCATAACTTCTGAGCAGTTGGTCCTAGGGCTTTCATCACAGATTCTGTATTCCTAAGATTGAATAATGTATGAAATCATAACAGAATGCTACTTTTCTGAATTTTTTTGTCTGATTCAGTGAAACATCTATTTCTAAATATATAATGCTTTTTCTTTGATTTTACATTACAGTAAACAGTGTGTTACCTGTCACTGATCTGCCTTGATAATACATGTATTAAATTGTTACAGGTTTAATACTTTCAGTTTGTGTAATAGTACATTGTACATCATGTGAATCAGTAATTACTAGTACATTATACATCATGTGCATTAGTAATTACATGTCATTAATAGATGTATTGTTTATCCTGGTGCTTGTCCATTTCAGATAACATAATATATAAATCACAGTCATCAGGTGTGAATGTAACATTGTATTTACAAAGATTGTTTATTTTCCATGTCTTTCAGAAGTATAGGGGCATTTTTAGCTCACCTGAGCCAAAGGCGTAAGTGAGCTTTTCTGATTGAAGGATGTCCAGCATCCTTCTGTCGTGTGTCATCTGTAAACTTCTCACATTTTTGACTTCTTATCATGAACAATAAAGCCATGATTAGTCATATTTATATGGAAGTGTCCTCAGGTAGATTCAAATAGGGTGGGACCACAATAAGTGATATAGCTGTATTGTGACATAAAAATATATAGGGGAAAACCCTGCTGATGGAGCACAGCAGCTCCATAGTAACTCAGGTGAGCAATGTGGCCTATGGGCCTCTTGTTTTTGTTTTGCATTTATCTTATGAAATATTTTTGTACTACATGCTTATATTTTTATTATTGGTGAAGAGCATTAAAAAGATTATTTCAGTAAACAGTCTTTATTGTTTTGTCATATAGATCCCAAATCAAAATATTGATGCCTCATGGTAACTAATCTTTTCATGTTTGTTCTAACATTTATGTTAGGTACCATGAGTACCTTTCCCTCTATAAACCTTTATTTTCTGGAGAAGTAGAGGAGGGATAGAGAAAAACTTTAGATATTAGAGGCACTTTATTAGGTCAAGGTCAAACATAAAGATTATTGATAGGACAATTACTCAGTTAAATGATATGATGTCTTCAGTACCTTTCTTTGTATTGATTACATATGTAAGGTTAGAGGAAGCCTATAGAGATTTGGGTCAAGATTATTTATGACCACTACATATATATGTTTGATGTGATATTTAAGTATATTAATATAATCAGCAGGCTATCTATGCACTTACAAGGTGGAGAAAGATGCATAAGGATACTGGGTTACTTTGTCAAGGTCAGTACTATTGATATGAACATTACATAAAGATGTGATGCACTAACGTATGTTTCTTTCTATCTATAAAATAACTTTCATAAAAAATATTAACAAAGATCAGGGAAACGCAATTTTGGGAGCATAATGGTCAAAAATACTTGTTTTCCCAGAACAAACCTTATGCAACTTATAAATTACATAAGCAGAAGATTTTGTAAAGAAAGACATTTTTTAATATCATAATTTCATGTCATAAAGTTGAATCTGATTCGTCAAGGAACATTTGTGAAAAAACACACTGCTACCCTCTGAATGATGAAACAACACCCTTCAGCGTGATGGAATGTTGCAAGTCCACAATGATTGACAATGGGTGATATCCCAAACATGAGGCCTAATTAGGAACTTAACGGTCACCTGAGTATATTACAACATTGTAAAGGATCCATAGAAGTATAAAATAAAACAAAAAACTGATAGATGAAGCTAACGTATTTTTGTCTCATTATTTTCAACTCTAGCTGACCATTAGAAACTATGAATTTCAAAGTACTTTTTGTATTACATATTATGAAAATTCTTGTATAATTTTCTTATTCAATTAACCTTTCAATTACATTTAACAGTGATTAATTATCATATGTGAATAGCAAAGAGGAATAACTTAGATAACTTAGAATACAACTTAGTAGAGCCCTGCCCAGCACCAGTACACTTGACCAAGTGGTTTAGAATTTCAAAACTCTGGTAAAAATACCCTTGCTTATTACACTTTGTACTCTGCCTTCCAGATACCCAGGAGCAGAGAAAAAGATTTTCAAAGAATACTGCATTTTCACTACAGATTTAACACAAACCCCACCCTTACACCAGAACTCCTTACCCAGGGCCATGAAATTCACAATTTTGGAAGAAGCACCCTTGCTCATCATAACTATGCACTTAGTATATTGCTAAATACCCAGGGGCAGAGAAGATTTTCAAAAAAAAAATAATGCATTTTCATGAGACTGTATGTGTACTTAAAAAAGCGGGCTTCATATTGTAGCGGCTTTGGCGTAGACAACGATGTGCTTATTCATAAATCATTTATAAATATAATATACTGCACAGACATGTATAGCACTAATTCATGATTTCGCCATACCCAGTGATTGCGCTAAATTTTGAATATGCCAATTAATGTACATGTACAGTATATTCAGCAGAGCTTCACCCTAACACAAAACCCCCTGACCCAGGGGCTATGATTTTCATATGTTAGTAAGAGGCATCCCTGCTGCACATCATAACCATGCAATTAGTTTATCTAGTAAATACCCAGAAGCAGAGAAGAAGATATTTGAACAATTTATGTATTTTCAATCTCTGATCTAAAGAGCCCCACTCTAACTCCAGAACCTCTGACCCTGAGGCCATGAAATTCACCATTTTAGAGGGGGCACCGTTGCTCATCATAACCATGCACTTAGTTTATCTGCTAAATACCCAGAGGCAGAGAGGATGATTTTAGAAGAATTAATGCTTTTCAATATAAAATCAAACAGTCCTGCCCTTAAACCAGAACCCCTGACCCAGGGGCCATAAAATTCAGAACTATTGAAGAGACACCCTTGCTCATCAAGCAGTAACTGTGGGAGCAGAGAAGATTTTCTAGGAAATAATGCATTTTCCCAAAATGCCAAAAATTTCACAATTATGGAAGAGGCACCCTTGCTCATCATAACCAAACACCTAGTTTATCTGCTAATATACAGGGGGAGAAAAGATTTTGAAAGAAATTATGCATTTTCATGATATGATCATTATAACCCCACCCTAATTCCAGAACCACTGATCCCTGGGCCATGAATTTTACAATTTTGGTACAGGGTACAATCATGTCAACAGTTGAGTTTGACTGTTTGATGTTCAAAAATAAAAGAAGATTTTTAAAGATAGCACTAATTTTGATGGTTATAGCCCCACCCCTCAGGACCTAGAGGGCAGGGACTATGAAATTCACAATTTTTCTACCCCTTTACCCATTGATGCTATATGATTGGTTGAAATTGGGCATTCAGGTCCAATGGGCTTTTTTCTGTATTTACATTTCCTTTGGGTCAGGATACAACTTTTAATCATAGTAAACATTCTTGCTTCTGTTAAAGCCGAGTTTCCTTCTTTCAATATATGATCTGGATAAGAATTACGTGTGCAACCTGTATCCTTTATGATCTAGCTGAAGTTCACAACATCCCTTTGGATCTATCCCTTTTTCAGTAGTGGGTACTTTGGTACTTCAAAATGCTGTTAAGATTTTGACAGCATTTGAAATTCTAGGCCATACTAATGTCCTGTGAAATCTGTCAGTTCCACAGGGATCTGCTTGTAATAAAGTGTAGAGGACTCAAATACCAATGAAATACATTAATTGCAATACATGTTGAAAGCACAGTATGAACTTGTTCCATAATACATCCATCTTTGTAATCCATCAGGCAATTTCCCTTTATTTTCCAGTGGTAATCAGACATAAACTAAGAACAAAAAGTAAATCAAGAAATAATCTTATTTATTTCATGTGGAAAAAATCTTAATATTATAGTAAATGCAAATGCCACATTCCCTTGCCCACCCATTCACAAATTCATGCTCCCTTCCCAGATATACATAAAATAATCAATCAATAGAGACTATGTCTGACTACATAGGTATCATTAAAACTTCAGTGTAGGGAACACACCTACTTCCAGTAGATGCAGGTCAAGGTTTTCATCCTAATACACTCACACCTTAAAGCATGCTGTCCATGAATTTATCAACAATATTTTCACACATAATCTACAGCAGGATCTGTAATTTTGTTTTCATTTTTTGCAGAAAAATGTTTAAGGTTTAGTGTTTCTCTCTCTCAAACAAAAGATTATCAATAAAATGTAAACATCCTTGTACAAGAGCACTATATGCCATTCCTATTATAATTTTGGAGAGTTCTTGAAAAGTATTTTTCTTGGTAATTTATGGAAATAAAATATCAATATGAGAATTTTGTTTTATTTTTGCTTTTTGGACATCAAAGGGACATTTTACGAACTTACTTTTGCATAAAGACAAACAAAAAGGAAAGAAATAAAGACAAGACTCCAGTGATTCACACTAAACATGGTAATTTGAAATTATAAAATAGAATATCAAATTTTCAAAATATTTAAAAGGAAATAAAGAACATGGCAAAAAGTATATATAGAATAAAAAAAGGCAAAGGCTTTACTAGGATTAAAGATTGTTAGATACTAGGGATTTCCTTTCTTTTAGGTTTTAAGTTTTTTCTTGCAAAAATTGAATACATGTTTGTAGTAAGTTCTCATTAATTAAAATGTACGTATGGACACAGGAGTTCGCATACCTATCAATTTAACCGAAATTTTCAGTAAATGAAAAAATTACGTAATACCTATAATAATAACACAAGGAGTGCAACGCATTCCAGGTCACCGGGGAACCCCTCTCTTAATATCGAGGCTGCCGCGCAATCAATTTTCAATCGAAAATTATAAAACACAAACCATTTTTTTCGGAAGAAACCATTCTTTAAGTCTGTTAACGCATATGATTTGAAATGCCTGTTTAACATCAGTAGCAGTGACATTTCTCAACGACTTCGCCCAAACGTTGGTTGTCCGCGACGCCATTACGTGACGTTATAATGGGTGCGTTGAAAAAAATGCCAGAGATGAATAATAATATGTAAATTTAGATAAATTAAGTCATGTACGATATGAATGTTCTACAAACAAATTCAACAGTTCTCCGTTTTTACATACAGGTGTAAATAATGTGAAGAATACAGCGTACAAAATGATACATAAAAGAAATCAAAACGAATTACATGTACTTCCAGTAGAAAATGATTTGAACGTAACAGGGAAATGTTTTGAGCAGTGTCTTTCTCCTAAAAGATAATTATTATTTCCTTTTGACATTTGAAACATCATTTCAAAAAATGCTTCGGGCACTTTTTGATATTCTTGCATGAAGTGTGCGAGGATCTGTACATGTATGTGTAAAATGGATTATTTAATAATGTAACACTGCATGCATGTGAACAAAATTGTGAGTGATATAGTTCAATAGAAAAATCATATATCCCCCCAATAAATAAAAGTAAAATGGAAGCGCACGTCCAGCGATTGAACAACCCTTGAATATCGACCCCCCCCCCCCCCCGACAACTTGTACGTCAACATAGTAAATAGTATACATACCCATATATAAATAGGCCTACTTATAAAATGGCCTCTTTTTTCTTGTTAAACCAACAGATAAATATTGATCAGAAAAGCTTACTTGAGCCTTCTGCTCAGGTGAGCATGAGCACAGATTATAAGTGTTACGTATTTTTTTTTTTTTAATAAGTATTTAATAGGTTTTTTATTTACTGAAAATTTCGTTACAATTGATGGATACGCCATCTTCCGAGATAGTACTGATTAAATTCTCAAAGTATACGATTGTTGAATAATCTTTTCGTTCTTCCTTTTTTTACTTGTCAAAGATTTCCTCGCCAAAATTGAAGACACATTAACTTGGATTGCACCCCCCCCCCTCTACTTCCTGCTTTCAAGTTTTTTTAACACCTCAAACGTAACCTAATATTAATATATGCTTAATTTTTAACATACTACATTGAATAAATTCAATAAGGGTTGGAAAACATATACCCGTTCAATGTCTAAAAGGTCAAGACAACAAGGAGTACTTTAGTATACTTAAGTTAATAATCAATTATAAAGATTCGCCGGCATTTTTTTTTAGTATTTTATAATAAAAATGAAGATGACGTCATCCCCCCCCCCCAAATTATTCACATATTTTTCCATCAATACATAAAAATTTATATTTATTAACCATAAGTTGTGAATTGACCCCCCCCCCCTTAATCTTTTAAATACCACTGCTAACTTATTATGTAAAATGTTTCATATATTTTATATATATTTCACAATAGACAAAAAAGTACTCGTATTACAAGTTAAAAGCTTTATCTCTGGTATCATATTGTATATGATTGTTCATTTCAGGCATTATATGTTCCTTTTGGGTAAAGCGACGCGCCCGTATTACGTCACGTAATGGCGTCGCGGACAACCAACGTTTGAGTGAAGTCGTTGAGAAATGTCACTGCTACTGTTCTTAAACAAGCATTTCAAATCATATGCATTAACAGACATAAAGAATGGTTCCTTCCGAAAAGAATGGTTTGTGTTTTATAATTTTCGATTGAAAATTGATTGCGCGGCAGCCTCGATATTAAGAGAGGGGTTCCCCGGTGACCTCGAATGCGTTGCACTCCTTGTGTCATTGGTAGACAGACACCTCGGCCCAACGACACCTCGGCCCATCACGCTTGACACCTCGGCCCTGACAGGTTGGCCCAAAATTATTGACACCTCGGCCCATACTAAAGACACCTCGGCCCAAGGAATTTTTTTTTTTTTTTAGAATTATTATCTGTATTCACTATGGTAATATAAATGTATGTATGTTTATAATGACGATATGTATACGATAAACAGGGGCTTATAATTTCAGAATTTTTGAACGAACGACAGCATAGATGTCAGCTGCTGTATTTATTGAGTGGGAGATAGGAGGTCTATTTATTTATTTATTTTGTTGCTTATGAAAATGCAACTTCATTCATTTCATAATGTTTAGAATTCTTTTACTTAAAAATCACTTCGTAGTAGGGGGGTAGTGTACACTTAACTATATATAATAATTATATGTATAAACCAGTGCACAGTAGCATATGTCCTGAGGTATTCTGTCCTGATCAATAAGATGCCTTAATTGATTCTTTTTTTTTTTTTAATTTATAAACTCAACTTAACCTTACACAGATAGAAGTCACGTTAACCTGATAGATCTTTGCGTAATATTAGAGCATAATGGATATATTTCCCTAAACCAACCAAGGAAGATATGTGGTTTGTATCCAACAATTGGATTAATTTAGCCTGCTCGTAATTATAACTCCTCATTGTCACCACCCCATATGACACGCGCTTGAGACTTCAAAGGATGCGCTGCGTCTTCTTGTTTGTTTAACGATTAGCATGCACTATGTGATGGACAATCTTTTTTTTTTTAATCGTCAATTTACTCTCGGAAGATTATTCAATTATTTTCTTTTTTATTTCATGGATATATAATAATATAATCCGTCGCATATAGTCCTTATAATAATAAAATACTTAAGAAAATAACAAATAAATATGTTTAAAATAATACATTTTTGTTTGTGCCGAGGTGTCTTTTACGTGAGCCGAGGTGTCAATGGGCCGAGATGTCGTTGGGCCGAGGTGTCGTTGGGCCGAGGTGTCTGACATTCGTGTCATTATTATAGGTATTACGTATTTTTTTTTATTTACTGAAAATTTCGGTTAAATTGATAGGTACGCGAACTCCTGTGGTATGGATGATATGACTGTTTCTGTCCATGTGGGACCTGACTAGCTGTATACATGTATATAAAGATAAATGTTTACACATGGTCGAGTTCTCAGAAAGCTTGTACACAGATACTGCAGGTCAGTAATTCTCAAGCATCAACATGTGGTTTATCAATTCATAAGCATTCACAACAAAAAAATAAAGGGAAGAATATTTCACCCATATCAAACAACATTCAATAAAAAGAGAATAATTCTCAAACTCACACAAACACAGCTTAGGATACAGAATTATTAAGCACTGAATATTTGTTCATTTGACACTATTTCATAGTATGTATTATGCCACACTTCATGTAGAATGGAATGTGCAGTGTAAGCTTTTAAAGATTTCTTTTCTAAATCATGTTGCGATGGTTTAAATACCTAATGCTGTAGATAATTACTAAATACCCTTCATTGTGGTACTCGAATAATGAATACAGCTCTAGGTTAGGGTTTTTGGATTTCGGAGATTTAGAAAAAATTGTTGACAATGTGTTTAAGAGCAAGTAAGAAAAATCTTAAATACTGTAAGTAATACAGACTGTGAACAAACATATACTGTAAGAAACAGTGAACTCTACAAACACAAACATATGTGGTATCATGTAACACTTATATATACAAGTATACCATAATGTTGTATGTATAATGGACAATTTTCCAGAAAAATGTTTATTTGTATACATTGAACCCTAAAAATAAAAAAAAAATTAATAGAGAAAAACATTAAAATAATTTGGAGGGAAAAGTAGGAGTGTTTCTATCAATACCTCATTCATTTTTACAATAGCCCTGAAATTTAAACTGAACAAATCTCTTAGCGTGAACACAATAATGATTTATATTCTGTTTTTACATATTCTTATTTATGCAGTTACACAGTACACATTCTCAACTGGAAACATACTGAAAATATGTTATTGCAAGTATGGAAAATATGAACTACTAAAGTCATATTTAACAAGTTATTGGCTAACAATTCTGCTTCTTTTGAAAAAAAAAAAAGGGATTTTTTGTGTTATTATGAGCAGGGTAAAAAATTGTAGATAAAAGTGTACACTATACACACACCCCATTATGCTTTGTCAAATGACATTTAAATGCATAAGATATGATCTTTCATATTTCACAAATGTCATGAATGACGCACAAACTGACTTTCTCTGAACCATTATTCACATTTGGACCAAGAACAAATGATGTAACAAAGCTACAACGTATTTCAAAATAAAAAAAAAAGCACTAGTAGACCAAAAGTCTTGGATGAGACTGTAGCTCTACTGGTTTGAACTTGGTACCATCTTAGACAAAACTAGCACTTTGATTTGAAGCATTTATATATATGAATATATTTCTAAGAAGAGATGACTATTACTTATTTAAAACACAAAAAAATGAGCAAAGTGTTGATTTTTTTTTTTAAATTAAGTTGAAATCACATCAGATATTTTTTTCTACTTCAATCACTAATGTTATTTGATTATTGCAATAAACTTGATTAACAGAATAACACATGTAATCTCTTGATAAAGTTTACACCACATTTTATTCTATTAAAACAAGCACTCCATATAGAGCATCATATAGAAACCATTTGTCATGCTGACATATATCACTAAAATAAGAAAGTGGTATTTAGAAATATTTAACTCAATGGAGTCTACATTTACACCAAGTTTGATTAATATCAGTCCAAACTGAGTATAGTAGCATTATAAAAGAATTTCAAACAATTTTCTATCGAGAGTAACCATGAAAACATTCATTATATAAAAAACCAGTATACTGTATATAATTACAGGTATTTATCTGATAAGACAACATGGATACCAAAATTTACTGAAATTGACCAAAAACTGTAGACAAGACATACACTGAAAGAATTCATAGACCTCTGTTGCTTCTACAATCTTGATCGCTTCCCAGATTTTTTAATTTTTAGTTACCATGGTGCTATCGCTTGTCAGAAGAAATTCGAGGGTGGATCTTTAAATGATTTCTCTGTATACCAAGTCTTACTGATATCTGAAAATTTCTATAGAAACATTTTAATGAATTTTATAGATAACAGTATTTTAAGTTACAAAAATTTAATTCTTGGCATCAAAATCAAGCCCAATCTATAGAATTATGTAAGTGTACATCTATTCTGATGCTTTGATGTTTGATTAATCAAAAACCAACATACATTTTGTGTATCTTGATGTAGTCTACTTATGTACCAAGTCTTCAGGACATTGAAAACCATCTTGGAAAATGTTCTACTGACAGACGAATGAATCAGGGACACCTTACTAATACATAAGCTCTTCTTGTCTTTGACTTGTAGAGCTAATGTTACAAATGCAACTTTCAGTCTTATAAATATACGGTCAAAAACAAAGAAAAAAAAATAATTTTCAGAATACTGATTTAACTATATCATAACAGCATTTGGTGTAGTAAATAAGAGACATGTCACTCACTCAACCTCTCATTCTGATTTTTTTCTTCATTTGCTTACCTCAATAGTAAGCACTGCCTCTAACCATGAAAAATACTATCATCTGTTTTGTGTACATTTGCTGAAAACTGAACAAAATGACAAAAAAGGGGGGAGAAGAGAAGATGATGCAGTGATTAATAACACAGCTGTAAAGATGAGGGTCTATAGCTCTATTGACCTGTCCATGTCAGGGTTCACGGAGGACCACTGTTCTATAAATAGTGCTGTCAGGGACAGATGGGAACTCCGTCCTTTATATCACACGACAGACCACTTGTTCACAGTGAGACAGTTACTGAAGCAGTCTGCTATGAGCCATTGGCGAGGATTTGGTCTGGATGGCTATTTGCCGGGATAAGGAAGGAGGGACACAATGGGAAAAGTCTGTGGCACTTTGCCTGGTAGTCCTGAGCAGCGGATTCACAAGATCCAAAATCTCCACGACAAATCGCCTCCAACACCTCAATACAATTCTAAACAAGAATAAGAACATTAACCAATGTGCCACCAATGAAAATCTATTCAGTTCTATGTTTTGGTTTTCTTTTCTTATATTGATGCCAAGACATTTATCAGCGAAAGAATTTTTGTAAAAATTATTAAAAATTATTCTAAAGTAAAAATACTCAACCAATCGGGTGATCCCTGTGTAAGAATCTGAAAGACTTGTGGCTAATTCTAAACTCTTTCTCTGAATTTCTGGTGTGGGATCCAACTCATACATCATCCTCGCACCTGGATAAAGACATGAAAAAAATTATATAACATACTTTTCTTTACGTAAACATTTCTTTTTAAATAACTGCTGTAAGAGGGTCATAACCCATAAATAAATGCATCAATCTTCATAGTTAAATGTCATCTGACAATGGTGTCTTTGATGTCATTTTGAAATAATATGACAGTAAATAATGTTTCAATTCTCACATTTAATGCTTGTAAAAAAAAACTTAATTTGAAATGTCTTTGAGACTAATCACTGAAAATTCTGAAAATCAAATATCTGAACAACTAATCAATCTAGACTAAACACAGTTATCAAACTTAAAATCTTCATGACGCACTATCTAGGACGTGGGTTCTGCAAACAAAACATGTTTACATAAGAAAACATAGCATGCCAAATCATTATGTGTCACCAAATAAAAAATGCTAAGTTTAAAACTTCTTCATCTGAATTATCATTCACATTCTTTTTTCAGTATCCAGAAGCAAGAATAATTACTGATTAAGTACTTTATGAATACTTAAAAGTGTTTAGAACATTATATCCCATCAGCATTTAATGCATACTGTGGCTGTCTAATAATAAATTACAAAGGCCAATACTGAATTGATTATTATTGTCCAGGCATGATGTGTTTAGGGGCATCACCAGGAGAACTTTTGATAAATAAGATTCTTAAACTTAGGGGTAGCCAGTATGTGTCTCGTTTTTTTTTTTCTTTATGAAATTTCTGCTGTACATTGAATACTTTTGTGTTCTCTACAAAAAATGCCATAGCCGAACAATAGATTGGTCTAAATTTAATTCAGAGTTTACTCTGCTCAGTCAACTTATCATGCATGGAAATACATGTACTTGTGACATAGTGAAATGATGAAAACAAACCTGCTAATCTATGCAGAATCGAGTTGTTATTGCGCTCCAGGAACTCACTATTAAGAGTCTTGGCATCTTTGCCATGATAAAGCTTATCCATTTCTTCTTTTAATACTTTCTGAACAGTTTCTGGAATATCTCCCTTTTTGTTTACTGAAAAGAACAAAATAAGCTAACATTGATATGAGCTTGTATGTGATCAAATCTACCATTAAGACCTTAAGACTTTAATCATACATGTATGACCAATCTGTATCTTTGTCCCAACAGATGTTTCAAATAGACCTGTTTCTTATATATAACAAGATTTTTTTTAGGTAAAAGATTTAAAGTTTTAAATTCTCTCTAACAATTACCAAAAGATTTGAGAAACTACATCTAATGTAAGGGAAGATAACAAATATGTTAACTGTAATTTTGATCCTTTCTGTAATTATTTCACCCCTCCTTATCAATGATTTCAAATCAAGAAGAGAAAGTTATCACAAATTGTCTCACTTGTTAAAAGGAAGCGTATCATGCACACATGTATTTGTGGGTGATCTTTATTGATTCGACATCCTCTCTTCAGTGCCTGCAACATCAGCAACTGTTTACCTGTAAATAATTCTCTTTCAGTATAGTAAGCTAATTGCTCATTATAAATTATGACATTTTGATTTACATATTTATTTTACATTTTGATTTACATAAATTCTAACAACCTTGATATAATTAAATGAAGGAAAAATTAACCTTGAACCAATTGGACAGAAAGTGCAAAGAAATATTAAATTTTCATAGACCTTAATGGTCACTTGAGTCATCATGCAAGATTTTTCTAAGCTATATACAATGTAATGGTTTCCTTTTCCATATCTACTACATTATAAAACTGGGGAGCCCTAAACATCTCCAGTTGGTCCAACATGATATCATTTAAACAATGATTGAAACAAACTTGAATGAACACCTTGAGGATATTTTAGTCATTATTTGACAATCTGAAGCTGTGTTTCTGATCCTTTTTTTTAAATACAGAAACTTTCAACACCAGTTTTATCATTTCTGGCTACTGCATTTCTGGTTTCTTGATATTTCTAAATGACTCGATCCCTTTTACTTTTTCTTTGTTATATTCTCTTGAAAAGGGGCATGGCTCTTCTTTATAACTAATTTCAATTCTCATTACACAAAGATGTTTTGTAGCAAACTTGAATCCCTATTACCCCAAGAATGCTTTGAGACAAGTTTATTTCCCTTGGAAAATGCTTAATTTGAAGAAGTCAAAAATATTAAAGATTTAACATTTTTTTGTTTAATCTTACCTTTTCTACTATAAATTTCATATGCAGACACATGTGTTTCTATTCTATTACTGGTAAATGTTTGTAAAGGTTTTAAAAATCGAATTGCTTGTTCCAAAGGATCTTCAGGCTGAAAGAGTAAAAAGACTGTTATAGAAAACACTATTACAATATTGTGAATACATGTAGGTCAAATCTATCTATAAATGCCAATCAACCCTCTTTAGAAACTTTCAGTATTTTTTTTTTTTTTTTTTTTTTTTAAATTTGTGAAACATTTCCATTCAAAACTGTTTGAATGACTTCAAACCTGTATTTTTCTATGTAACATGACACCTATAGTGTATAGAAAAGATGATACAAATGCCTTATGATACAAAACATATCATGATACAATGGTTTAAATACCAATCAATATTCTCTTGAAATAATCTTTTATACTAAAGTTTGTACTTATTCTAAATCAAATGAAGAAGATTGAAGATTATTATACATGTATCGTATACTTTAATTTTATCATCTTTATTTCTGATCAGCTTGTTCTAAAGATCCATATCAAACAGCCTCACCAGTGCTCAAGAATACGACCTATGTACTCTTACAGTATGAGAACAAATATCTCAGGAAATACAAATAATATTACAAATCAAAATAACACACCTTTCTAAGTGTGTTTGTGTCTTTCAACAAAATTCATCCATGATGCAAAAAATTAACATTTTTTTTTTACTACTTTTTTTGAACATTAACATGATTAACATTTGAAAAGCTATGCAGTGCAAGTTAAGAATATCTTTCGTTACATTGCAGGTACAAAGGACAAATTCCAACCTAATTCAAGTCTTTATGAGAGAGTAATTCCATATGCTATGTAGATGGTTGGAGAATATCTACAAACCAACTTTGCAAGCCATCTTCCCATACTGGTTAGCTAAGTGTTATCATGGGGAATGAAACAGACTACCAGTGCTCACTAGCTTGGATGATCATGTTTGATATTTAAACAAAGAATGGTTTCAAATTCAAAAAGGATGTTTGTACATTTTACAAAAAATTCACAACAATCCCAAATCTGCAAAGGCTTGCACCTACATATACATACATCTATCCCACAGAAAGATATTAAAGGAAATTCCCATTCACACCTATTGGTTGGTGAGGAAACAAGTGCTGACTATGATCCAATAAATGTGAATTTCTTATAAATTTGATTTATCATGTTATTCACACTGTCTACACACGGGTGATGGCAAGTGTTAATATCTGGCACAATATCTGTAATTATTTAGATTTAGATTTTATACATGAAAAAGATGGTTGATGAAATGGAATAAAACTGTTCTCACATATTATAATTCATGGGAATAGATTCAGAAATTAATAAACAAGCAAACTAGATATCATCAAGATGGTGCCCATATGAAAGGGCCCTACTTTCAATAAAGGGGATAATGATGAAAGGGACCTGTAAAGGACTGGAATTGGAATGTGGCCTTGACCTTTGGCTTACACTTTACACATGGACACTCTTTAGTAAGGTATTAGGCCAAAAAAAAATTAATCAATAGTTTCTCAGACCCCGCCGCATCAGGTCAAAAACGGCCGCATTGATCAATTTTATTGACATTTTGAAAAGGGAAATAACTCAATTTTCTATTTTTCCAAGTTGAGAAAGAAAATTGAGTTATTTCCCTTTTCATAACAATAATAGATAGAGGTTTTATTAGATAAAAAATATTCTTCTACTCTATACAGTCCTTTATTAATTAACTTTTAAAGAAATGTTTAGGATAACATATTTAAAGTTGAGTACATTATAATTAGTATATTAAGATAACAAAAAAGTGAGAATCAGTTAATATCATCATTTTGTTGATCGATTGACAGATACCTGCTTTTAAATTTTAAAAAAAAACAAACCTGCCTGCCACATTAAATTTTGAAATTTTTGGCCTGAGAAACTATTAATTAATTTTTTATGGCCTTAGCTAGATGTGGCCAAGAAGAGAGAATCTATGCTCTAGACATTCTGCAATGACTTCGACCTTTGATCTAGAAAACTGGCTCAAGGTCACTGCACATCCTTTATGTAAAAACATTTTAAGGGTTAAGTATGATTCCAGTAGGGCAAAAAGCAGAGTAAATATGCTCTAAACAAGGATTTTATAAAGAATTTTTTTAACTTTCACCTTTGATCAAGAAAATTACTTCAAGGTCACTGCACTTCCTCTATCTAAAAGCACCCTAGGCTGACATATGAGCTATATTTGACCAAGAGGAGAAAAATATGCTCATGACAAGAATTTTATACATATATCTGCTTTGACCTTGACCTCAGATCTATAAACTTGGTTCAAGGTCATTGCACATCCTTAATCACAGGCACACTGTGAGAGAAGAATGATTCAGATAGGAACATTGGGAAAGAAAATATGCTGTAAACAAGGATTTTCCACAGAGAATTTTTTTGCCTAGGCAAAAAATGGTTAATGGTGAAGTAAGTGCCAGACTAGGCAAAAGGGAAAGAAAATATGCTCATGACAAGGATTTACAAAGAAATATGCTTTGACCTTGACCTTAGACCTAGAAACTTGATAGATCACTGCATATCATTTACCGAAGAACATTCTATAGGTGAAGTATGAACCAGATAGGGGCAAGTGAAAGTAAAACATGCTTTGACATGGATTTTACACAGAGATCTGTTATGACCTTGACCTCTGACTAGAAACTTTTTTCAAGGTCATTGCAAACTCAATTCATGTACCAACAAGTACCATATGGGTCAAGTATGAGCAAGATTGGATCAATGGGAGAGAAAATAAGTTAAAGTCAAGGATTTTACACAGAAGTGTTTTCTGAATTATAACACTGACCTAGAAACTTGGTTCAATTTCACTGCACAACCTCTACCCATGAGCACTCTATGGGTGAAGCATAAGCAAGATTGGGCTCAGGAGAGAGAAAATATAATACAGACAAATGATATTGGATGGACAGTTGGACGGACAGACTGATTATTTCAGGGCACCTGCAGAGTGGGGCCCTTAATAATTTTTAAGTCCTACAAAGAAAGTAAAAACAAGAAGCTTTTGAGCATAGATGGAAGTAAAATTTCTTAAACACTTAGTGAAGTTGCTTAAAAATGGGTTAATAGGACAAGTTTGATCATATACATGCACATTCAGTGCAACTTCTTCTTTCTGATCTCTCAAGTCTTCACATACCTTGGGTAGTCTACCTTATCTACACATACCATGGCTATTGGTTAGTGTATCTTATCTATACCCTGGCTATGTTATATTATCTAGAAATACCTTGCCTAGTCTCACTAATCTACACATACCCTGGCTAGACTTTTCTATCTGGATACATACCAATAATAATTTTTAAAATTGCCAGGGGAAGAAAGTAGAGCACAAAAACAAAATAGTTCTTCTACTTGCAAGCAGTATAGATAAGATAAGATTTATTGATCCCAATTTGGGGCCCCTCAGGGCATACAAGTAAAGAATTATATACACAAGAAGAAATTCAAAATTGATAGTAACAACATGTCGATATTAAGAGAAAAGAAAAGAAACTAACTAAAGAAGATGATGATGATTATAGCAGATGGGGATTACCAATAATAAATGCTTTAAAAAATATATATATATATACATATATATAATTAGCAAACGTACAAAGATTTGTAACATGTATATTTGTACTAGAGTATTAATAATTTAATATTATTACTCTTTTGCATTTAGACATAATCCACAAAAATTTTTCTTTATTTGTTAAACAATAAAATTTTTTATTATTTTTAGCAATATTCTCAAAAAATTCATGTCTATCATGTTTATATAATGGACATTCAATCAGTGAGTGAATCTCATCTTCCACACAATTCATGTCGCACATTCTACAAATCCTTTCATTTCTTGCAAGGGTGGTTTGCTGTCCTTTTGTGTTTACATTTTTTTCAGCATATATAATCAGTAGGTCTTCTGAACTAAAGATGCTTGATATGTGTATGAAAGAAGAGAAAATTCTACATTCAAAACCATTTTCAGTTTTGTGTTATCATTGAATGGAAAGGAGCTGATTTTTTTTAATTTGTGTATACCCTGCTTTTACTTTCATTTTCAGATGTTTTTGCAAACATTTTGCTGGAACACAAATCTGACATACCACCTTGGTATTTATCCAAAGAGAGCAAATTTGATGAGCCTTCATTTGAAGGGTGTCCTATCCTTCCCCAAAAATTTTTTGGAGGAGCTGTGTGAAAACACACTAACACTGTCACCTATTGGGAATGCATAAGTGGACTTGACCCATCTACACATACCCTGGCCAGTCTATCTGATCTTTACATACCCTGGCTAGTTTGTCTGGCAGCAGTTCCTCCTCCTTGGGACCGTCTAGCTCACCATCAGTCTGTTTTTTGACCCCCTGTTCTTTTTTATCATGTTCAGCTTTCTGTTTCTCTTGTGCTTGCTGTGCCTTCTTGGCCGCTTTCCTCTGTTTATTTCTAAGTTTCTTGAGTTCACTTGGTGTCAAATTTTCTAGAAATTATAAAGAATACATGAGATGACTGAATATGGAAGTGCTGTGAAGTTAAGTCCATACAAGGACTGTCTAGTACATACCTGTATCTTGGTTTTTATCTTGATCACTGTCAGATAATGGATGATCATGAAGGTGTAAATAAATCTGAAAAAAAAATGTCTAATAAATATATTTTTCTTCACATTACTTCTGGTATTCATTTTTTTTTAATATTCTTAAGTGAAAAAGACAAATATAGGTAAATTGATGCTTTAAAGAATCCATTTTCCTCCAACAGCTAAATTACATGCATCTCCGTCACAAATCACATGACATACACAGTGTAGGAGGAAATTTTTTTGCTTATGTATTTATCAACAGTATCCAACAAATACATGGATGTCACTGTCAAAAATTTAGAAGTTACAAAATTCATGAGTGAACACTATGAAGGCAACATGGCTTATCTTCACATGAACATAGAACAGTACCTCAATTGCAGTCATCGCTGCCTCAAAGTAGAAATGATGGTTTCGGAGTTTATCCTCCAGACGCAGAAGACCTATATATGCTCGTAAAGTCATCTTCCTCATGCAATACGTGTGGAAATCAAACTGGTCTTCAATTATTTCTGTAAAATGCTGCAACCAAATATCTTCCATAGAAATTACTATTTAATTGAAGACTACTGATTATATTACAATAAAAGGACTCCAGATAACTACAGGATCTTACAGAAATGTAGAATCCAAGGTCATTTTCTTTGAATATAAATGATTATTTTCAATATATGTATACATGTACCTTTACATAAATGAATTAATTGATTAAACAATTTCCCTCAATTTTGAACAGTAATTCATATATTGTTGCTTGCAGTACATACGCGGTCTACTTCATGGCACTTTTTCAGAGCATCTCCCCACTTGCCCATTCTCTTGTAGGCTTCTGCTGCCTCGGTCTGAAACCACATGCACTGCATCTCATTTAAATTGTCCATGGCAGGCACACCTTCCTGGAGTTAAGAAAACATTCGGAGAGTTACAATCTAAAAGTAACGTAGAGCAGAAATATGCAAGAAAACATCAAATAAATCCACTTTACACTTACTCTTGTAAATTTTGAACACATATCTGCAGCTTCCTGAACTAAGTTGCCTTTCAGCATGTACTTGGCACACTTGGAATTGATGTATCTATCTGCTGTATCTAAGGACTGTGCTTCATCCATGAGTCGCACAGCCTCTTCAATATCACCCGCATGCTGTAGAGAACATACTCATTACAATTCACTTACATACATTACATATACAATATATAAATATTAAACAACTTTGATCTGAGATATGCAATTCTCTGCAAAGTTTGTTGTCTGTTTAAAGTTTCCCAAAAATTCCTCTCTATAGAATATAAAGTAAATATGACAACTCCTACACAGTTTTGAAGGCTTTTACCAGGACCAAACACTGCTATCCAGAGTGCTGACGGTTTTACCTTATAGATCTTGGCTTTAAGAACATACAGCTCTATCAGTAATGGTGTATGGTCCAGCGCCAGATTGACATATTCCAGCGCTTTCAGGGTTTCCTGTTTGTAGTCGTAATGTGAGGCTAGAAAGAAGTACACCCACAGTATTGTGGTAGGTGGTTCTTGTTCAGTGCTCTCTGTAAAATAAAGAAAATGTATAAGGACAAAAAAACAGTTTCTTCACCTGTACCTACAAATCAAATATGTATCTCTTTCCTTTTTTCTTTTTTTTACCTGAATTATCAAATTTCCCATATTGTTTCAAACAGTTCAAATATCCTAAAACTAGGTCCTCTATAATCTCCATCTGCAAAAGAAACAGATCTAGAAAAATCTTGGCAGAAAAATTATAATCACTAAGTAAAAGCTTTGTAATTACATAGCTTATACAGAGAAAATTATTATCAGCAAAAGCTTTGTAATTTCATAGCTTTATATACATATAAAAAATTATTATCACTTATTTAGAGATTTGTAATTACATAGCTTATACAAACCCTTGACAACAGTAACTATTTAAATTCTTCTTTTATACTTTTTTCTGTTATTAATCAAGGATCTGGGGTATATATACAAGTAGATGAGCAGGGTGATGCTAATACAGCATCTTAGGATGATGGAATTATATAAGTACAGAATCAGGACTTTTCTTCCTTTACTTAGACATGGTTACTGTATATGCTTCACGAAGCAGTTGAACAATTATGCTTAATTGTCTTTTTTCTACAACTGGAGGCCATAAAGTTAAAAGTTATCAGTAATTGTGAAGGAAGCCTGGACTTAATTTGATTTGTATACTTTAACTCAATACAAAGAAAACATTTGGACAGTAATATACTTCAACATAACGTTCATGCTATGATTTGTTGTGAAGATACCTGGCAGTTGCATTTGGCACTATAACATGATACATGAATTTATTTAGCAGGAAAAAATGTTCCTCACAAAAATGATGGTAAAGAATTTGATAAAAGCACTAATTTGAGATGTATATACTTGGGGAAAAAATCACATTCATTCATTAACCATTTATATCTAATGGAAAGAATACAATCTAGTTTTTAGAACTAAAAATAAATTACACAATTTCATACTCTATTACTCACCTTCTTTGAGTCTTTGTACAATTTCTTTATGGTGACAAAAAGTGGTGGGACACCCTTGTGGAGGGCTCGTCTCAGATATGTATCAGCCAAACACCTGAATGTGCTACCTGATGAAACAATACGGCATAGATTAAACTCAAACTGTTTCTTTACAGTAATATTTATAATTAAAAAAATTTCCACATGTAAAAGTGTATATTAACACTAACCTTCGGCAAAATTCAATGGCAGTCTCCTAGGTGCTGAAGCTCTGGGGTACAATTGTTCTACATCAGTGTACAATTTAAGACGGTCCTCAGCAGAATCTGGATTTAAAATGAAATACTGGTGTGTTTTTACAAAGTCTATGTAAAGCTACATGTATATACACAATGTACATATTTTTTCACTGAAATTCATAAGTCTCTAGCAGCAAAAGGAATCTCTCTTTATATTCAATTTAAATAAATACATGTATATCCTGTACCATGTTTAGTTCTAGTTTTTAAATGTATTGCCCCCCTCATCAAACAAAATAATGCACTAATGCAATACAGCTGCATTCAACTAAAACTGACTATTTTCATTTCTTTGGTCTTCATACATACATGAATATGTTTCATTTCCATCATATACAAAACCAACAAATGTGAACTCTGCATCTCACTGAAGATGCTGATGCTTAAGTTACAGGATGTTTGAAGTTGTTTTCTTTTAGAGCACAATTTAAGAAAATCCTGGTTCTTCTTTAAGATGGCTTACCTGGTTTTACAGCTTTCTCTAGACCTTCATAATACGCCCAGTTTTCAGGATTTCGGTTGATCAGACTCCTGTACATATCAGCTGCTGTACTATACTTCTCCTTCTGTAGCAGTAACTCAGCTGTTACAAATAAACATCATACAATAAACAGCAGAACATAATCAATAGGATTACGAACTGTCCCATTTAATATCCATATTTGAATACAGTACATGCTTTAGATTAAATTTCATGCATATATATTGTATTTGTTAATCAACTGCTAATTAAGTGCTAAAACAGGAGAATTGTTCATTTTGAAATTAACAGAATTTTGCAATCGACAGATTAAAAGTTTTGTAGAGGTTATCCAATGCAATGCTTGTGCATGTCAATTCTAATATCTACCTGATACATGACATTGGTTTACACTGGCATGTAAGACAATACCTTTGGTTTCCTCCACTCCTAATCTGTCTACAATTTGTTTGTCATATCTTTGTAAATGGTTCAAGGCTTCATCAATCATTCCTGCCTCTCTCATAATTAAGTTCTGATACATCAACAATTCATTGTGCTCATAGTCCAAACTCTTTGGCTAGAAAAGAAAGCAAAATCAATAACATTCTGATTAAATCCTCAAATACAAAAAAAAACCAGTCCACTGAGGGATGGTTCATGTTGCTTGATAATTAATAAGCAGATTTGCGAAATGAGGTTTTTTACACTGCCCATATAACAGTCTAAGTTTAAATCTTCTTCAGACTAACCAATTGTTAAAATATGATCATCCCAACCCCAACAGTTTTAAAGGTTAGTTCACAGAAACCGAAGTGGGATTGACAGACATGGGTTACGCAAAAACACACCCGTTTTCCCAATTCTAATACAATTAGAAAAACTTACAATCTGAGTCTTTCGAAATTCCTCTAGTACATTCAGAGCCATGTCATAATCTTCTAACAGATGATAAGACATTGCATAACCGATCCAGGAGGCTCTTTGTCCTGGACGTAGTACCAATAGCTGGTACCGAGTCTCCTGAAATATAACAAAACAATCGTACAAATCTAGAGTAAGAACAAATGTCCTCTCATACTATGTAAACATATGTGTTTAGAAATAGCAATGAAAACCTTAAAATAAACTAGACCAGTCGGACTTGAACCTGAAAATTTTACTAGACCTGATCTTAATTTCACTAGACCGACCTAATATCCATCGTTCATTGAATTCTTTAATATTACAAGAATATTAACATGGGGGAAAAAAAATCCCACAGTCGAATAAAATCAATGTAAGCAAATCGATGCTCTTCCTAAGTTGGTTTTGGTGCAAAGAAAATTATATCATCAAATAAGAAATTATCAGAATGGGAAATGTATATCACTGTATTTCAACTCCATTTAGTTCTAGACCTACTGGTTAAAGGATGATGTGACATACGGCCCCCGATAAATTGACAAAAAATTCGATGTCCAAATTTTACTCTAATTTTTGCATGCAACTAATCACTGATATGTGTACCCTTATGGAAAACTACTTTTAACAAAAATAGAAGCGTAATTTGGAAGATATAGATCTTTCATTTGGGTAGGGGTACCATGTTTACATCCGATTCCCATTGAATTTTGGCCCCGCCCCACTCTTTGAAGCCCTTAAAATATACGAGCGCAAGTAGGTACATTTTTCTCCTTTGGCTGGTCACTGTATTTTATTGAAATCTACCTATATGTGAAAGGAGAAAAATGTACCTAACTGCGCTCACATGTTGTTTTTTAAAAAATGGTAAAATCTAGCTGTCCTTTCCTATTATGAACAGATCAACGAAACTATTTTTTTTTTGACGAAAGAATATATTCATATGCTAATCGAGGCACTGGCCATACTTTCTAACTGACCAATCAGCTACATGAGATGCATTACTAGCTAGTGAGTACCACAAAAATACTAAGAAAATTTTATGCTTGGAAGAAAGGCTTTTTTTACCTACTTTCCAATAAACAATTTTTTATGCATTTGAGTCACAGATTAAGGACGGATCTACCATTTCCAAGCTCACAATTACAAACAATTGATTTATAAATATACATAAAGTTTTGTATAGCGTTTGGTGGGCAATTCGCTGGGTCTACACGTATTCCCGAGTATCAGTGAATACAAGTTTCATGTGCATTTCTTGACCCAGAACGGTAAACGCTGAGGTCCCATGCGTATTATTATGTATAAACAGCCTTGGCTGCCCATTAAAAGTTTGAAATGTGGTAGAGATAATGTGTAAATTGACCTAAACCATGTGTCTATGATAAAATGTAAACGTAGTAAACGACAGCATGTTTGTCGTTCTGTCATCGGATTGGACAATTGTTCTCGGTAAGCGACTATGTGCGAAATAATAACAATAGCCATATAAGGTAAATTTCTCGGACATGCATATCCGTCTATTGTACTAAGACCCGCCTATTCTCTTTTCATAAAAGAACATATTGTAACAAACCTTGCCGAATGTTGCTGTCATCAGCTGGTCATAGGGTCTAAAAAATCATAGATAATGCAGTAATCCTTATAATTAAAATGTGTCGGAACTATTGAAACTATTCAAAAGGCGTCGTATTTATTCACTCATGTTTGTAAACTATCATAATCGTTGTAGATTAAATATGATTCGTCGTAGAAAAAGGGGCCCCAGATAGCAGTTATGTCACATCATCCTTTAAACACATACTGTGCAACAGTTGTTGTAAGTACAATGACCTAGCAGCAAGGTTAAATTTTGGTAGAGTTGGCATTTATGAGAAAATGAAAGGGCTGCACTATTAACGAAATATTGACAAGTATACTAATAACAATGTATTTAATGTCTCACAATCAGTAAACTATTATAGTACAATAAAACAAGTTGAGTTTTCATGGCTATCTTACTTTTCATTGGGATTGAAAAATGAAAGTGAAACCTGATCTACCAAATCAGTAAGCAAGAAAATCGAAAACTTTTGTTGTAATTTTTGCTTAATTTGAACTTCGATAAAAATATTTTACATGGCCAGTCAATCTACCTTGAAACAAACTAGACTGGACCAAACTTTTATTAGTCTGAGTCGGTTGGACTTGCCTTAATGTTGAGCCCTGAGATATAATAAACTCAACATCAGGACTGTTCTAGAAATTTGTCTCTATCAGATAAATCACTATGACAGGTGTGGATATACAGGTAAGTCCTCCCTACATTGGACAGCAGAATCCACTGTGTGCATCATATACAAATCCTTTGATTCTTAAGTCCCCCGCCCCCACATAATTAAAAGAAACCACTTTCTCCTCTACCTACCCTGTAGCCCTCCAGGTCTCTCATTTGTATTTGTAGCAAAGAAAGATCTCTCAAAATCTGTAGATTATCCTGAAAAAAAAAATTATAAGGCTTACACACTCACATTATATCTGAAAAAATACTAAATAAGATCATCTATATAATTAAAAACAAGATGTGTTTGTGAAACACTGATGCCCCTGTATGGCAGCTTATGGCGAAGGTGAAAGTTTCTCAAATACAAGTCAAAATCCAGGCCAAAAGATAAAATTAAAAACTAGACGTGTTTGTGAAACACTGATGCCCCCGTATGGCAGCTTATGGCGAAGGTGAAAGTTTCTCAAATGCAAGTCAAAATCCGGGCCAAAAGATAAAATAAGTTGGTACCCAAAGAAAGGTATTGTCTCGAGGAATATACCTGTGAAATTTGAAAGACCTAGCTGCAACTGTTCAAAAGTTATGGCGAAGGTTAAAGTTTTCTAAAAATAAGTAAAACGTCAAGGTCAAGGACAAAGTTGTTGGTATCCAAAAGAAGGTCTTGCCACAAGGATTACATATGTGAAGTATGAAAGTCCTAGCACCAACCATTCAAAAGTTATGGCCAAGGTTAAAGTTTATGAAAGTAGGTCAAACTCCTATGTCAAGGTCAAAGGATCAAAATGTTGGTATCCAAAAGAAGGTCTTGTCACAAGGATTACATATGTGAAGAATGAAAGCCCTAGCACCAACCATTCAAAAGTTATGGCCAAGGTTAAAGTTTTTCAAAAGTAGGTCAAACTCCTGGGTCAAGGTCAAAGAAGTTGATATCCAGAGGAAGGTCTTGTCACATGGAATACACATGTGAAGTTTGAAACCCCAAGCACCAATTATTCAAAAGTTATGGCCAAGGTTAAAGTCTCATAAAATTTTGCAAAAGTGGGTCAAACTCCAAGGTCAAGGTAAAAAGGTCAAATATGATGGTACCCAAAGAAAGGTCTTGTCACAAGAAATACACATAGGAAATATGAAAGTCATAGCTCCAACCAATCAAAAGTTACGGGCAAGGTTAAAGTTGACAACAGACAGACAAACAGACAGACAGGACAAAAACAATATACCCCAGGGATCTTTCGATCCGGGGGCATAATAATATTTATTTATGTCCCCAGGACTGAAGATCAGTAAAATACTGTTTTTAGCCTGTCTGTCTCCTTGAATGTATGCAACGTCAACCTTAGTCATTACTTTTGAAATTTAAATAGACTTCATATTTTGGACAGAAAGTATTTTTCACAGAGGATGTCACAACATTGGACCTGGGTCATTTGAATAATGTCAGAACGATTGGAAGTGAACTCTTTTATCTTGCAAAAGTTAAAAAGAAGCAGAATTATATCAAGCCCATAACTTTGTAATGATTATACATTACAAGGTAGCTTATAATAAGACAGTACATCATGAAACTGACCCAAAGTCACTTAGACAAAGTCAAGGTCATATGGATTGAAAGTTACAATTCATCTCAGGTCCTGAATTTTTGTCGAAAGAATTCTGTCCATATTACAAATAAGCCATGCTTCATGTTTACAAACACACTGTGTTCCATATAAGGTTTATAAATTGTTTCAAGGTTTTTGTCAGATTAATTTTTCATCAAGATATTTTCTGATTTAAAAAACCCTTTTATTACACAAAACAAGAGGCCCATAGGCCACAACGCTCACCTGAGTCAATATGGCCCTGTTGTTCTTCGTCAGCAGATTTCTTCTCCTACATATTCATATGTAAAGCTTTGATCACCTGTCATGATTTGAACAAACTTGAATCTACACTACCTGAGGATGATTCCATATCAATATGACTTATCACGGCTTTGTTGTTCTTGAGAAAAAGATTTTTAAAAAAATTTTTTCTATATATTCCTATGTAAAACTTTGATCCCCCATTGTGGCTAGGGGTGAAACGATACACCTCCTTCTCGGTTCGATACGTATTGTATAATTTTGTCTCGGTTCGGTTATTTTCGATACGATACATTTTGATAGAAGGAAACAAATTCTACGTTGTTTTATGCTTTCTTTTTCTAAATCTAGTCACATATTTTACGAATTTTATTTGCAAATTGACTAGAAGAAATTGATTAAAATTATTTGACTGTCAAAAATTATTTTACAAGCTATCAGTCATCAAAAATTTACGTTTTCTATACTTATTTATACTGAGTAACGTGTTATACCTTATGCCAAACCCGACTGAATAACGATCCCGACCGAAAAATGAACCGAACCGAAAATTAGAGATTTTGCACCGTGTATCAAACCGAGAAAAAATACCGCGGTGCATCGATACCGCGGTGAACCGTTTCACTCCTAATTGTGGCCCCACCCTACCACCAGGGATCATGGTTTGAACAAACTAGAATCTACACTACCTGAGGATGATTCTAATCAATATGATTAATCGTGGCTTTCTTGTTCTTGAGAAGAAGATTTTTAAAGATTTTTCCTATATATTCCTATGTAAAACTTTGATCCCCCATTGTGGCCCCATCCTACACCCGGGGGTCATGATTTGAAGAAACTTGAATCTACACTATGTAATGAAGGTTTCACATAAGTTTCAACTTTTCTGGCCCAATGGTTCTTGAGAAGAAGATTTTTAAAAGATAACACCAAATTTTCACCAATTCTTAATTATCTCCCCTTGAAAGGGGATGTGGCCCTTCATTTGGACAAATTTGAACCCCTTTCACCCAAGGATGCTTTGTGGCAAGTTTGGTTGAAATTGGCCCAGTGGTTCTGGAGAAAAAGTTGAAAATGTGAAAAGTTTACAGATGGACAGACAGACAGACTGAGACTACAGACAAATGTGATCAAAAAAGCTCACTTGAACTTTCAGCTCAGGTGAGCTAAAAATCAATCCTTACTTTGTCCCATCTCAAAGCATTACGATATGCCTTAATTGCCTCATCGTATTTCCTGTCTGATCGCTGCAGTAATCCATAAACATGCCAACCTAATTAGCGTCAAGGCCAATTTTCAATACTTTCCAACTTATTAATAAGAAATACAACACTTGATATTATAACAATTACTAATTACAGAATTAAATTAAAAACAACATTTTACATGTTTTTCCCATAAGAGGAAAACAGAGCTTTTCTGTTTACATGTAAATCTTAACATGAGACTTAAAAGGGCACATGCTAACAAAAACATTGGCCAATTTTCAATGCTTTTCAACTTATTAATAAGTAATAAAACACTTGATATTATATTAATTATTACTTACAAAAATCAAAGACAAAATGTTTCATGTTATTTCCCACAAGAGGAAAACATTATTTCCCTTAAGAGGAAAACAAGGTTTTCCTGTTTACATGTAAATCTTAACATGAGACTTAAAAAGGCACATGCGAACAAAAACATTGGCCAATTTTCAATGCTTTTCATCTTATTAATAAGTAATAAAACACTTGATATTCAGGGATTGACGTTAACGGTTGTCCGATTGCCCGGGACAAGTAAATTCTCAGTTCGGGCAAGTGAAACTGTCGAAGTACTTGCCCTATCGGGCAAGTGATTTTTTTTTTCATACAAATGTATATATCATTTAGTTTTCATTAATTTGTAAATAGAAAATACATTGAACATTTGATTTCCGCCAGGTACCTGACTGACATCATTCGGAATTCCTTGATAGCGTTTCTAGATTATACCGTTCATTTAAAAATCGGGTTCAGTTTTCTGTTTTCTTTCGTGGTAAAATACGCTAGAACCTCCAACAACTTTGTTACCTACTTCGTACTTATTTAGATTATTTATTCACTTACAAATAAGTAACATATGATATATCCTGATCAAATATACGTTTCGTGGCAACTATCTTCTTTTAGCGTTGCTTCACAGATATCTCTGAAAATTACAATTCACAAAAAGATCCTACCGAAAATAATTTTTAAGAATGTGATTTTTATTAAAAGGAAACGGAGGATTATTGCTGCATGGCAGTGTGTGTTAAGAGGTTAAATTGACAAGGACAGTGGTATACATTTAATTACAAACGCATATTATAAGTGTTTTTTGATCACATTTTTTTCTTAGCATAATTTTCTTCTTTCCTAATTTTGGGCAACCAAGTTTTGCATTTGGACAAGTCAAAGTTTGAGATCACTTGCCCGAAAGGCAGGTGAATATGAAAGTTAATGTCTATCCCTGATATTATATTAATAATTACTTACAAAAATCAAAAACAAAATGTTTCATGTTATTTCCCACAAGAGGAAAACATTATTTCCCTTAAGAGGAAAACAAGGCTTTCCTGTTCACATGTAAATCTTAACATGAGACTTAAAAAGGTACATGCTAACAAAAAACATTGTTAATATTAGAAGTAAATTGTAATGTATACTATACTGACAATTGAAGATGGTATTGGTACTGTTTTGTTTACATGCAAATTTTTTCTTAAATGCAATAGTAATTCTTACAATCAATGCTTAAAAATAGCATTGTATGCAATTTGGCAATTATAAGAAACAACTTTACAAAGTCTTTGTCTGGTCTGAATTCCAAAATCTTTTGACAACATACTATTTCCCTCTTCATAAAGGATACAAACATGACTTTTGAGGTCATTTCGCAGTCCTCTTCTTACATGCTCATAGGCTTCTTCCTTCTTACCCAGGCAATTCAAGGTCAAACCCTTCATAGCCAATGTTTCTATAAACAGATCAAATAATGACAAATATCCAGTCAAAATCTTTCCTGATATTGAGAATTTTCTCTTTTCATAAGTTACACTTTTCAAGGAATCCATGTAATAGATCATGCAATTCTAATTCAATCATCATAATCATACTTTTGAGAAATTGTGAAAGTTTACCTCCATGTTCTGCAAATTTTGAATTTGTTAAAATTTGCTTTGCAAATTTCAACCCATTTTTATACTGCTTCTGCTCATAACATTTCTGAAAGGAAAAATGAAAGTATAGTTTGGCAAGGTATGTGAGGCAAGCAAGCTTTTGGAAGAGCTACACATGAATTAAAGTTAAATGTTGAAGTACTTTAACATTTCTCATATATACCAAAACCAGGAAATTTTTGCAATTCAATTTTTTTTTTGGAAATTTGGTCATTAAGTCCCCAAGTGTAATGATAACATTTCAATTTTTTGCAACAGAATCAATCAACTATAATGAAGGTACAGATTTAAATGTTCTTTTTTTTTTTTGTTAATGATGTTGGATGCACAAAAGACTTAAAGAATGATAATAACAAAAAACACCCAATATATGTTAGATAAATCAAGGTCAATGGCTAAATCTATATCAGACCTGTTGGCAATACATGTATGAAATTTCAAGTTGAAAAAAATTTTGATGACAAAAAAAAAACTATAGCAAGTGCAACAAGCCTATAAAGTTAGCAAGTTCCAAAGACATTAATGTACAGAGGAAAATCTGAACTAGAATATGCACAGTGAATTTATACTTCATATGCCTGACTGGGGAAAAAAAATGTTCTAGTTCTCAGAATTTCAACAAAAATAAAAATTTTACCACAGAGTGTGGTTCTTGGCACATATGATTATGATGGAAAAAACATTATTCATTTAAAATTTGGTTTCTAAACAACAGTCAATTACTTTGAAGCTGTGTTACAAATATACACTGCATTTATGATTATCCCTATCCTATAAAAAACTAAACAACTAACTATTAACATCAATCTGAAAAACTACAGAGCTTACAGGTCCAGTACAATCTCTTGATTTAGCTATATAGCTTGAAATAGCTATATAGCTTGAAATAGCTATATAGCTTGAAATAGCTATATAGCTTTATTAAGCTATTCAAAATAGCTTGATTTAGCTATTTATATGCAGTTTTTCACAAAAAAGTTTTTTGTAAGAAATAGACAGAAAGTCGCAAGTATTTGATTATTCATATAATAATATATACTATGGGCTATCAAAACAACAACCAAAATTAAAGATAGTTCTAACATTGCAGCTTTTGAATACTTTTAAGCACAAGATGAATTTCCATTGTTTGAGTAGCTGTATAGTACCTTGTGTGCATTGAGGCATGGATAAGTATGATTGCTTCTCATTGTACTGAATCATTACCAATCAATTATCTTGACCATAATTGACCTCCTTCATATTTTCATGGAAGAAGTAACTGTATCAGTTGCTTAATACAGCCCCAAAACTTTTAGAGCTTTGAGTACAAAGTCTCTCCAGTAGATGCAATTTGATGAATGGTTTTAATATTCATTACTTTCAAAAGAGTTCAAGATTGAATATTATCACTGCACCAAGGTGAGACTTTTTGTACATGCTGAGAAAATAACACATTTATTTTAAGAAAAAAGTGTGATAAAATAGCTAAATCAAACTATTCTGAATAGCTTAATAAAGTTATATAGCTAAATCAAGCTATATAGCTAAATCGTGCTATATAGCTAAATCAAGAGATTGTACTGGACCTGAGTAAGGACCTTAATTAAAATAAGAAATAAAAACAATATTTTATTTAATTCCATTGGTCACACTGTCAAACATTATACTCTGCTACTATGCTGTTTAGAAACCCCTAAAACCATCATGCAACAATATAACGGATGTTGTGAGTCTCATTCGTTTTCATTCATGATTTTGGTCGCCCAGCCCACAAATTCAACACAATTTTTTACTCATTTAAGTGTACATACCAAGATTCTTTTGAAAAGAGCATTTTCTTTAGGTGGAAGGGGGTTGCTTGTTGGCATTTTAGTGATGTTTTGGGGTATCAATTATTGCCGAAGGCAACAATTCCCATGGAATCAACAAATCAAACCACGAGGTGGAAAATTTCAATATGGAGGACGCAAGTCTCGTTATGTTCTCGCACTAAAATTACTCTTGGCAGAGGATAACAATTAACCCCTCAAAAATAACTGCGAGAATATTCCTGTACATAATTCAAATAAGATATCGATTTTCAAAAAAATAAATTATCTTTTTTGTTGATCACCCGAAAATCAGTAAAGCGTTTTATGCAATGAAATCTTAATACTCTTTTCAAGCTCTTTAAAGAACGAGATTGAAATTTTGACAATAACAATCAGCTGTCCAAGTGTCTTCAAAGAACTAAAAAGGGGAGGAGATAATCGATAATGACTTATTGTTTATTGTAATAACATTTTAGAAAACTTTATCTCGTTAAATAACTTAAAAAAGGCACCATGACAGAAAATCAAAACACGTCAAATTCTCCAAATAAAGACCCTTCTGTCACTGTCATAGAGAAGCAAACACAGAGAAGAATCTTTAAAATAATCGTAATTGGAGATTCTAATGTAGGGAAAACTTGCCTTACCTATAGATTCTGTACTGGAAAGTTTCCAGATAAAACGGAAGCAACTATAGGTGTGGACTTCAGAGAAAGAACTGTTGACGTGGATGGTGAGCAAATAAAGGTATACCCAACTAGAAGTCTAGGTAAAAAGATGAGAATAAATAAGGGCTGTCTTTGAGTCATTACACAATATAAAAATTCTAACTAAAGTAAAATTAACATACTTAATGAGTATTGTTGAGTCCTTGACGGTGGTAATTTGTTTCACTGGAAGAGACAGTATAGGAATTGGACTCATTCCACTGCCTTCAAAGGTCTCTTACCTTGAAAATTATTAAAACCCAGACTTGCACTTGACATATTATAGCTGTGATTGGCATAGGCTAGATGCACGAGCTTATTTGATGGTAAAATGTATATTGGATGAAAGTTAATGCAACCCAGAACCAGAAAGCCCCAAAGTGGTTTACATGTGCACCATTATGTATGTGAGCAAACTAAATCATTTTACAACTACTCCAAAAACATAGCATGGACTCCCAAATTAGATATAAAAATGTGTCCTTAGTGCATATTTTTCTTTGTAACATGAATGAAAATAAAGTATAAATATAAGAAATGAAATATTTTTTAGAGTTTCATTGGCATATGACATGAAGTTGGTACGTGATCATATCAACTATAACGTCCTTTGGGCATTGTAGGATTTGATCATGTGACCAACCTCATGTCATATCCCAATGAAACTCTAAAAATGATATCTTAATTTTAATTGTCTTTCTTTGTTGTGTTAAACAGGGTATAACTATTGCCCCAAAGTGGTTTACATGTGCACCATTATGTATGTGAGCAAACTAAATCATTTTACAACTACTCCAAAAACATAGCATGGACTCCCAAATTAGATATAAAAATGTGTCCTTAGTGCATATTTTTCTTTGTAACATGAATGAAAATAAAGTATAAATATAAGAAATGAAATATTTTTTAGAGTTTCATTGGCATATGACATGAAGTTGGTACGTGATCATATCAACTATAACGTCCTTTGGGCATTGTAGGATTTGATCATGTGACCAACCTCATGTCATATCCCAATGAAACTCTAAAAATGATATCTTAATTTTAATTGTCTTTCTTTGTTGTGTTAAACAGGGTATAACTATTGCAGTCATTGGAGAAAAATTTACGTAACCTGTTCTGTCAAAATAAATGTAGAGTGACATTTACTTTTCACCTTCTGTTCAAAGGCTAAACTAGTAGAGCTTTGAGCTACAGTCCCATTAGATGCTTTTGTTTATATATTATGTGGTTTGAAGATCTAAAATTTATTTGATATCTACCCATGATTGTCCACCCTGTCCCACAAAACTATCAACAGATCCTTCTTAAATAGGATTTGTGCAATAAATATTATTGCATCAGATGATTCTACCTCATATGTGAAACACTTGAGTATATTTAACATATTTCAACTTCTGCAGCTTACACAATTTCTAAAGTAAAAAAAAAAATAATTGTGTTTTCATTTTTACACTGTATATTTATTTAGCTGTGATTACTAGTATGTTCCTAGAAAGTATCTTGTTTCATTGTAGCTTCAACTTTGGGACACAGCAGGACAAGAAAGATTTAGAAAGTCCATGGTTCAGCATTACTACAGGAATGTCCACGCTGTGGTGTTTGTGTATGACGTCACAAAAATGTCCTCCTTTGAGAACATGCCTGGATGGATTGAAGAGTGTGACAGACACAATCTAAACCTGGATATTCCTCGTATTCTAGTCGGAAACAAGTGTGATATGACTGATAAAGTCGCAGTGAATACAAACTTGGCTCAGAAGTTTGCAGATTCTCACACCATGCCACTGTTTGAGACTTCTGCAAAAGATGAAGAAAAGGCAAACCATATTGATGCAATATTTTTGACTCTTGCACACAAGCTGAAGAACAGCAAGCCGATGATGTCTCCATACATTGGTCCTGGTGGCTACCCAAACAATGTCCAAGTAGTGACAGTGGGAAAGTCGCCCGAGTCTAGAGGTCTACAAAAAATGGGGACCGAGGACAAACAAGAGCAGTGTTCTTGTTAAGAACTTTTAGTGTGAAACAAGGTCTGAAATGACTTGATTGTAACTCTCTGAATTAGGAACACTAATGTGGAAATCAGTGACTTACTGATTGTGTTCAAAAACAACTGGTTATTATCATTTAATGGCTTCTAGCTCTCTGATCAAAGGGTTTCCACTTAAAATGCTTTGCTTACTTAGTATTGTTTGCTAGGGTTTTTATTATAGTATATGTTCCATATTTTCAAGTTCTTCATCTTTTGCTTCATTGGCAGGTAAATATTTAGGATAAGCAAGCTTTGTCAAGTAAATATCCAGGACACACTCATCAATTTACCAGAAAATTTAATTTTAGTGGATTAAATAAATCGGTTTTTTTTTTTTTGCTTTCAAGCAATTTAGTCAAGTTTGTTCAAACATTGCAGTAATTTTTTAATACAGTCAAACTTCATTATTTTGAACTCAATGGATCGAGAAAAATTTTTGAGATATCTGAGGATTCAAGATATCGAAGGTAAAATACTTGAATAATAAGTGGTTTGGAATTCCAGATTAATTGGACATATCCATGGTATTCAAGATACCTGTGTTTGAGATAGCAAAGTTGAAATGTATTATGCACCAAGTTCATGAAAATTTTAATACACATAGTTTCCTGATTTCAGTTAGTTTTTTTATGATAAGGTGAATGGTTATACTTCTGTAAACTGCATTTGAATGCCTATTGAATGTAAATGCATGTGGCTTGTAAATGGATTTATTTAACTGTAAACATTCTTACACATTTAATTTTCCATAGTGCACATTGGTGAAGTACCGGTATAAAATTTGAGATTGGCATAATTTGATCCTTTGTAACAAGTATAAATAAGTTTGATATTGTACATGTAGTCAACATCAAGTATTGAAAATTCAGTTTTAATATTCCATTTTTGCACAAGTCCTCATTTGTCACATTGTTTTAAAAATTTCTAACAATCATGTATACAGTAATTTTCCTAGTCTTTAAATTTTCCGATATTAAAATATTGTCATTATTTTTTTCAGTGTTAAGTATCACATTTTTTTATAAATACAAACTTTATTATTGATCCTTGTATCTTTCATATGCGACACAAAATGTCTTGGTCTTTTAATCCATGTTTCTGAGACAGTATAGTAGTAGCTGTTACCCAATGATATTCAAAAATATACTAACAAAGTACATTTTTTTTATCAAATATTTTGGAGAATATGTTTGAAAAATAATGTTGCTCTTTTTCAGAGAACCTTGCTTGGAAACATACCAGGTACATAAAGTATGGGCTCATGCATACTTTACGCATCAGTTGGTCGCTGTTTTTGAGCTTGCAGATGATAAATTACATTACATGTAGCTAGTCAGTATCCTAACTTGATCCCATATTGATACATATACTCATATTAGACATGAAAAAGTGGTAAATGTGAGGAAAAATTAATGTCAACATCCTGTACAAATTATACTGATATTTTCTTTCATTATACATTGATATGCAGGTCACTGAAACGAGGAGAGGGCATACAATTTCTTAAGCATTTATAGACATCAAATAATTTTTTTCCAGGCCCAATATAAAGTATGTAGTCTATATGGATCAGACTCGGTATTGGTCTGATTTAAATATGTGCAGTTGTACACATATTTTTTTTATCTATTTTTTTTTTTCATTTACACCAAGTTCAGTTGTCTTTCAATATGTTGTTGCTTAATGAATGTTTTTAATGTTTGTTTACCAATATGTGTCTGCTTATAATTACAGTGAAGAATTATAAAGCAAAAGTTCTGGTTTTAAGGTGTGTCTTTGTAAAATTGTTATCTTGAAACAGTGGTTGGAAGGTAACAACTTGTCAAAATCTAAACATTCGTGAATGGCTAGATTTGTTTCTGTAATTGAATTGATATGTGTAAATATAACAACAAGTTTGAATGCTTAAAAGAAGTGATTGACAAAAGAAGCACATTTTTGTGAGAACAATAAAGATAGATCACAGAAGTTTGTTGAGAATATGCAGGCTTCAAGTAATAAGTTTGCAAGTACTTTCAGTTTTCCAGTGCATGTAGGGAGTAGGTACAGTATGTGGAATACTTAAAAGAAATATTATATATAAGGTTCACATTTTATGAGCACTTTTGAAATTTAGTTTCATCTGTATCAAGACTCGTAACAGTTTAGCAAACTTCCATATTCTCTGTGCATTAAAATTCACAGTATCCATGTTTTAAAAAAATTATTATAAATCGGCCTTTTCCAGTAATCCTGCATTTTTCCACTTTATAGTTTATAATCCATACTGGAGGCCAAAGTAAGCATGGAGTATCCAAGAAGTCAGTGATTGTTATATTGTTCATATATCATTAATGATTCCATTTAATTATTGTTGTGAATAAAATGTATATATTTTAATAAATCTGGGTTAAAACAAATCTCCATTTTTTTCAGTATTTTATCAAAATGCTCAGATATTTTTTTTCAAACTGCTACAAGTACGTTAAACATATACTGGTAGTCATGTTTAATCGAAAGTAAAAATTTCGGCAGAAAAATGGAAATCATTCACAAGTATTGTGATCGAGAAAACTTTGTTGTCGACTTGGGTACAGATCTGAGAATAAAGCCTATGCATTCTAACTTGTGCTGATTTAACAATAATGAAGGCTTTAACCTTTCACCATCTTTAACTGAAATTGTCTTTTTATTTATTGTGTGATGATGCAGATTGTTGAAGTCCTTTTTGCCTTGTATCTTGGAGGTTGACATTCAACTTTGGAAATACAAAGATTCTTGTAAAATAATTTAAAGTTATTGCTAAAGTTGGAGTTGTTAACAGGCAGACCAAATAAATAAGCTCCAAAATCAATGATCATGTTATCACGAAAACCACAAAGAAGATTGAGAATTTTTGTCCTTTTTATTGTTGTTGAACAGTCCCATCTTGGGTTTCATAACATAGACTATTATTTCAATGGACAAAATATAAAATCAAGTGGAATAAAACATGTCACAATATAAATGAATCAGAGTGACATGTACAATGATTTAATTTGATGTTATTTTTAAGCATTCACAATGTACAAAACACAAAAAAGTAATGAATATGTTTCACACAGTGAGACATGCTGGGAAATTGCACTAATACTTTAGTTTTTTTAATAGTTCACTGTATCCCTTCTTAAGCCATTAAATGACACAAAATAAATAACTCGCAACAGCACAGATTAGATTAGTGTACTGAATTTAAGCACTTCCCTTGCCTTCTTACAATAAAAATATAAATACATGATAAGTTTACACCAAACTCAATCACTCTCATTACAACCTCTGCACTTTTACTTTACAGCATTTTATGTACAATTAGCAAATATATCTCTAATCAAAGAGTATATCTTTCTTGAAAGCCCTTTTGAATATGATACACAATCATGAAAATATGATTATAAAACAAAATATTCTCAAGAAGCTTCAGCTTCTGTAACTTCCACTTTTACTTGAACATGTTCTATTGCTACACTTTCTTGAGATGGTCCCTCAGTATTTATATCTTTCACTTCCTCTTCTGCATCTGGCACTTCCTGTTTAACAGTTGCACGATTGCAGACAGTTTCCTCCACATTTGAGGTTTGCTGAGTTTCTTGAACACTTTCCTCTTCTGCTGGTTCTTCTATTTTCACTTTTGGTTTCACTATCATATTCTCCTGGTACTGAATCACAGTATCAGCTGGTATCTGCCCAAGTTCTTTTTTGATCTGCATGATGAGGGGATTATTCTCGGCTGTCTTTGGTGTAGGTGTTGGTGTTGTCTCTATGATGCTGCCCTAAAATACAAAGAAGATACCTCTTTATGATCTGAAAAATACACTACATGTATATGATAAGGACATACTATATTATGATTCCTATAATATTTTACGTAACAAAATAAGTCAAATTATTCATACCTCTTTTTCATCTTCGTAACATACTGGGTGGTATGTCTGAAAGTAAATTATAAAACCTTATTTAATTCATTCATACCCAGTAATTTTTTTTTCATATACATGCATATTTTTTTTTCTTAACCAATAAAACAATTTTTTTTTTATAGTAGAACAAAAACATAAGGGTATTAAAAAAATCCTCCTATGGAAAACTTTTACAACTGCCCCTGATAATGGGCATTGGAAATTAATGCATGTATACTGAACCTAACAGTGATAAACATTTAAAATACTGAGGACTACCCTACAAAAGCACAGGTCGATACTGACCTTGCCCTCTGCTCTGATTGCATCCTTGAGATGCCATTCCTCTGCCTCTTCATCCCAGTACTGGTCAAACGGGTCACCACAAATGTCACATACCTGGACAAAACAAATACATGTATTTATTACCTAATTATTTCTATTTAACACAAGAAATGGGCCTTCTAGTCACTAAAATAGAATGCAAAAATTCTTTAAATCTCCTCTAAAGTTACTTTGGTAACAGAGCTGTAGACTGGAGCATAAAAAAACCTACATGTACAATAGGAAACACTCATACTGTAGTTTTCACAATTTGACACCTTAAAAACAAACATTTCATACCTTTTCACCCAAAGGAGATGGGCGAACATAGCGTGCAGAAAGCATATAACTTCAGAAATATAAAAATCATGTTCAGTTTGTGAATTTTATATTTAGAGTAAAGTTCTCATTATTGAAATTTATGAAATTGTGATAAACAAAACTTTTCTGAGGAAAATTTTCTCGACAAAATTTATTCTTTTATTAAAAAAATTAATGTGGTATTCGTTGGGTTCGAACCCTAGCAACAAAAAATCTTGAGTATCATTTTCATTCGAGACTAGCACGCTAACCACTAGACTACACAAGTCCTGACGAACAGTGGCATTTAAATCATGTTTGTGGTATGACCATTGACTTAAGGGACTTCAAGTATTTCTTGAAAAGATGCAAATTTTATGTCATAAAAGTATATTTTTAAGGTATAGTGGGTCATTGCTCCATATTTTTGGTAACCAAAAAATGTGTATTTTTATGCAAACTTTGAGGATTAACTTTCAAAAAGGTGGAGCGAAGACCTACTCATATCGAAAAATAGTGTTATAGTTTGAGAAAATGACCCCTTTTGCCCGCTTTAGTGTGTGTCTAATATTTCACAGGCAAATAATTTCAATCTTTGAGGGATTTTTGCAAATTGTAGAGATTTTACATAAAATATATTTTAATGTTAGACGAAATATCAAGGAAATTTTTGATATAATTGAAATTTAATTTTTCATCACCATGTTTGTCGCACTATAGGCTTATCGCTCGTCATGTTCACCCATCTCCTTTAAATATAAATTTTTTTTTAGCTGGAGAAATGTTTAAGTATCATATCAAATGGAAATGGTTGGTTTAAATACAACTCCTTCTTAGACTGTGCTCAGCATAGTGTCATACCTGAGTAACCTGAACTTCCAATGATACAGATAGGCAGACTAAAATTAGTGTACCTTACTGAGTTATCTAAAAACTGCAATCACTTCATCTTACCCTTGAATTCCATTGTTATTCTTATTTACATAAAATTCTGTTTCGTATTTGGATGCCAGTGTATGAAACATCATATACAGGTATGTATAACTTAAAGAAGCAAAGAAGAGCAGCTAATGATTTATTTGCTTTAATCTAAATCTAAAGTCATAAACTCCAAACAACTGCTTACATTTTCTCCATCTGAAGCTGCTGGACACCTGAGGATGTCATCGTTTTCTGGGATGTTGATTTTGACGGCAGCAGTGTCAGGCACTGTACTTGGTTTACTCTGCTCAAACACAATACTCTTACCTAAAAATAAAACATTACAATAACTCAGTTTTATTGAGTATTTCCATCTTTTAAATACTTCCTTTGAACATTTTTTCACATTAACATCAATATCTCATTTTCTAAATACAGAATGGAAAACAAGATAAAATTGTAGCAAATAGAGAAGATAATCAACTAACTTACCCTTGTCCTCAGATTCATCAATTTCCTCATAATCAATCCATTCCTACAATGTGAGAGAATTCAATTTATTGCTATGCTTATTATAAATACTGGAAAGCAAAGTAAAACTTATCCAAATTATTAGCCTTTGTCAATGAAAGCAACTATTTAGGTATTCCAAGTATGGACACTAATTTTTTGTCTCAAATACTGGAATAGTTTTATTGCACTCAAAATGGCACCTTAGTCCTACTATGCATATCTTTGCACTGTCAATTAAACAATAAAATAAAATACACAACAAAATATTAGATGTCAATTAACAGCATACTTACATCCAACGTATAAAACCACTTTCTGTGTAATAATATCCGAGCTCCATCCTTTTCTCGCTGATTTTGACGGAAATGCCAGTCTAGATGCTCTCTGTACTTTTCAGTCTGACTTGACGTGAAGCGCATTCCACAAGAAGTACATTGAATCCCACTGTACATTCTTTGAAACACCCCTTTGTATTGCCTATTTATGAATAGAAAAAAATCAATGCTTTTCAATTCAAATTTAAAGTTACATATATATAGGCATTCTTTTGTGCAACTGCTTTATATCATCAGCAAAACTCGTTTACATGTATAAGGAACTCAGATATATGGAACTCTCAGTTACAAGAAAGTTAGGTATTTTCCCCATTCCTCATAACATTTTTCTTATATAAGAATAAAAAAACTTTGGTCATTTCATGTCCCAATGACTTCCAAATGAGCAGGTTTTACTGCATACAGCCTATACTGAACATACTTTTTCAGGCTATCTGTTTTAAGGTCTAGTAGATCAGGAACAACGTCAATCTTGTCTTTCTTAATTTCCTGCAAATTTGAACAAAAAAGATAAAGTGTGGACCAAGACAAGGTATGCAAAAATCTCTTAATGATGAATAAATAATGGACTCTGATATATTGATCACTGTCATATATACTAACAGGAATGGCTGCCTCTTTCTTCACTTTGCTGGGTTCAGTTGAAGGCTCCGCTTTTACCTCTGGTTTGGAAATTATTCCAGTGTCTAAAAGTTTCTGGAATAATGACCCAATGTCAAATGGTGCTGAAGTTGCTACAGCAAAAAAGAAAGAAATTGTTATATGCATTACCTGGTAAATTACTTCTATAAAGTACATACATGTCTTTGATGAAATTAGACATACATATACCCACAAATAGCTGAACACAACCTGAAAGTATTTGATGATTAAGATAATAATAGTTTTTACCTGGTGCTGAAGGAATAATGCCTGGAATCTGAGATGACTGATTACTGGTCAGGCTGACATCTGCAACAGGTGTGCCTAATAAAACAAGAATAGTTATACAACTATAAATAATATGCACATCTTCACATAAATGCAGTATGTTTTGTCATTTACTTCCATAAACTCTGAATGTACACGATTCCTGGTACAAAGAAAATAATAGGGATGTGCGTTTTTATTGGTATACTGGTATATCATTTTTTATTGCACAATATATGGATATACGTGATATGGAGACTAAAATATTGGGATTTAGTATGTAATAATAATTAATTTTTTTGTTCAAACAGTATACCCTCCTCTCCTTCAGAGCAGGGGTATAATTATAATAGCTGAACTTACTTAATATAGGACCTGCACCTATTTGGGTATTGGCCCCCGTAGACAAGGACTGCATAGACATAGGAGTAGGCTGCATCATGGGGAATCCCTGATTGGGCATCATGGGGTTCAGACCAGGTCCCATCATCCCATGGGGAGGCTGATTTGGCATCATGCTATTAGGTGGCTGCATCATTGGAGGGTTTTCCATTGGCTGATTTGGTCTTTGCATTGATGGTCTATCCATCACTGGTGGTCGTGGGCCTCCTATAGGTCCAGGTCCTGTATCAATAAATGAACAATTACAAAAATGACATTTTAAATTCAATGAGTAGTTCAAACAGCATAATTTTTAGAAATCATTACACTCAATGAGATAATAGCAAGAAAAACAAACACACAAACAATTACCAATAGGTCTGTTGGATCCTTGGTTCATCATGGGCCCCTCTGTCTGGAAATTACCAGGTCCTGGAGGTCTCATTCTTGGGCCTTGCATTCCATTTGGAGCATGAGGGCCAAAGCCAACATTATTAACAGGCATCATTAACTGTGGATCCTCAATAGGTTCTAAGATTTTCACATCAGGTGAATTTCCCTTCAGCTGAATTTCCACTTGTCTATTTCCCACCACAATTGTTTTGGGAGGGCCATCAAATTTCACCTCGTACCATTTTCCATCAAATATCACTTCATGAGCCGGGCCACCAAAGGCAATATTGTGTGGTCTTGTGCCGATACGGATCTTGACAGCTCTGTCCATAGGTACAGTATGGGGAATGTTATTGACAATAATATCCCTTGGTGGTCCATCAAAGCGAATGCCATGTGGCACACCATTGATCATCACACAAGGAATTTTTCTGTCCAATTTCAATTCACACAACTTCCCATCAATCAAAATTTGTCGGGGTGGTGGTTCAAAACGAAGTTCACAGCGATTTCCAGCAATAAACACAAATCTAGGTGGACCACCAAATACTCCCAGTTCTTTATTATCTAACAGAATCATACCGTCTCTTCCATCAATTCTGATGGTATGTTCTTTATCTTTGATTGAGATTATCTTTGGTGGAGCATCCAGCCTTAGTTCATGTAAAAACCCATCTATCCAGAGCTGTCTTGCTGCACCATGATAGAATACTTTGAAATTTCTTCCAGTACAGTCTGCCTGTAGTTTAACTTCCCTAACATAATCTCCAAATGTGTAAACTCTCTGGCCATCTACAAGAATACATCGCTGATTTGGATCTGCAAATATTTCAATCTGACCTTTACCAAATCTAACCTTTCTTGGGGGAGCACCAACTTTAATATGGAAAGGTTTTCCATCAATCACAAACTCTTCAGTGTCATCAGTTCCTGGAAAATTGCTAAGATTAGCCCATCTTGAGTCTTTCATAGGAGGTAACTGTCTCAATGGAGGTCTAGGTTTGTTCATAAAGTCTGGAGGTGGTCTGTTGTCAAAATCCCTATCATCCATATCACGTTGTGGTGGTGGCCCTCTTGGCCCAGGGAACATTCCACGACCCCTAAAGTTTCCTCTAGGTCCACCCCTGTTACCTCTATCCCACCCTCCATGCCATCCACCTCTTGGAGGAAATCTGTCATCCTGTCTTCGATTGTCCATATCATATGGAGGGAAATCCTCATCCATGGGACCTCTTTGATCTCTAAATACTGGGGAGTTGCGCCCCCTTGATCCTCGACCTCTGAGTCCCATTCCTCTTCTTGGACCACGATTACTATAGTCTTGAAAAGGTCGACCCCTGTCAGGTCTATTATCAATATTATCTTGTCTAAAATCTGGTGGTCCCCTTTCTCCTGGGAGACCTCTACCATCATAATTCCACATCTCTCTATCATAGTCTCTATCCGGAGGTCCTTGCCAGTCAGGTGGAGGGAATCGCTCATCATCTTTCATTGGCCTTCCCATCCTATGTGGTGGTCCAGCCATGTCCCTATTGATTCCTCTATCTACATCCATTGGTGGTCTTCTATCATCAGGAGGACCATCAAATATTTCTCTGTGGTGGGGTCCTTCAGGAGGACCAGGTCTGTCTCTATTAAATGGTGGGAATCGGTCTCTGGAATCGCTGTCAAAGTCACTCCTCGGAGACCGAAATTCTCTTTCATCCATGTTTAATTCTCGAGCTGCAGATCTACGACTTTCTTGCCATTTTTCAGAGATGGGTCCATCTCTCTCCACTGGAGGCTTTTCATTACTTGGAGTAGGCCTTGGTGGTGTAGGCACTCTAACACTTGGAATTGATCTCCAATCCTTAGGTGGACCAGGCTGATAATCAGAGTCTCTTTCATTTAACTCTCCTTTTAATTTTTCTCTTTCCTGCTGAATCTTTTGTAAAACATCCAATCGAGATAAGTCCTTTAAAAGTTCTTGATGCCTTTCAAATGTTAACTCTCCTGATTTTCTACGTTTCTCAATCTGTTCTAAAATGGTTTCTCTGTTTTCCAAAGAGAGAGCATTTGGAATATCAACAGTTTTTGAGGATTCACCAACACCTCGCAGATCAAGGTCCCCTTTCTGACTACGAAAGTCGGTGTCTTTTCTGTGGTCCATGTCTAGTGGACTTCTATGATCCGTGTCCCTCCTCTCACGTTCAATCTCATAGGAAAACTCCCCTGGATGGTCATGCCTGTACTGAGCCCAGCCCTTCTTAACTGCATTCTTGGGCTTTCTCTGATCTACATCCATCAAACTCCTGTAGTCCTGATCCTCACTACCAAACAATGCACTGCAGAAAGCAAAGAATTAAGGACTTCAGTTAACAATGTCACAAGAAACAAATGTGCTTTAAAGACACTTCAAATCTAAATTAATGAAAACATGACAAATATTACAACATATTCAGGCAATGGGCAAATTGTAGACAAAAATTGTAAAAATGAAGTTTAGAAAGAAAATCAAATAAATCTTGGTGAACCAAGTAATAATTACTTTATATGTTTAATCTTACATGTTTAATACAAAATCATAAATAAACGTAAAAAAAAAAAAAAAAAAAAAGAAAGAAAATGAATATAAAATAAAATTTTAAAAATTCATGTACACTTAAGGCAAATAAAAATTAAACATTTTAGTTCTTTGACAAATTGAAATACAATCCTTTTTGAAATAAAAATTGCAAGTCTGAATTCAGTAACAAATTACTTACGTGAAACTACAAGTAGCAACAAAGGAGCACAAAAAAAAAGACTTTGTTATATAACTCTGATAATAATCTGGATTTCCATACAAGGCTGTCAAGTGTGGACAACCAGCACATTCTTTGCCAACTTTATTATTACAGTTATTTGTAAAAACATATTTCTTTCCCTAAGTATTATCTCAATCAACTTTATACCACATTTACAGCATGTTATACCAATTTACATCCAAATACATGTATATAGAGAAAAAAATATACCTCAGTTCATTGTCCAATTTTGGCTGGTCCTCCAACCTCGGCTTTTTACTTGGTCCCTCCTCCTCTATGTCAGCCTTGTCTGCACTCTCTGATATCTCACTAAGGTCACGTTTTGAGTTTCCCTTCACTAATTTTTGATCTTTACTTCTCTTTTGCTCACGTTCATCCAGATCATCTTTACCTTCTGCAATGACCTCTTTTTTAGGAATTTTGTATCCTGAATCAAAGAATCCCTGCTTCTTTTCGGTGTCCATTTTTTCCTCTGATTCTGTTGGTTCAGGAGTTGTTTCAATTTTAATGTCATCCTTCACCTTATCAGTTTTCTTTGGAGACTTCTTCTCCTTTGGTGAAGGTCTTTTTCTAGACACAGGTGACCTTGATCTCTCCTTTAGAGATGGTGATTTTTCTTTGTCCCGCCTTGAATGATTGGAATCCCTGCTGTCAGAGTCTTCCTCTAGCCTACCTTTAGATCTGTCTTTTGGCTTGGAATCTTTTTTCCTGTCTTCTGCTTTCTTTGCATCTATATCCCCCTGAGATTTTCTTTTGGCATCCTCCTCCCTGCTTTTTGAGTCTCTGTTAATTCCTCTTTCATGCCTAGGGCTACTTTTCCTTGATGATCTGGAGTCTTTGGAGCGTTCCTTGGAATCTCTACTTCTAGCACTTTCTCCACTTCTTCTTTCTTTACTTTTAGAGTCTCTTGATCTAGGCTTATGAGAATCATTCTCACTTTTATGCTTCACTTCACTTTCATTTTCCTTGGCTCTTCTTTCCAGTTCACTCCTTAGGGTTCCTTTATCTGTGGAATGCCTTTGACTTCCAACAGACTTTTCTTTATCAAAATTATCATTAGGTTGAGCTCCAGGTGGCTTAGCTCTATCACTAGTATCTTCATCATTTGAATTTTCACTAATGAATGTTTGAGTTGGTGGTGGTAGACTAGAAGGTGTAGGGAATGTTATCGTGGAGGTAGGTGGCATGCCTGGTGGAGGCTGGCTTATCACAGGTGGAGGGAATAGTCCAGGTGGTGGTTGAGACAGCATCATTCCTGGATTAGGCATCATGGGCATCAAGTGAGGAGGGGGCATGCCCGGGAAGGGCATCATTATAGGATTGGGTCCTGGGATGCCAGGCATGGGATTTGTAGTGACTTGTGAGATGGGTGGTTGAGCTGAAGCAGCACTAACTGTGGGAGGTTTGTTTTGAAGTCTAGGATCCCTGACACGAGGATCCCGAACAGTCCTAGGATCTCGATTCGGCATTCTAGGGCCACGTTTTGGCACATTGGGCAAGGATGGAGAGATGGACGGTGTTTCACTTATCAGGGTCTCTTCATTTTTCAAGACCTAAAAATCAAAGATTATTCCATTTTACACTGTACTAAGTTGTTTCACTCACTAAAAACTGCATTCTGATTAAAATAGATCTTTGATACCCTTTGAAATTTTGATAGTCACTGTACAAAGCGACTATCAAAATTTTGGGAGCGTATCAAGACCTGATTTTAATCAGATTGTAAAATTAACTGTACACACACTGTAGTTTATGTTACTGAATAAATATGATCAATTTTGACTCAACAATTCTCCTGGACATGAAATATGTATCATTCAGATAATTTTTTTTCACCTTGGGATGAGATCGATTCTGAGTTGCCTCTTCTAGCTCTCTAAGTTCCATTTCAAGCTTCTGCTGTTGGATTTTCAGCAACTCTGCTTTTTTTGCTATCAATTGTTGTCTCATCAGTGTTTCTTCATCTACATCAGGAACCACAGGGAGTTCAGGAACTATGTCCTCCTCTTTCTGTATAAATGGTAGAACATTAATGAACAATACTTGCTGTAAATCATATCGTATGTTCTGATCTATAGTTATTTTGAATTTTGCCTCATAGTCATATAATTATTAGCTTACCAATTAAAAAATGTTCTTGAAATAGTCACTTCATTATCAGAAAATTACAATTTTAAAAGAATAGATTCATAAATTAAGAAAAGAACGTGCCATGTTGAATTGCACATATTATATCCCACTTTTAAATCATTTAATACTGATCTTTGTATCAATTTACAGTTTATTCATGAACTACATCTGCTGGAGCTTTTTTAAAATACAATAGCAATCCTCTATGATATGGATAACAATCGCACCCTATTGACTGTTAATATTTAGAAACTATTATTCACATGTCAAACATCTATGGCTATTTTGAGGAGAAGATTTTTATTTTATATGTTTATCAAGTTTATGAATGAATTTAATTTAGTATTTAATATCCACTTTAAAATGCAAATTAAAGTAATATTTTTAGTTTTGGTAATGAGGATATTATGAGCCAGGATTTTCAAACATGTATGCATGCTTAGTTATTAATGAATCACTATTGTCCTTAAAGGAATAGCTGCCTTGAATTTTCAAACTTAAATTGTCTTTACAATTTTGTTTTGCACAAGATTAAAGCAGCATTTAATTTATTCATCACTGAACTATTGTGCAAATATGTCAATAAAATCAAAAGCATTAATTAAAATTTGATTTCAAACCAGAATACCAGGAACTTATTGGTGCCAAATATTAAGCCATCCCCATGCTCAATCTCATGCAGTTTATACCTTTGCAATGAACTTTGGATTGACAAATATGTTACTCTTCCCATCAGTTTCTGCTACAGCTGTAATAGGCCAAGCTGGATCCATGTGGTTTACTCGTACATCAATGGCATACAGTTTCCTGTTTCTAAATATTTCATTCCATGTTTGTCGAACTTTGTACATGCATTGTCTTGTCTTTTCATCTACCTGTTGTATTAACGTAGAAAAGTTCACACTTAGAGTTTGCATTACATTACTCCAAATGAAATGTAACCAGCGAGGGAGAAAATACAAGAATTCCAACCCAGGCCCCTGGGTCAGGTTCTCTACAGAGCTACGGCCACCGGCAATCAAATCTGCCTAACCATCACATTCCTCCCTTCTTAAAGGTCTTTGCCCCCCCTCCTCTCCCCCCAACACCAACCCAGGCTCTTCCCTGGCAGGTCTTTCACCTGTAACTTCAAAGTCATAGCACGGCACCAAATGGAACATGGACAAAAAAGGTAACAGACCAGACCAGGATTTGAATCCTGGTCTTGTCTGTCACATATTTTTTCTCCTTGCCAGTTCAGAATATCTCTTCAGAATATTTGAAATCATACACACAGATGTTACACATGCACTTTCCAAGCATAATTTTCCACCATGCAATCATTTTTTTGTGCTTGTGTGCAACCAGAAAGGAGAAAAATTATGGTTGAACTAGGAATCGAACGATGGACCCTGCCTTACTAAGTCATGCAGATACTCTATCCACAAAGGTACCCTGGCAAATATTCATGGTACATATAACCCAATCCACTACGATTGCCCAGAATCTTTTGCCCCTTGTTGGTCTTTCATCTGCAAGTTCAGGGGTGGTCAACAGCACCAAATTATGTATCAAGAAGAGTAAAAATGTATGGTTGGACTGGGAATCGAACCTGAGACCCCTGATAACTAATTAAGTTCTCTAACCACTAAGCTTCCCAGGCCAATATTATCAGGCAAAACCATCTAATGTGGTTTAAAACCCTTGCATCAAGCATAAATTTGGGAAAACACAAAATTTAGTCAATTATTCTTTGTATTCTACATTGGCTTCTTTAGCTTTCATTATTCATGTAAATTTTTTTCTCAGCCAAAATTAAATTTTTTTTTCTCAATTACAGTTGAACTTTGGTATCTCAAATACCATGGATATGTCAAAGTGATTTGGATACCCTAACCCCTTATTCTTTAAGTATTTTAACCTAAATATTTCGAATCCGAGGATATCTCAGTTTTTTCTTGGTCTCATCGAGTTCGAGATAACGAAGTTTGACTGTATATACGTTTTAATTGAACACACATGGGGTGCTGCTGTGCATCATTTTTTCCTCCCCCTGAATTTTTTTTCTTTACCTATATGAAAGTATTTCATATATTTAAGAAAAACACTTAATTATCATCATTTTACATTATGGGCAGAAACTTAAGCTTGCAATTGACCTAAAAAAGCACTTGTCTTTTCTGTCTCTAAAGTATTATCTTTCTGAAAAAATTGGCAGATCCAGTGTCTAATTAAATGAAAGAACAGTTGTTAAGCTAAATTTTGAAAAGCTAGATACATGCATGTAGCATTTATTTGGATGAGACAGAGATTCTAGATAAAGAATACATGTATGCAGATAATTCAGACACATCTTTTTATAGACAAGTTCTAAAAGACAATTTTATTTGATAGTCTAGTATTAGTAAACTGCATATTAATTAAAATTCAAAAATGGGTACTGCCAAATAAACAGAATAATTATAAATATCTTCCTCAGAAAATTTGTGTGCATTGCGCATGATCTAGAGGTGGATAAGGGTCAACCTTCTCTCCCCCCCCCCCCCCTTTCCGACTTCAGTTACAGAATTTCTATGTAAAAGTCACACAAAAATTACTTTGGACAACCCTCAATCCCCATCTTAAGATGGTAATGAAAGTCATGTTTCTGAACAAAATTGTCTAGGAAAGTATCTTTTTTGGTTGTTAAAAAATTTTCAAGTTTGACACTTGTTAGGGTTAACTGATATCAATGAATCTGATTAAAATCAGATCTTTGATTCTTTTTTGAAATTCTGATAGTTGTTATACAGCTACTATCAGAAATGCAAATCAAAGATGTGGAACCTCACTCTCCCAGAAAAAATAATGGGCCTGCACCTAATTTGTATGCATAACAGCTGTTAAAAGTGTTCATGAAATTGAGGTGGGAGAATTTGCCCAAAATTTAGACTTATTGCTAAAATTATTTTTGATGAAATCATATTAAAATTGTCAAGTGAAAATATCATTCTATTTGTACAAGTTTTAGATGGATGCAGCAATTATATCTTAAAATTCTTCTGTTATATATTAGAAAATAAAAATGAGACATCCAATCAAAAAACATATCAATTATAAACCAAAAAAAGTTAGCATTTTTGCAAATGCATATGAATTATATAATTTTGATGTTTGTTCTCTTTTCTCTTGAAATACAATAATCCTCTCCGTTTTCCAACACAGAAAATAGAGCTCACAATTATCTCCAATTTGGGTGGCTGAATGGCCCCCTTTTAATGCAAAATACATACATTTCTCCCATTTAAATGGTATTATTTCCCCATTTATCATTAGTGATGATAAGTTGTTATCTGGGACCAATATCATGTATAGTGTAAAGGTTCCTGTTGATATCAAAACCACTAGAAAAATTACCAGAATATTTTTGCTTTATGTACAGTAAAACACCCTTATAGCAAACATGTTTATAATGAAGAAATTTTTATTTCCCTTGGTTTTAAAACATAATGTTAAATGAATGGACATAATTACATTTATAAATTAGAAAAATTGTTCTTCCCTGGCATTTCACTATAAACATGTTTTACTGCAACTTGATTTTCTCCCAAATTCTATACTCTCCCAACAGTAAAAGCCTGTCCCCTGTACCATACACTGGTATGAGAGGCCTGCAGTCTGGGAAAGCTACAGGGTTAATCAGTCAATGAATGTCAATACAGATGTATGATACAGCTAGTCACTCACAAATACACATCTTGCTAGTGCCCACCTTCGAGGGCAAATATTCTGAAGAGGCATTATGTACCATTGTGCATCATAAAACAAAATTAATCTTTCAAATTTACACTGCGCAGTCTGAACATATTCATTTTTCATATCTGAATGCAGTTAAATTTGAACGTCTATTCCACTGCATCTTTTCCACCTTTAAATTTTTTTTTGAACTTCCCGATAAACAATGGTATCTTATATCTAATTACTGAAGACTTGTCTGCCTTGTCTCCTGTTAATATGTAAATAACATCCATTCTGGTAATTATTTTGAGATATGCACATTAATTTTATTCAGCTTTTTATTCCCATCTTTTTACTGTGCAAAGATGACAGGGCCAAAGACCATAAACTGAGAACAGACATGTCAAAATTCATATTTGAATATCTAGATTTTTGTGAAACAAACACATTTCAAAAGTTCACATACTATTAAAATACAAGATGGAAATTTTGTTTCATTTTCAAAATAATTTTGCATTGCATAATTGGAAATTTTGACTCAAGTCTGTTCTCTGTTTGGTCTTGAGAACATGTTTCTGTACTGCGCCGTTACTTTCTTTCCATGTTTCAGAATTAAGAGAAGTCAAGGAAAAATAAAGTTTACCATGGCAGATCACATCTTTGCATTTTTTTCATTGATTAAACAGTGTTAGCATTCCTCACAGTTTTCCATAAAACTAAAAGACATTTTTTTGGGGTTTTTTTTCCCTTTTTTGTACAAATAAAGTATATACCAGTAACATTACATTATCATTTACAATTTCCATCACCAATAAGATATAACACAAATCAATTTATCAGATCTTGTCAATTTTTACACCAATGCTCACAGAAGAGCAGGAATACTTTATAATTAACCATTAACCAAGGGAGAACCTTTGAAAAGCATGAAAAAATTAGACTTTGTAAACAATTTATCACATCTCTTTTATTTTTACATCAACATTTCAAGGAAGATACTATATGGCTGTTTGTCCTCTCAAATGCAGTTGCTACCTGTTCATTGATCCTTCCTTCTGAATTTCCCAGATTCACCATTTTAAATCAAAAGGTATATAACATCATTTCCCGTAGCTTAAATGAGATATTCCATAAATTCTTAAAGTATGGACATAAACTTAGATATTTTACATAAAATAATATTTCAAAAATGCTATCTCAAAAGACCTCCCTGGTTAATTCCTGGATTTCTTTCTTTAACATAGGAAAATTCAGTACATGATTTTTTACTTCTTTAATCAACTGTGTCAATCCCAAAATTTATTAAGGGTAACACAAACAAAGATGGAATTTATTTCAAGTGTAATTGGATGCTAACCTTTTCAAAAGTTGTACAGAACGTCTGTACAATATTTTGAGCAAATAAAGAAGGGTACGATGATTTCGGGAGATTCTTGATTATAGAATCAATTAAGTACAGAGTTGGGAGCTTCTTGGATGGTTCAGCCTGAAAGTAGAAAATCAAAAAATTCTTTTTCAAGTTCTTCAAATTCATTTCAACCAGTCATGATTCCTCGAAGATCTGCAAAACACAAAGAATACAATAAATACATGAAATTAAATTGAAAGTTGCATAAAGAATCATAAACATATTCATGATTCATATCTGTACAGTATATTCAGTCAATAAGAAGTCAACAAGATAATAATGTCTTCTTCTTCTCGATCCACTTCTTTTTTCACTTTTTGGAATGATGGCAGCACGGCATTTATTTTCACCATTATTCATCTGTTCCTATATCCTTAACATCTTCTATTCTTCATCTTCAATCTTCTCAGCCACACAGCTTTAATACATCCCCATTTTCTTCAAATTTCCAAATAACCTTATCATGCATAAATGTCATCTTTACATACAAGTATATCAAAATTTGCTCTGATGAATTCTTTGGTACATGTATATGTATTTTAAGAGGAAGTCTAGGAAATTCTTATTTGTGAAAGATGATGCTATGTTATATTTATCCTGAATAATTTAACTCTTCATCTAGTAAATTAGAAAGAAAAAAGTACAAACATCCCTTATAATATACATCAACATTTCATTCAAACTTTTTTGAAAATGATATGTCTACCATTCTGGTGCTGAATTTTTTATGTAAAACATTGTTTCAAGTTTTGTCTCCCTCTTACACCCGTCACTGAATTTTGTTTGTAGCCATGTTTAGAAGCACTGAGAGAGTTTTGTAGTGGTAGAAATTTTATTATCTCTATTCAAACATTACTTTAACGAACAATATAGTATTCTTCCATGTAAACAGCACAGTTCACAACAATTTAAATAATTTTAATGGTTTGATACATGCAAACTCCTCAAAGTTGTTTACAAAGACTTCTATTTAGATTGTACCAATGTTTAACATTATAGGTTTTGAAGGAAGATACAATGACATGCTTAATTCTCTTAGTTTAAGACAGCATTAAATAAAGATCCGCAATAGTGTACTTCATAAAGTCGAAGAATTACTCTTTAAAATTCTACAACGCAGAATATGCAACTTAGTATCAAAATTTCTCCCAAGACTTGCAGGTGAGAATTAATATCTGGCAATATGGCCAGTGCCATGCCATCTCGATATTAGGCATCCGTTACAGTGCATTTGTCACTCATTTATGGTCCTCCAGAATATAAATTACTCAAAAGTTTATTACTGTCTACGGAAATATATATTGGGTTGATCAATGTCATAGCCTGTTGGGATAGGAATTTACAAATTTGCTTTACCAGCAGTACCACAGTTCTTATAGCTTCGCTACTCTCAAAATTTTTGTAACAAGCAAATTATATCACACCACTGTAGTTTCATTGTTTTTTTATTGAGCACTTTTTTTAAAGATAAGTTTTATGCAATTATCTTGTCAAGAAAATCATTCTTGAAAAATTTTCATAGTTTTCTTTGTATCAGCAGACAATTAAAATTGCCCAAAAATGCCATCTATCCCAAGTCCTCAAAAATGCCAACAAAAATCAATGAAACAACATTATCATTCAACTAGAAAATAACTGTGATTACCTTTTGAAAATGTCTCTATACTACATTTCATATCAACATCAATTTAGAGGGTAGCCAACACTCTCATATTTTAAATTCCAACCTGATTTTATCCTAAGAAATTGAAAAATTAATGAAACATAATGGCCATGTGTATATTATATATCACTAGTGAATATTGGCAACACAGTTATTTTCTCTTTATTTACCCAGAATAATTGAAAAGATTTATTCTATTTCATGCTCCTTCAATCATGTTCAAATATAAACTTGTAACACTTCATCTCGACTTTTTTCATGAATCCAGTTTATACTTCCAGATTCTTCACACCACTTTGTTCACCAATAATTTGTGTTACATGTATCATTGCTATTGCAATTTAATTCCTTGTCCCTGGCAACGAGGGAGTTGAAATGTTTGATACAGGAAGTAAGTTTTTCTCTTCAGAAAAAATTTTTCAAAATGGAGGCCAAACAGAGGAATCAACTCATATGACCTTTTGTAATATGTAAGGCTAAAACATGGTTCTCCTAAATCCATGTTTGCAAAAGAAGTTGGCACAACTGCCTTGTACATAAAAACCAATCATGAATGGCTTTGCTAAATGAAAGTCAAGACTAATTCACATATTTATTGAATAAATCATTATTGCACATAGTTCAGTTTTCCTCAATTCTTGAAAGTAACAGCAACAGCACTTGGTCAGTAGTCACAAAATTGCCGATTACTTAGAGTGCACAGATATTTCCAAACCGAATATGTCTCATATATACAGAACAGTTTCTTTATTTTATTAAAGAGATATTACAAGAACATATTTAAAATAACTCTGGATAGTCCAGTAAGGTTGCCCGTTTTTTGCAGTGAAATGAAATTGTTTAGAGGAAGTTATGTCACAGATTATTTTTCATCATGATGATCACAAACACTATTTCTACTACATGTACTACGGTCTTCTAAACTTGGATGCTGCAGTTTACAATGTTACCTTCGCGAGGTAATGCAGATATAAGGGCAGATACAAACGAGCACTAACTTGACAATAGTCAAAAACAGTTAAACTTTTATTATTTTTAACAACAAATACAGATTTTACTATTTTTTTTCCCTTGTTCTTTTTTTTTTTTTTTTTTAAACATAATCCACTTTCAATCAATGTTTGAGTCCTTATTTCAACATCTCCATACAGTCCTTTCAATATTACAGGGATTATTTTAGGGTCTCTCCGGGGCCGAAATTCGGCCCCATTCCCAATGCTGAAAAGTGCATGTTTTTCCCAAAATCATACCTAAAAACTCCCAATATGAAAAAAACGTATTAAGTTGTAAATTATTAAAATAAAATGATGACAAAAAGGTGTTTATGTTCTCTATGTGCGATGTACGAGCCATCCGAGGACTTCCGAGAAGTTATTCGGAATAGTATGGATGTTTGCATGCATACTTTTTAAAGCGGGATCGATGTTTAAAAATTAAAGTCGGGATCGTTATCTAAAAAATAAACGTGCATCATGTCAGTCTCTCCAGTTTGCCTAGGACGGTAATTTTCAGGCTGGGTTGAATCGCTCTTATTCTTATAAATTGGTCAAACAATACCGATTAACCACTCATCTGGAACAAACCCACTATCAAATGTTATTTTAAAGAACTTCTTACATAAAGGTAAAAAAGACGACAACGTATAAATATGTTCATTTACAATGTTATCACACCCTGCGGCTCTGCCATTTTTATAACTTCTGAACTTCAACAGCCGCTATAATATTTCATATCACTAAAGCTGGTTTAAGTCAGCTTCATACTATAAAAAATAAGAAAAATGATTAAATATTTGACTTTTGCATGTTTTTTCCTATTTATTTGTATGAAGATATTTTTCCCAATTTCAACCAAATATCGCTATTTTTCCCAATATTGACGGCCCCGGCCCCTGGAATCAAGGGGTAAAAAAATCCCTGTATTATTTTATTTAAAAGCTCCAGGAACTACCCAAAGGGTAACTGTTTATAAATTTTTATGCTCTATATCTGGGATTTATACAAGTGCATGTTATCCTAAAGAGACTGAATACTGGTAATGGAGATGAGCACTGGCCTGGTTAGCAAGACTTTCCTCAGCGTTTATGGTTACATTGTCAATTAATTCATACGCATATTTTCTCATTAAAATCATATTTTATGTTTGTCATTCAATTGATTTAAGCATAAATGATATAGAAAATAGGGCTGTATAGATATTTACTCAATCATTTGGACAATACCCAAGCCATAATAAATTAATGAATTTTTAAATGGCACATATTTAGGTTCACACATTTTTATTTCATGGTTTAATATAATTTTCCCATTGTCACATCTTTAGTGATTTCGATAATTTTTGATTATTTTTAACATTTGATATTGACCAGTCAACATCATTTTGGGCTAGTGAAATTTCAGAGATTTGTAGCCAGCATTGTCTACTAAATTTTAACTTTTAATTTAATCACAGAGCATTGTCCTGTGTCTGTTTAACATGACAACAAATTATTTCTTAGCAATTCTCAATAAAAGTGCATCTTCAGCATAGACGTCATATAAATAACTCCATAAGCTTTATTTACTTTTCTCCATAAATCCTTTAAATTTAGCAAATTTCTTGCTAGTTTAAACAAATGAGAATTTACATGTATTTTATAAATGTTAGCATGACGTCTCAAGGTCATGATATGACTTAAACAAAATGCAACTTCCTAGTGCAATAGTAGTAACAGTAAGGCCATAATAAAAAATTTCCTGGATTCTCATCCAAATTTTTTAAAAGATTGAGGTGGGCAGGCATTACTTTATATTTCTTCCATTGTGCAGATTTTTTTGTTGACCTTATTTAGCTATTAAGCCCGAATAAAAGTCATTATAAAGATCCATTAAATTTATATGCATATGTCTTACTACACATCCTAACCAATCTTTCACAACCAATCCTTGTTGAACACATATTACAGTAATTACAACCTTGTCAGCTGTCAAAATCACGCTGAATTCACAGGATTTAAAACAAAATTTGAATGGTTGCCGAACCCAATTAGATTGAAGATGAAGAAAAACAGAAATTAAAAAAAAATCAAGGCTGGGATAAAAAAAATTTGGGTGGGCAGGGATGAGAACATAGAAATATTTTTTATTATGGCCTTCTTGGGTTTTTTAAAACATCCTTTGGAGTTAATCATATGAATTGTTATGCAGTTCTAACTGTTCCAATATTCTGAAACACAAATTGGATTTTCCTCGTCTTTATAAGATTTTTAAAATAAATGCTTCCTCTTCCATCACCAGTCTGAATCAGAATTAAATATACCAATTTAAAAAAAAAAAGACTTTTTTTTTAAAAGAGAGACCATGAAAGATGATAATGAAAATAAAATGATCAAACTTAGCATGTGGGATGTTGTACTAATGGAACAAATTTTCTCAATATTCACTAAGGACCCTCTACAAGATTTAACAATGCTTGCTTTGTTCCATTGCATGTCACAACAAACAATGCCAAATACTTCTAGAAAGCATAAATGAAAACAAAGAATATTTATTTCACAAGTACAACAGCATCTGATACTGTGTCTGCAATATCAAAAGTTCTGCAAGTGTTCTGGAAATAATGAAATTATGCAGCTCCTCATAATACACATTACTCCTCATAATACACATTACTTTAAAAGAAGACAGACAACTTCTTGTGTAAAAATTTAATTTCAATTAAACAATATACATAAATGGTGACTGGCTGATTTGTATATATATGCATTGGTTGTTTACTCATTTGCTTTACTTTTAAATCGTGAAATTGAAGTAGTTATGTAAATATAAAGTTTTTCTTTTATATAAACAACGTAAAGTTGAATTTTTATAAGAACGGATGTTTTCGATAAACTTTACATCAATGGTAAACAACCCATATGGTACACGTACCGTCACATGACAAGTTATTTCCGGATAGTGACGTTTCAAGAAAATTGGAAAATCCATACCAAGAAAATTAATTAACTTCAAAATTAATTAAAATTGTATTTGTTATTGAATTCAGAAAGAAAAATATCAATGAAATAAACCTGTTGTAAATGCGTTTCTATGACTTTAACGATTTCTGGCGCATACTGCTCGTTGTCCTCAGCCAGCATGGTCAGCATGTTGATCAGAGGTTTGCTGTTCGCATTTAGGTCTTCCAACGAAGAATGGTATTCTTGGATAACCTCTTCTTCCATTGTATCAGCTTAATTCACTTTTTTAACTTCCCAATATTTTCATTATATCAGCATTAACAGATTATGTCTGTGCCCTCTACCTTTCAAAATGTCTTCCTCCTCGCTGAATGACCTACTTTTTGTATCTCAGGTTGTTAGAACAAACATTTGTTGATTGGTTAAAACTTGTGCAGTTCCACCAATCACGATACATGATACATTTAGAACAATCCTTTTACAATATAGTTCCTGTTCCTCTCCAAATTTATCACTGAAACTTTATAGCATTTATACAGATGTCTTAATTATTTTTTATTTTATATATTATTCAGTTCTTTTTTAATAGGTTATGAAATAAAAAAGAAACAAAAAAAAAGTTAGTATATTCAGGCGCAGAACGAACTTCCGGTTTTATAATATTAAAACCTGTAGCCTATGAATGATATCCGGAATAAACATAAGGTACTCAAAAATACCAATTAGACTGATTATGTTGAACAAGAAATGCTGCTGTTTAAGATTTTTTTGTATGGTATTCTCTCTGAATTTATTAATGTGTTGCTAATGAATGGTAATCTTATTTATCAAGTTTGTTTGTCAGTAGGGGTGTAGCAAGTGATGATGATGCAGATCAGATGATGTGAAGTACCACTATAACTGAACAGGGGTACGTTGTAACTATGTTAATGATACACATCTAATTAAGAACACAATAATTTGCATATGATAAACGTTCATATGACAAAGGCATTACTTTATTCTTTGAAGTAGACAAGTCTACCTCATTTATGATAATTTCATAAATGCCTGTCATCAAATGTTTTGACTCTAACAGATGGAATGAAATATGGAGATTACGAGCAGTATTCAAGCTCAAAAGTTCATTCAAACAATACAAATTAGGAGCAGAGCAAACACAGACCTTAGAGGTGGGATCAGGTGCCATGGAGGAGTGAGCATCCCCTGCCGACCGGTCACACCTGCCGTGTGCTCCTTGTCATGATCGGTAAATAACAGAAAAATCCATCAAACATTCAGTGTGTAAATAATGGCCTAACAATAAGTATGAAAAGCATCAGTCAGCATATGATTTAATGATAGATTGTATTTGCTGACAAGGTCATTGTATCGACCATAGAACTTACGAAATGATGACTTTAAACGAGACTGTTACGAAATGATGACTTTAGACGAGACTGTTGATATTCTTGTTTCATCAACTTGTTTGTTAATAACTTACCTCATTTTAGAAATTGTTCATACGTAGAGCATGCTCTTGCATATCGAATAGACTGAGAGATATACACCCCATATGCAGGTGATAAGGGTATATTGCTGCATAAGTAAGGGAAGTTTATGATTGAAAAGTTAAAGTCATCTCGTTTATCATAAAGCTTTGTTGTTAGATTACCATTAATGTCTTTTTCTAGTGAAATATCCAAATATGAAACAGATGTGTCAATCTCTGTTGTATGGAAATGATGTAAATTGCCCATATATTCAATCTTGCCAGTTAACATTCCGCGGTCTTAAGCAGTACTTTCAGAATGCTTTTGAAAACTTTGCACTTGTCTCTGAAAAATAACCTGACGATATTTTTTTTCGATTCTTGGTTATATGCATATTTTGTCAGCATATGAAGTGAGACTTCAGCTTTAAATATCTGACAATAAATTAAATTTGATGCTTGATTGTATGAATCATTATACAAAAATTAAGTGGGTTCGAGGGCAAGATGCATTTTGTCGAACCCAAGAACCAAACTTTTTGCTGAGGCCTTTAGGTTGAACGGAGGGCATATTGCTTTGCTACTGTCTGTCGGTCAGTCTGTCTGTCTGTCGGTCACCAACAGTTTCCATTCAATTTCTTCGCAGAGGTTGCACATACTGAAATGAAATTTGGTATACAGATTTATCGTAAGAATATCTAAGTCAAGTTTTGTTTTGGGTACGATTGAGCAATTTTTGATAGTTATGCCCCTTGGACTTTGAAAAATTCCAATTATTTGCAGTTTCTGTTCATTTTCTTTGCAGAGGTTGTACATACTGAAATGAAATTTTTTTGGTTTACAGATTAATCATAAAAATATCTAGGTCAAGTTCTGTTTGGGTATGATTGAGCAATGTTTGACAGAGTTATGCCCCTTGGACTCAGAAAAATTCCAATTATTTTGGGGGGGGGGGGGGCTGGGGGGCTAAGTGTTTCACAAGCATCTTTTGTTTAAATATATATTCCTTGTGACAAGCCCTTTCTTTGGGTATCAATATATTTGACCTCTTTACCTTGGAGTCTGACCAATTTTTGCAAAATTTTACCAAACTTTAACCTTGGCTATAACTTTTGAACGATTGGTGCTAGGCTGGTCTTACTTCACATGTGTATTCCTTGTGACAAGACTTTTCTTTTGGTACCAGTTTGATGTTTTTCTGAAAAACATTAACCTTGGCTATAACTTTGGAACAACTAAGGCTTGGGCTTTCATTTTCACAGGTGTATTCTTAGTGACAAAACTTTCCCTTGGCCACCATTTATTTTAATTCTTTGACCTTGGAGTTTTACTTACTTTTGAAAAACTTTAAACTTGGGCATAAGTTCTGAACAGTTGGTGCTAAAGCTTTCATATTTCACATGTGTATTCCCTGTGACAAGACCTTTCCTTGGGTACAGTTCTAACCCTTTTCCTTGACAGTGGAGCTTGACCTATTTTTGAAAAGCTTTAACCTTGGCCATAACTTTTGAACAGTTGGTGCTAGGACTGTTATATTTCACAAGTGTAATCCTTGTGACAAAACCTTTCTTTGGGTACCAATATTTTTAATCTCTTGACCTTGATCTTGGAGTTTGATTTGCATATGAGAAACTTTAGCCTTTGCCATGAGCTACTGTATGGAGGCATCAGTGTTTCACCAACACATCTTGTTTTAGTATAGATTTATATAGGAACCAGATTTTAAAGGTATAACAAAACAATCTCAAAGGTTAATTACAGTAAAACACACTTACAATGAATTGATGCTTACAGCAAAGTGATTTAAACTATAAACTATTGTGATACTAATGGATATAACTAATTACATTTATATTCAAATCAAAGTCATCTGTCCCTTGCTTGTTATAAGCGTGTTTTACTGTATTGAGAACATGTATTACAAAATGATGTCCACATAAGCATGATAAGCAGCTTGAATATGACATCTTTAATAATATTTTGTAATAAAATAAAAAACTGCTTGTGTAAATCAGAAAGGTAGCCCAAAAATTATTTTTGGCAGTGTTTGAACAGTGATAAAGAATGTGTCCTTCTAATTAAGTTTTTCATGTCACAGGTAAATATGGAGGACTTCAAGTATTTGTTTAAAGTTGTGTTGATTGGTGAAGCAGGAGTTGGGAAGACATGTCTGGTCAGAAGATTTACTCAGGTATGTAACTTAAGTTTAAGCAGGGACAGATGTTTTTTAATCATTCTCTCACAATTCTTTAGATCAGCTTAGCCACTCAGATGACCTTTTGCTATGAAAAAAAGGGAAGATAACGAACAGTGATCAATCTCCAAAAATCAACAAACAACACAAATTTGTGAACAGGGCATGACTTGGGCCCTGGAAATTCTAGAGGTGGGATCAGGTGCCTAGGAGGAGTAAGCATCCCCTGTTGACCACTGGACCAATTTCAATTAAACTGTCTCAAAGTATCTTTGGGTGAAGGGAAGAAGGGCAGTGCTCCTTTCCAAGGGGAGATAAGCAAGAAAAGGCAAAAATAGTGTGTAGTCATTTAAAAATCTCAAAATTGCCACTGAGCCAGAATAGTTGAAACATTTATGAAAGCTTCTTGACATTGTGTAGATTCAAATTTGATCAAATCATGACCCTGATGTTAAGGTGAGATAACAGAAGAGGATCAAAGTTTTCATAGAAATATATAAGAAGAAATCTTCACAAAATTTTCTTCTCAAGAACAGCTGGGCCATGATCATAATAATATGTAAGCATCATCAGGTAGGGCAGATTCAAGTTAGTTCAAATCATGCTTCATTGTGGCCAATGGGACTCTTATTTTCATAGTCAACTTGTTCACCTGAGCAACTCAAAATCACAGCATTTTGAAACCAGAAGATGAAAAAAAACATGAAAAAAATGTAATTTGTAATTTGATGAAGGAAAAAAATATTGAAAAGTTAATCTTTTGATGTATTTTTTCCCCAAGGGTCTGTTTCCACCTGGACAGGGAGCTACCATTGGTGTGGACTTCATGATCAAAACTGTGGAAATTAATGGGGAAAAAATTAAGGTAAATTCATTTTTCAGTAAATCAATTAATAATCCAGAAGTTTTTTTATCCAATCAAATTGTAACCAGGTTACAACCAGAATTAAATTATAAAAGTAAAATAAAGAATATTAGCCACATAGATTTTTTTTTTCAATCATTGTTTCTCAGAATCCTATAAACTGATAAAAAAAACTATATATATTTATAAGGGTGATGACAGAAAGGCAGACTTGTGAACATCATAGAAAGTCTACAATTCGTTAATTTTTTTTAGAAATTTGATATTTGTATCATTTATAAAAAATATGTATATATATCAATCCATGCAGCCATTTTGTTTGTACATGTATCATCTGTTCTTAATGAATTCCATTGGGAATCACTGTCCCATGTGCATTGAAATTCTTCCTCAGCTTCAGATCTGGGATACGGCCGGACAAGAACGGTTCCGTTCCATTACACAGAGTTATTACCATTCTGCTAATGCCCTTATCCTGGTGTATGATGTCTGTAGTCAACTCTCCTTTGATAATATCCCACACTGGATTCATGAAATTGAGAAGTATGCCAATACCAAAGTGTTTAGCTACCTTGTTGGTAAGTCACATGGTAAATATACTTCCAAGGAAAATTGAAATGCAATAGAGTATAAATTCATATTGCATATCTAACAGAACTTTGAATTGCAGGAAATAAGATTGATCAAATAAATAGGAGAGAGATTCCATCATATATTGGAGAACAGTTTGCTAAACGTTATGAGATGAAATTCATAGAGACCTCTGCCAAAGAAGCTGAGAATGTGGATGCATTGTTTTATGATATTGCCACTGAATTAACAAAACAGGCCCATCAGCAGGCTCTGGAGTCTGACAAGAGTGTCAATTTTAAGGCCCACAACACCTCTACTATCTCAAGCTGCTCAGCTTGCCTTAAATTTTAATGTCTACAGATATGGATTTAATCCATTCTGATGTACCGGTAGGTGTTCTTTAAATAAAACAACATTTCCTAGTCCAATTTACAACCATTCTGTCAATGTATTTTGTTAAAAAGCTTAAAAAAATTCCATTGAAATTCATTTTTTGAAAGAGAAAATTGAGTCACAATGCTTGTAAATGTATTCAACAAAGAATGTTTTATGTTAATCACTATTTAATGTTTTTCAAACCCAATTTTTTAAAACTTATTTTCTCGTGTATTATTTGAATGAATTATACTAAAAGTTTTATTAAAAAAATCTCCTTTTTTTGTTAAAAGTAAATTATATTAAGAAAACTTTTGCAGTGCAAAAGAGAGCGAGTCTGATGGTTGAGTGCCTAATGCTGAGTTCTCTGTTGAAATAGTTCTCTGCATGATTTGTAATAATATGTGATTCTTGTGACAGGTTTTTTTTTTCTTTTTTTTTTAAGTTTGACAATTGTTTTTAGTATTCTTATAAAATATGCTCATTATACTGTATAATGTTGTTAGAATGTGCCATGTTTTAGGAAGAAGGCGTGTATTGAGTACATTGCTTTCATTGTCTATAAATAACAAGTATCTACATTGAACATTGACTTAGTATATTTTGGGCTTTGAAATGCAAACGTTGCTGCCAATTGAAACTTTCTACAACTTAAACCAGATAAAAAATTGATGACTGTAAACGGTATTTTTAAAGTTTTTTTTCAATGTATCATTTTTGATTTCAGACAATATTACAAAATTTCAATTAGAATTTAAGCTAATAGGTCCTTTAAAAGAAGAAAACACTGTAAAATTACATATTTTTGTGGGGTCAAGTTTCGTGGTTTGAGGGAAAAATGTGGGTTCATGGGGATTTGATTTCATGGCTGAAGAATTGTTGTGTAGTTATACACAAAAAAATTTTACGTTTGATGGTAGACATGAATTTGTCGGTTTCTCCCTACCTCAAAAACAATGAAAATTAACCTCCAACAAAAATAGGTGATTTCACAGTACTTTACAAAATTTAAAGCATATTTAGTTGTTTTATATATATACATTGTCAATCAAAATGTTGATTTCACACTCAGTAACTGTTGATCAGACATTCCTGATATCACAGCTGATTACCCCCCTCCCCTTCTTTGTATTGGTATAGTTTGTTTCACTTTTTTGCATGGCTAAGCTGTTATGAATTGTGCTTTTTTTAAAACTCTAGTCAACACTGTTTAGTTTATTTTTTGAATTCTCGGATTTTCATCATTTTTTTTCTTTCTACTAATCTTTATACACTAATATCAGAATGTTTTCATACCAATAGTGCCAATTTTATTTTCTTTCTCAGCATTGTTTATTTGTAAATTGTTGTTATAATTATGCTCTTTGTCAGTTTGAATTTCATTCATTAGGATATATTGCATAGTTTTAAATGGAATAAACACCATTGAAAGACAGATGTTAACTGAAGAATTTTTTTTTTTAATTAGTGCTTTCATCTTCTGTACTCTTGAAGTTTCATCAAGTATTATTGCACGAAAAGGTATTTTGAAAAACACCAAATTTTTTTTAGTTATTTATGTATATATTATTTTATTTTTGTTTACCAACTTCCATTTGTTCGATATATCTGAAAAAAAAAAAATCCATTAGCAGTTGTTAATTTTTCTCATGTACACAGTATACGTATGTTGATAAAAACTGCATGTTGGTCATGGATTGTATGTTGCAAATATAAAAATGCCAAATTTTGGTGATAATCATTAATTAACTGCACTTACAGAATCAGAATCCTCTTCAGTAAACAGACATCCAGTATTGTAATAGGAAATCCACTACATTCAACTTTTGCTTGACACTTTTTTTTACATGTGGTGCTGTTGCATCAAGTTATTAAGAATACTCAACATTTCCATTGTTTTTGTCTGTATGCTGAGTACTTTATAATAAATTTTCTGACTGAGGTTAACTTGTTTTTATTACATTTCTGTAACCTTTTTTTTTTTACTTTCATATACCTCACATAACAGGTTAACAGGCCTAAGACAGAAAGGGGGTACAGTTTTATATAACAGATTAACAGAAGACAGAAAGAGGGTACAGTTTTATATAACAGGTTACCAGAAGACAGAAAGTGGGTACAGTCTTATATAACAGGTTAACAGGTCTAAGACAGAAAGAGGGTACAGTTTTATATAACAGGTTACCAGAAGACAGAAAGTGGGTACAGTCTTATATAACAGGTTAACAGGTCTAAGACAGAAAGTGGGTACAGTCTTATATAACAGGTTAACAGGTCTAAGACAGAAAGAGGGGACAGTTTTATATACAGGTTAACAGAAGACAGAAAGAGGGTACAGTCTTATATAACAGGTTAACAGGTCTAAGACAGAAAGAGGGTACAGTTTTATATAACAGGTTACCAGAAAACAGAAAGTGGGTACAGTCTTATATAACAGGTTAACAGGTCTAAGACAGAAAGTGGGTACAGTCTTATATAACAGGTTAACAGAAGACAGAGAGAGGGTACAGTCTTATATAACAGGTTAACAGGTCTAAGACAGAAAGTGGGTACAGTCTTATATAACAGGTTAACAGGTCTAAGACAGAAAGAGGGTACAGTTTTATATAACAGGTTACCAGAAGACAGAAAGTGGGTACAGTCTTATATAACAGGTTAACAGGTCTAAGACAGAAAGAGGGTACAGTTTTATATAACAGGTTAACAGAAGACAGAGAGAGGGTACAGTTTTATATAACAGGTTACCAGAAGACAGAAAGAGAGTACAGTCTTATATAACAGGTTAACAGGCCTAAGACAGAAAGAGGGTACAGTTTTATATAACAGGTTAACAGAAGACAGAAAGAGGGTGCAGTTTTATATAACAGGTTAACAGGCCTAAGACAGAAAGAGGGTACAGTTTTATATAACAGGTTACCAGTCCTAAGACAGAAAGAGGGTACAGTTTTATATAACAGGTTACCAGAAGACAGAAAGAGGGTACAGTTTTATATAACAGGTTAACAGAAGACAGAAAGAGGGTACAGTTTTATATAGTTAAAGTATTTTTTAATTTTATAACACTGTTTGTGCAGAAAAGAGATGCAGTGAGCTTTTCTATTCTATTCTAAGAGTATCTTGTTGCCCGTGCGGCACAGTGGTTAGAGCATTTGCTCTAGAGTCACGGTGTAAATAGCTGATCCATAGATTGGGGTTTGAATCCACTGTGTGACATTGAAACAGGTCATTCAAATGAGACTGTATTTAAACTGAGTACCTGTGTCGCAGTAGGTGCTGGCACGAAAAAGATCCCTCACTGCTCAAAGGCTATAAGTACCAAATACAGGTCTAAATTTTTGAATATTGTGCATCTATCTGTTTTTCGTGAGTATATTTTCACATTTTAAAGTCACCTGCATCACTCAGGTGACCTTTTGCTATCTGTAAGTGTTTTCATCCATCACCATTTGTCGTACAGTTGTCATAAACGTTTGAACATTTTAGGCTTCTTCTCTCAAACCACTCAACTAATTTCAACAAAATTTAGCATCTATGGGAAAAGGGGAATCAAATTTGTGAATTTCATGATGTCTTCCACCTGGGGACTAAGGGCTGGTGTTAAAACCATCAAAATTAATGAAATCACACTGTTATAATAAGCAATGGTTCCTCTACTAAATTGTGAAATTCATGGCCCCAGTGTCAGGGTTTCTGGTGTTAGGATGGGGCTAATGTCACAATTGATCATATGGTGAAAATGCATGATTTTTTTTTTAAATCTTCATTTCCATGTTCATTTGGCAAACATCAAACTAAGAGCATGGTTATGGTGAGCAATGGTGCCTATTCAATTTTGAAATTCATGGTCTCTGGGTCAGTAATTTTGGTATTACAGCAAGGCTTAATTGGTCATATAGTAAAAACTCATCATTTCCATGAAAATCTTCTCTTCCCCTTATATTAAGCACTTGGGGGTTCTGATGTTGGGGCAGGGCTCTATTGATAACATGGTGAAAATTAATAAATTCTTTAAGAAATTTCTTCTCTTTCCTGAATATTTAGGGGGAAAAACTAGAAAACTAGATAAATTGTTATGATGAACAAGGGTATCTCTTCAAAAATTGTGAAACTCATGGTCCTTGGGTCAAAGGTTATGGTGTTATGGCGGGGCTCTATTGATCTAACAGTGAACATTTAGCAGACAAACTAAGTGCATGATTATGATGAGCAAGAGTGTGACTTTCAAAAGGTATGAGGTATGAAATTCATGGTCCCTGTGTCATGGGTTCTGGTGTTATGATGGCATTCTATTGATCATATAGTGAAAATGTAGGTATTCTTTAAAAATCTTCTCTCATTGAATATATTAAGAAGTCAAACTTAATACAAAGTTATGATGAGCAAGCATGCCTCTTCCAAAATTGTGTAATTCATGACCCAAGGCCTAGGGGTTCTGGTGTAAGAACATTGATCATAAAGTGAATATCAACGAATTCTTTAAGAATTTCCTTCCCTCTCCTGAATATAAGGGAGAAAAACTAACTAAATGCTTATGATAAACAAAGGTGTCTCTTAAAAGTTGTGAAATTCATGATCCTTAGGTCAGGGAATCTGGTGTAGTGGCGGAGCTCTATTGATATAGCAAAAATTTGTAAATTCTTTAAAAATCTTCTTCTCTCCTCTAATAAGACAAAGTAAGGGTATATCTATGAGGAACCTCTTCCAAAATTATGAAATTCATGGCCCCTGGTCTGGGGTTTTGGTTTTATGGATTAAGGACTCTATTGATCTTATATTGAAAATGCATGTATTCTTAAAATTCTTCTTCTCTCATCTTGTATATTTAGAAGACAAATTAACTTAATACAAAGTTATGTTGAGTAAGGGTGCTTCTTTAAAATTGTGAAATTCATGGTCCCTGTATCAGAGGTTCTGTTGTTTGAGCGGGGCTATATTAAACATATAGTGAAAATTAATAAATTCTTGAAGAATCTCCTCTCTCCCTTTATTTTTAGCAGGCACTATGTGTTAGTGTAATAAGTGCATAGTTATGATTAGCAAGGGTACCTCTTCCAAAATTATGAAATTCATGACCCCTGGATCATAGGTTATATGGTTTAAGGGTGGAGCTCCAGAGATGATAGTGAAAATGCATTAATTGTTTGAAAGTCCTTTTCTCCGATCCTGGTTATTTAGCAGACAAACTTAGTACATGGTTATAATGAGCAAGGGTGCCTCTTCCAGAATTGTGAAATTCATGGTCTCTGGGTCAGGGGTTCCGGAGCTATGAATCAAGGGCTTTATAATCAAGAAGGGTAATTTTTACTTTGAGAGAAGTTACTCCCTATTGCTTAAATTTATCCATGGCAATTAATCACTAATCACTGTAAATAATGTTATTGATAGGTCCCTTGAATAAAAGAATTATACAGGGATTTGTAATGTATAATATGAAAAATACTGTGATAGTTTTTGATGGTCAGATACTTGTTAATGATAAATGAATGAACATTATACAAAAACACTAATATTTCATGCTAAAAATATTATTTAAAAACCAGGAGAGGCAAAAAGCTTAAATTTAGTATGTGACTGTAGTTTCATGCTGAAGTACTGTAAACTGTTTGTTTCAGAGAAAACCATGCAGAATTCAGATAAAAGAAATATATTGAGCCTATAGACTCTTTAAAAATTGGTGTATAATGACAAATAGGAGCATAACAATAGCACTGACATAAACCTATATGCAGATAGATCTACTCTCAGAGTTGCTGCAGATTACTACACTAACTATTTTGTTGATCCTTGATTGCTCCAAATTCTCTTGTTTTAGCACAACATATTTGCTTTATAAAATACATACATGTAATTATTAATTTGCCATTCTATAGATCCGGCCTTTACAGGTCTGAATTATACTCAGATGATTGCAAAGGTCCTTGGGACCAAATTCAGCAAACTTTTTATAAAACATTCTTGAGTATAAGGGGATTCAAGTTTGTTCAAATGAAGGACTGTCATTTTAAGGAGGGATAATTGAAAATTTGGAGTAGCCATACAAATTCTTGAGTGGTCAAGAAACCCTGACACTTAGGTGAAAGCTTCCTGACATTGTGTAGATTCATATTTGTCCAAATCATGGACCCAAGGATAGCATTGGACCAAAGTAGGGGGATTGAGCTTTTACATGTATATTGGCAAAAATGTTTTTTTTAAGAACTGCAGAGCTCAAATATGGTTAGTCATATTAATATGCAAACATCTTCATGTAGTACAGTTTCAATTTGGTTCTAATGTCATGATCCCATTGAGGTAGGGTTGGGCCACAATAGGAGAACAGAATTTTACATGAGAATATACAGCTGTATAGGAAATAAAAAAAAAATTAAGAGTAGCAGAGCCATGCTTAATCATATTGGTATGCAGACATCGTTTACTAGTAGTTATGTGGATTCAACTCTCTCAATTTATGGGCCCTGGGTTTAGAATGGGTAAAATCTGGGATCAAATTTTACATAAAGCATTCCTACAGAAAAAAAAAATCATAAACAGCTAAGCTATTTTATTCAAATTTATGTTGAAGCATCTGTATGTTATTTTGATTCAAGTTTGGTTAACTAAGAGTCCCTTGGGGCTAGGGTGGGACCATAATATGCTGTCAAAATTTTTCATGTGAATTAAGAGGGGGAAAATGTTATGAAAAACAACAGGGCTATGGGGAATTAGGTGAGCATTGTGGACCATGGGCCTTTTGTAAAGTTAAAGTATATCACTAATGGAGTTATCAAATTCAGCTTGTTAGCAGTTCTTGGTCAAAAAGTAGATGCAGTTTTATAAAGCTAAAGTGCATCATTGAGTGAGTTATATAGCTAAGGCACTAGTATTTTATTTCAGGAGTTTTCATAATTTTGGTTTCCATGATCATATAAGCTAGCCTACTTATGAAGAACTTTTCCACAGCAAACTGGCCAATTTCAACCATAATTGGCACATAGTATCCTAGGATGAAGGGAATTCAAGTCTCTTCAAATGGAGGGTAATGCCTCCTTTATCCAAATGAGATAATCAAAAAAAGACAAAATAGGGTGGACCATATAAAAATCTTATTCTCAAGAACAACTGGGTCAGAAAAGATGAATCCTACTTTAAAAAGTGTAGATTTTACACTATATTTCCCCCAAATTTTTCATAGGCTAAAAAAGTAAACATGCTCTTGAAGAATGGTGATAAGCTGAGTCAGCTAGGCTAAGGTGACTCAGGTGAGCGTTGTGACCCATGAGTTGTATAATTCTGCATTGGAATCAGTTATGATCAGTGTTTCTATTGAAGACAGCGGTCCTTTCTACGTGTTGATAAACATGCTACAGAATTGTGAATTTATGACACTAATAGTGTATCGTAGGTATACAGGCTCTGAACTACAGGGGTATGTTTCATCTGGCCTTGTAATATTATTAAACACATTCCATTCGAATAATGAATATGTTCAGGAGGTGCTGTGAAATTGATCAATCATTTCTATTTTTGATATCTTTAGGTAAGAAATTGACTTTTTACTGTTTTGTGTCCTTTTTATTAAATAACTAGATTTCTTGTAATCAAGACAACATTTCGATCAGTAACTGTTATCAAACGTAAACAACCGTGGCACGGCACTTCGGTCAAAAGACCATTTGTATGAATCGCTGTTTTCTAGGTATATTTTGATATCAGAAAATGATTATCTGACATCAAAAATTCGATTTTTTGCTCTTAAAATAAACGAGATTTCTATTTTTTTAAATTTATGATATCAGAAAATCCTATCAAAATTTCGAATGATTAAAATCAATTTGTGATATCAGAAATTTGAAACTGGATTTTTTCGTATCACAAAATCATCATGCTTTTTTATATTGAAAATTGATAAGTGTTTAACTTTAAGCTCTGTTACAACGCACTTTGAAAAATTACGCACTTTGAAAAAAATTTTCAAGGTGCGTTAATTTTGAGACCACGAAACGCACATTGAAAAAAAAATATTTCATTTCAAAGTGCGTTAATATCGACCATATAAACGCAATTTGAAAAAAAAGCACGGTTTGGTCAATATTGGTATGATAAATAATTATTTGAACCTGGTTGGATAACTTTTTCGGTGATGACGTCAGGATCTGAGATATAGACGTTTTAAAGATTTCTAGGAGTTGTCTTGTTTCCAAAGGTTCTCGTAACTGTTATAAAAGGGAAACGGGTCTTTTAGAAATAATAGAGGAATGATTGTTTAATAGCACAGTTTCGTTTCTTTTCTTTTTTAAATATTATCCAGTCTCTAATAAGTTTGGTAGATGTAGGGTCGATAAGTGACTTAAATCATCGCATTTTTCTTAGGGAAAAGGGAGCAATTATGATTTTTCCATACTATGAAAATTTTCTCTCTCTCTCTCTCTCTCTCTCTCTCAATTATATTCATCTATCTATCTATTGTGTACATATATGAAACAATGGATGACTCATTTATTTGACAGTAAGAACATAAACCTTAGCCACATTACTCACTCGACTGAAATTTTTACTTCGTTCAATAATAACTTTTTTCTCAAAAAAGTTATGCAGTCAGACTAATTCTAAATCTGTAATTTGATATCATAAAAACGCTAGACATGTCAAATAGCATGTTTTAATTACCATGTAAATGTCTTTTTTCCGAGGAATCATTGTGGATACATTTTGAATAAAGGTTATGCAGCTCTCTTCTTTAATATAATAAGGTGCGTTTTTTTTTTTTTCCAGGAAAGCTTATCTCAATTTTTTCATCTATTTAAGGAATGAATTTTTAAATAGCTACCCATTTTATACGGTATAAACTGGGTTGGGGCAGTTTAGGCTTTATAAACCGCGAAGCTTTTTAAATCTTCTTGCCAGAAAAACGACACTTTGTGAGTGCAGAAAGGTCAAATAATTGATTACTAGTATGTAATAGACTGTATTTTGGCCCATAATTTTTTTATGTAAAATATTGGAAGGAAAACTTTGAAAATGATATTATATACATGTATAAGATGCAATTACAAATTTCATATCCCCTCTCCCCTCGAGAAAACTGAGGGGTTGGAGTTAAAACCATCAAAATTGATGCAATCTTTAAAAATCTTCTATACATTAAGCAGTTAAACTGTTGGCATGATCGTAATATACATTGAATCCTCTACCAAAATTTTAGAATTTATGGCCTCAGGGTCAGGGCTTCTGGAGTTATGGTGGATCATACAGTGAAAATGCATACATTCTTCGAAAATCTTCTCTGCTCGTGGGTATTAAGCAAACAAACTAAGTGCATGGTTATGATGAGCAAAAGTTCCTCTCCAAAAATTATTAAATTCGTGGCCCCTGGGTCAGGGGTTCTGGTGTTAGGGCAGGGCTCTATTGATATTATAGTGAAAATATACAAATTCTTTAAAAAAAAATTCTTCTCTGTCCCTGGGTAATTAGCAATCTAGTGCATGATTATGAAGACCAAGAGTGCCTTTTTCAAAATTGTGAATTTTATTGCCCCTGGGTCAGGGATTCTGGTGTTAGGGAATGGTTCTTTGATTTGATTACACATCTAAAGTGAAAATGTATTTATTCTTCGAAATTCTTTTTTCTCCTTATCTGGGTATTAAGCACAAAAAAACAACAACAAAAAAAAACTTAGGTGCTTGATTATGATGAGCAATGAAGCCTCTTCAGAATGTTAAATTTCATGATTGCACAGAATGACAAGTCTATAGATGAAATTGACGGAGAAATCATATTTTCGAGAAATTAGAGACTTGTTATATTTTGGTAGTTGGGGGGGGGGGGGGGGTTGAGTGGCTATGAAGAGATGTATGTTATCCACGATTCAGGTGCCTGTGCTTCAATCTGATTAAAATCAGCTGTTTGTTTGGTTACGTTTACTAGACACTACGCCACAGTGGCGTATTGCTTAGTAAACGTGGCTATTCAGGTGCCTGTGCTTCAATCTGATTTTTTAATCAGATTGCCTGTGCTTGTGACTCTATACATTAATGATTTTTTAATCTAGAGATTCTGAGAATTGGGGAAGTTTGTGAATGAAATACAGGTCCGTAGGAAGCAATTTCACTTTGAGGGGGCACAACCATACATTTTCAGTTGGGGGGCACTATCAAGTACCAAAATGTCTTGACAAGCAAAAAAAAAAAAAAAAAAAAGTCATCAGATGTTTTGATTGAGGGGGCACAAGCATATAATAGCTATGTTTTCTATAGTGTTCTATATATCGGCAAAATTATTGGGGGGGGGGCACCCCCCCCCCGTGCCCCCCCGGTTCCTACGGCCATGAAATAATTGAATTCTCTGTATATAATTGACATCTTGTTCATTTATAATTGACATCTTGTTCATTTATCTGTATATAATTGACATCTTGTTCATTTATATGTATATAAATGACATCTTGTTCATTTATCTGTATAGAAATGACATCTTGTTTATTTATCTATATCTATCTATATATATATATATATATATATATATATATATATATATATATATATATATATATATATATATATATATATATTCAATTTATATGTATATAAATGACATCTTGTTCATTTATCTGTATATAATTGACATCTTGTTCATTTATTCAGTCGAGATCGGAGGAGAATGGACATCATGGTCAAGTTGTTCAAAGTCTTGTGGTGTAGGAACGCAGAATCGAACAAAAATGTCTGACGGGGAGATCATGCGAGAAGAACAGTTTTGTAATCTACAGTATTGTCCTGGTAATATTAGATACGTTTCAAAAATTATTTACTAAATATTTGTTTTTATTGTAATCCAATATTTATTCTCAATCGTGTTAGAAGAGTTTTGTCGGATGAACTTATGCTATATACCCGGTGATGGCAGTTTTAGTAGCAAGTCAATTCTCATGTAACTAGAAGCCCTACGTGGACCAAACTTAGATGATGGATCTAAGGAAACACGCTTACAAGACTTGCTTCATATGCTGGATCTGACCTACATTTTCTGGATTAGTAACCAGGTTAAGATGCTGAATTTAACCTACATTTGCTGGATGAGTGACCAGGTTAATTTCTTGGAACAGGTCCATTCCCAAGTAACTATAAGCCTTTTGGTGACCAGACTTGCAAAGATGATGCTCCATATTTCATCTAAGGATGCACACTACCAGAAATGCTTTGGATACTGGATATGACCTACATTTTTCAAATGATTGACAAGGTTGAAGTTTTTGGAGCAAGTCTATTCTCAATAAACCTTTAACCCTAATGTTATCAAACTTGCATGCATGATGCATTCCTACGGGGACTATCGGATTTGCTTTGGATGCTGGATCTGACCTATTTTTAGGATGATTTAATAGTTAAAGTTTTTGGAGCATGTCCATTTCCAAGTAACTACAAATCCTACCAAGACCAAATTTGCATGCATGATTCATCTACTGATGCACATTACCTGACTATTCATTTAATGTGAGACTTTGCTTTACTTAACACGTTCGTTGAGGTGAGCTTCGTTCTTTGATAACCTATTTATTGATAAGAAACTATACAAAACTAACGTAGACAACATTCTGTTGGGACAGTGAAGTAAAACTAGCATAATTTTTTTTTTTTAAATCTGTTTTATATCTTTTTTTTTTAAATTTTACACAAATACTGTGAATTTTTTTTACAAGTAAATGTTGTAATTTTCAGGCATTGGTGTTTCTTGCTCAGGAAGATACTGCCATCAGTTCGATGGCATGGCTGACTGTATAAATAAAGTGTGTATCTGTAGAGTGGGACGAAATTGGTATCAATATGACTACAGTAGATACTATAACAAATATAACTGCTATCGTGAGTATATCTTTAAAATAGGGATGACAACGAATATTCGAGTATTGAATATTCATTCGATAAGTCGATATTCGAATATGAATTCACAGATTCGAATATTCGTTATTTTTTAGATTTCACAAAAAAGATATAAAGACCATTTACTACAGTTGGAACAGTGCGGGGATTATCCCCGTTTCATCTACTATTTTGATCTAGATGTACCAAATTATTTCGATTCTGAGTAAGACGTTTCAGAAGAATAATTTTGTCTGCCGAAAATGGTCACGATCTTTTTTTAAAAATACGATCAGATCTAGAGTCGAAGAAAATAATGAAATCTTTCTTTAGACTACCTAAAAGATTATTTGCAGCCCATGAATTAATTTTTTTTCTATTCAAAGATTTAAAATGAATGTTTGAATCACAGTAGTATAAGGAGCCTGGATGGCCGGGTCAACTGAGTGCACTTTTTTGGTGCCCAGGGGGAGATGGCCGGTTCAATCTAGTACACACCCTGGAAAAACCCAAGCAAAAAGGGATACGTTTGATCTACGTTTGTGCTGAGTCAGTCAATACATAGGCAATACACACAAAAACTTGGCATCGATTCAAATCACAGCTAGGTATGCATTGTGACGTCATGTGTCATACAGAGCAAGCCTCTCTCTCTCTATTTTCTGAAAACGGAAAAAAACAATAACACAGTAAAGTTTGTAAGATGATTTACTGTAAAAAATGTACATAATTACTTTTTCTTCTGGAGTTTCAGGGGCTGTTTCTTCTCCGTCTGAGTAGTAGTAGTAGCAGGAAGTTTCCTCTTGTTGTTAACTGAAATCTGCTTTTGATCCTTACTACTCTCTATTTTCTTTTCTAGATTACCAATCTCATTCATTATCACTCCTCTAAACACACGAATCTCAGTAATCATGTCTTCTTTAAACTCACAAATAGTCTGTTGAAGTATCTCCATTACAGTGGTCATTTGATCTAAGATATCACATATCAAACTTCTTTCATTTCCTTCAATACTATCCTGTGTCTCTGGTAAGGTTGCAGGTGAATTCATGGAATTTTCCTCTGCCATATTTCTACGTCTGTCTAGTACCAAGTACCCACTAAGACTGATCCTAAAATTTCCAGCTCTGCTTTATATACCCTTTTGTACGTACTGTGTACGTCTCAATACACAGTCTTGGATCAGCGAGCTACTTATGCATTGTGACGTCATACACTCTATAAATACAGCCTTTCTCCGACTTTCAGCTCATTTTGTTGTCAGATCTATCAAGATGAATTTTGATAGTGCATTGAAACAATTGTTACATGCACAACAACTTATGAGATGGAAAAAACGGGAGAAAGAATTAGAAAGAATTATTTCTCGACAGAGAACGAGAGAATTAGTTCTCAGGAAGAAAAATGCAAGATTAATGGAAAGATTAAAGAGAGCCAAAGCCAACCGAGCTCAACACCTACAAGTTTTAAGGAATCTACCTGAAGAAGAACTATCCTCTCCGTTTTCATCACCACCCCATTCACCACCCCAGAAGCCAAAGACCATTTCCCAGTATTACCAAGTGAGACTCAATAAAGCTAAGCATTCCAGAAAATTTAAAGCTAAAGAAGATGTCTACAGTGTGAATTTTAAAGAATTTCCAGAGGAGAAAAACAGAGGCTTTGTTCGGCGATTATTTAGAGACATGCTACAAAATGTCAAATATCAAATGCAGTGTAACCCTAACGATTATGTACGCCTGAACATTCACCACCCTTCTCTGGATTCCGACATTTCGTACGAGTTTACGCAATGTAAACATTTTAACGAGTACGTCATTTTAAACAAAATAGAAGCCGTGCAACAATCCAAGAAAGATTTTAAACTGGGAGACGGATCTATGGAATTCGACATGTTTCACGTCAAATATCCAGAAGGCAGTGGTGGACAGAATACCAAACACCTGATGGTTAACAAGGAGAGTTTTAAGAAGGGGAAACGATCCATCGTTCAGATCGACAATCCTTGGGATACGCTGTGTTTACCTAGAGCTATCGTAGTCACCCGGTTACACAGTCAAAAACCGGAAAATCCAGAGAGTTTAGTTGAATGGGAAAAATTATGGAAACTCATGAGGTTAGGAGATGTAAGAGCTAATGACCAGGAAAACCAAGCTATAGCTCTCATGGAACTAGCCGGCTGTGATATCCATCAGCCTTGTGGACCCGAAGAATGGGGAAAATTACAACAGGTGTTAGCCCCTCGCTATCGACTGAAAATATTTCAGTTCAATTCCACCTCCTCTAAACTCAGTTTAGAGCCCCTTTATAAAGGCTGCGGAGATGGAACTTGTTTAAACATTTTGTTAGATGACCATCATTACGATGCTATTTTGTCTATGCCAGCTGTGACGGGTATTCAATACTATTGTGATCATTGCGATGTGGGCTACAGGAAAATCACAGACCATCGTACCAAGTGTCCTTACCGATGTTCCTTTTGTTTAACGGACAAACCCTGCCCTCCAGACGGGAACCACATTCAATGTAGTCAATGCCAGGGATTTTTTCAGAGCAGAACTTGCTACGAAAACCATTTACGACCTCACAGTAAGAATACGGCCACAACTGTGTGCAGTTTAATGGGACGATGCGAGCATTGTGAGAAATGGATGCCTAAAAATTTACTCCCTCATCATCATTGCAGAGGACAGAAACAATGTAAGATCTGTAAGAAAACTGTAGACACAGATCATCAGTGCTACGTTCAACTGAAGCCTGAGAAAAAGAAAAAGAAAGGCAAAGAGACATTACAGTTTTATATTTATTTCGATTTCGAATGTACACAGGAAAACGGCATCCACGTCCCTAATCTGTGTGTGGCACACCGCGTATGTCAACATTGCGGACACTTACCCATAGAAGATCCCTGTCCTCACTGTCGACTGTCGACCATGAAGTGTTTTAAGGTATCTGGCCCTTTAAACACGTGTTGACGGGGTCCCCTCAAAAAAAGGGTATTTCCCTCACTTTTTTAATACAGAACAGAACCAGAATTATGTGGGCCCTTATCCGTCTCCAGATAAATACAATCCCGACGACATGTCTATAAGTGGACGACAGGCTTTTTACCAATGGTACGAACAACAAGCTGGAAAAGTGTTTAATTTCCAGAAGGAATTTTTAGACTATTGTATTTCAGACGTCGATATTTTACGACGATGTTGTGCTCAGTTTCGAGCCACTCTCAAGACTTTGGTCCATGTAGACCCCTTCCAGGAATCCATCACTTTTGCCAGTGCGGCCAATTTAGCTTACCGTCGAGGATTCATGCCCGAAGATACCATTGCTATCATTCCCAACATGGGGTATCAGCCTGCACGTCAATATTCCGCCAAAGCCTGTCGGTGACTAACCTGGATGAGTCACCAGAGCGGATCTCACATACGACATGCTATAAACGGGGGAGAAGTCAAGATCGGAAGTTATACTGTAGATGGATACCAGGAAGCTACTCGCACCATCTACGAATTTTACGGATGCTATTGGCACGGATGCCCTACTTGCTATCCGAATTTACAGACCGAAACTCATCCTCACCGGACACAATTTACTTACCAGGAATTACACGAGGAAACTTTAAGGAGGAATACTGTCTTAGAGGAAATGGGGTACTCCGTACGTAGTATCTGGGAACACGATTTCGATCAACAAGTACAAAGAGAGGTGACATTACAGAATTATGTACGAGACCTGGACATTCCAGATCCTTTGAACCCCCGAGAAGCCCTGTACGGAGGCCGAACGAATGCTACAAGATTGTATTGTGAGGAGGGGGACATGAGATACGTGGACGTCTGTTCCTTATACCCTTACGTATTAAAACACAGACTTTTTCCTTTGGGGCATCCTCAGATCATAACAGACCAATTCCAGGACCTGAGAACTTATTTCGGTCTCATTACTGTCGGGTCTTACCACCCCGAGGCCTTTATCACCCCGTTTTACCTTATCGAACGGGAGGCAAGTTATTATTTCCATTATGTCGAACCTGTGCGGAACGACAGGACTCTACCTCTAAACATCGATGTCAACACACAGACCAGGAACGCAGTCTTACAGGTACTTGGGTGACTACAGAATTACATAAAGCCCTAGACATGGGATATACTTTAGAGCGGATTTACGAGGTTTGGCATTTTCCAGAAAGCAGTAAAGATTTATTCAGATCTTACACTTCTTAAAGATCAAACAGGAAGCTTCTGGATTCCCACCTGATTGTCAGACGGAGGAACAAAAACTAGATTACATTCGTAAAGAAATAGAAAGAGAAGGCATTAGAATGGACCTGTTAAGTATAGAAAAAAATCCGGTGCGAAGAACGATAGCCAAACTCTTTTTAAATTGCTTGTGGGGAAAATACGCTCAACGCCTGTCATTACCTAAAACTCGATACTTGACCGAAGAAGAGGAATTACAGCAACTCTTACAAGATTCGACCATTGACATCAAAGGTATAGAACTCTTAGAAAATAAAGAGCAGCCAGAATCGGACATGATGCTGGTGAATTATCAAGAGAAACAGGAATTCGTAGAAGAGTGTCCCTTTGGAAACGTGGTACTGGCCTGTTTCACTACCGCTCATGCCCGATTACACCTCTACGAGACTTTACAACCTTTAGGAAATCGGGTCCTTTATTTCGATACGGACAGTATCATATACCAACATAAGGAGGGACAATTTAATCCTACCCTCGGGAACAGTTTAGGAGAATGGACCGACGAATTAAACGGGGACCACATTATCAAATTCATGTCAGGAGGCCCTAAAAATTATGCTTACCTCACAGCCAAGGGAAATTCCGTGTGTAAAGTCAAAGGATTGACTCTTAATTATCGGGCCTCCAATATCGTGTCACCAGAGACATTAGAAAAAATGCTCAAGAAAGAAATTGATGAAATCCAAGTCTCGTATCCTTACAAAATACAGAGGACTCGTCAACATGAAGTCAAGACAGTACCTT